GTATTCATTTTGTTTTGTTCTTTTTTCGTAACAGATTTAATGTTTAATATAGAGCTTAGAAAAAATTCGCAGTGTGAGATAGGCAAGAAGTAAGGCATGTAGCAACATCAGCACGGCAAAGGGCACTCCTTTAAAGGCAAGGAAGGGCAAAAATATTTTAAGTCAAGTGATAGCGATTGCTGTATGAGTTGTACGATTTTTGAATCAAGCATGGGCAACGCCGGGCCATGCTGCTAGTTTAGGAATAATTAGGATTCTAAGGTAGTTTTAAAATATTTTTAAATGTTTTTCTTTTCTGCAAATTCTAACTGCTCTTAAAATTGTTGTTGGGTTCTAAGTAGAAGCTTTAGGAGATCAATTTTGTTAGTGAAGTTTTGATAGACGTTTAGTTTTCGATCATTATCAGTTCAGCTTAAATCAAAGAAAGGTTCATTATGGAAATAGAGCGTCTGCACTGAGCTTGTAATTAATATGGCTGGAGAGAAAAAGAGGAAGCGATCTCTAGCTGATGTGATTGACTAAGTAGTATCAAACAACACTATAAATAGCCAAAAAACTGCATCCAGATCCACAATTATTTCCACTCAATAGCTCCTAGAATAATTTGAAACATAACCACTACCACCCAGCAAAATAACCATTAGAATAATGCAACAGACTACCCACAATGCATCACTGACCTGTATATATAAATAGTGAAGCAAATACACAACCCATATAGTCTGCCAATTGAATTTAAGCATGAAACCGACCATCACCTTTGGGTGTTGAATTCAATGTCCACTTTTATATATATATATATATATATATATATATATATTATTTCATCCCTAAGTAAGACAATAAAGCTACTAAGACACAAGGGGGTTACTGAGTGTGGGTTAATATGACAAAAGAAAACATTATTAAGGAGAGAGAACAATAATAGAACAGGAATTAAGAAGACTGATGTTAACAGTTGACATTAAATTTCAATTTTGAAGATCGAAGTTCCACAAGCAAAAAGTGCAAGAGAGAAAAATGTTTGCATAGAACTTATGGCTACATATAGCTAATTCAATGGAAAAATGATGAGATGTTGCCACTGATCTAGTACTGTGTTTAAATTCCTAAAATCTAGGTGCCAAAGAGGAAAACTCATCAGAAGAATTACCATGAAAGTAAGGTACAGAGAAGCTACATTATGATGGTGGGAAAGTGACTGAAGACATATATTCCCAGTTCACTTCTATGCCTCATAAGTGCACATTATAAATACTTTCGCCATCATTTTTAAAACTTGAAACCAACTGATCGTATTTAGTATTAATTCCACTTAGACAGTTGTTCAAATACGACACTCAAACCACTCTTGCTGTGTTAAATGCAGATCAACATTTCTTCACTCCTACCTCCTAATATTAAATATTAATATTAAATATTAATATTAAACCAACAATTTCATGTAAAGTTATTCTATCTTGTACCAAACAAGAATGGTAACATTTACACACGGACTGTGTATCAGTGGGATCACCTCATAGTTCTACTTTACCTAATTTCTACATCGCTCACTAATAAAACAATGAGAGAGTTTAATGGTTGTCTAATCAAGATAAATTTTTACCTAGGTTAGACAGCTATTACACTCTCTCGTAAGTTAACTTGCCACTTCTGGAAAGTTAGTGCAATTCATACACAAATTAACATATTAAAAAAACAAAATATAACTTAAGATAATACTAATATTAGTAAATAATACCAACATGCTATACAGCACTCAGTGTAAAGATTGAATTATTTGCTTTTTTATGGTTTATCAACACTTTGTGGGATATTTAAAGCTGAAATATATTTGGATGGTAAGAATATTTTCTTTTGCAAAGGAATATTGCATGAACAATTTTTTGAGAATACCAATGATTTTTCCAGATACAAGTTCTACTATTTAACCCATAGCATGGGAGGATGGTGGATTCATACCTTTCCAAACAGTATTTGCACATAAGTGAATGCCACAAATTTAATCTAAAGACTCAAAATATTTTCTGAAAAACTATAAAGTAAATACATATTAGAAAACTCTTTTTATCTTTTGATAAAACAAAAAAAACAAAAAAAAAAAACTTGCCCACAACTGAAATTAAACTAATTTAAATCAACAAAGGAGAAATGCCAGCTGAGACTGTCATGTAATGGCATTACAAAAATAGCCACTATTTTGTGATAGTTCATATGCCAGTCTCACAACTTATGGAGTTAGTTCATCACAGAAATAGCACCAATAAATAAAATAATGAAGAATAAAAAAAAAAAAAAGAAATTCACTTCCCCATGACACAAATTATAAAGAAACTAGAAAGGGTTTTTGGTCACACGTGCAATTTTATAATCCCACTTCTGTAAAGGACAGAATCTTTCACTTTTCCATTTTCCAATGACAGCATTCAGACATGTTATGTTAGACCTACTGATGAGGTAAGTGAATTGGTCTTTCCAACTCAGTGCAAACTCGACTTGAGTTTAACCATTTTAACTTCTGTTATCCTAACTTACTTCTTAATCAAAAAGGAAAGTGGACAGGAGACATTGGGAATGTTGTTTCACTGCAGACACCATAAAAAGAATAAATGCCTGTAGTAGAAACTCAAGTTTTTGTATGCTTCTATCTTCATTGTTTACATACTGAACATGCACTTTTGCCTAAAATACAGACAACCTTTCAACCTTTTATGCTGGTTTGTGCTTATAACATTATTTTTGGTAGGCCAACCCAAATAATTTTCACAATTCTCATTCAAAAAAATGTTACACCCCATCCAATCATGCTTGATTTTAGATTCCTTTTGAGGCAGTTTACTTTACCAGTTCACTTAGCACAGACAAACAAGTAATTTTGTTGGTTTTCAGTTTTATTTAACTGATCTGAATGTTTCTGTGTTGAGATGCCAATATCTTGTTTCACTTTTCAGATGTCCCTGGCACAACCATAGTCAAGCTTATCTTTCCTCAGTTTTTATTGTCTTTCTTGAGTGTTCAGACTTGTAGGAATTGAGTCTACACTGCAGATTAAGTGACAAGAAGTCTTCTCACCATTTTCTCTTTAATATTTTAGCTGCTTTTCAAAATGCTATTGTCTGGATGGATTCAATTCTTCCTCAGATTTATAGTTCTTCTTAACTGCTCGCCTCCTTGGGATCATGCCAACATATTATTTTTAGAATGGAGGATTTATATTAGCAAGAAATGGATATTGCTGTTGCAAATACATTAGATTAAGTGCATCTTAATTATAATGAAAAGAAATTAATTCCACTGGTTTTATCAGACAAAATGTTTTACTTTTCATTTTTAATCTGATGTATTTTCTCTTTAATATTTAAGGTTTATTTTTCTTTAGTGATACCTCACACCTAATCCAAAGACAATAACATCAAAATTGAAATAAAATAATCATAATGAAATATAATTTCAGATAAAGAAAACAGAACATTTTAAGAGTCTGTCGATATTTCTGAGATGAGGTATTATGTACAGTATTTACATTAGTCGGACTATTGTCCTTATCTTTGTCGCCATATTTGTCACAACGTTTGACCGTTTATACGCTCCGGCCTTCTTCAGGTGGTTGGAATTTGAACTGAACCCTTTATTTCGATCACTGGGGTAGACTGTTCTAGTTCCATGTGCCATGTTTGATGGATGTCAGTTATCAGTTATCTCCTGCTAATTTTCCTCAAGGACACATGGCACAGTGGATAAATGCGTTGGTTAGATCCAGTGACAGACCCAAAGAAGGTGAGTTCAATTCCTGGTTAAGGCAGTGGAGAACTTTCAGAGGGAAAATTAGCAGGAGATAACTGATAACTGACATCCATCAAACATGGCACATGGAACTAGAACAGTCTACCCCAGTGATCGAAATAAAGGGTTCAGTTCGAAATTCCAACCACCTGAAGAAGGCCGGAGCGTACAACGGCCGAAACGTTGTGACAAATATGGCGACAAAGATGAGGACAATAGTCCAACTAATGTAAATACAGAACATTTTAATGTTCTTAAAAAGTTTCAAAAATTCAAGAAAACTGTTTCTTTAACATTAACATCAAATTTCTGTCTGAATTTCAGGGAGTTCCCATTATTTACATTTAGGCCAATCTTTGTTGTAATTATAAAGTTTGTTATTGTCAACCAATTCACAGCTGTTGCCTCTAGCAGATTAAAGCGTTGATTCATGAATTTGGTAGCATAATAATTGTGAGTTCAATCCCTGGGCTGGTTAGTACAGATTCAAACTCAATGAAAACAGGACTAGCAATTAATGAGCGGTACCAAAAAAATTTAAAAAAAAAAAGGGGTGGGGCAAGGCATTGAGCAGAACAAAAACAATATACATCCTGTACATTAAATAAAAGGTTCACTTTGACTTTCTTCAAGTATCTGTCAATCCAGGTAACCTCCAGAGAATTTTAGAGGGCATAACATCTGAAATCTTGTGATAATAACAATAAAGATAGAGATATTAGTTCAAATGTAAATAATAATATTAAATTGTTGAATTAAATATCAAAAAAAAAAAATTAAGAATTGTAAGCCTCATCAAAAGAATTGTTTGTTGAGAAATATTAAATTTCAATAAGGCATTAAACAAATCAATTTTGTTTTATCATTGCACCTGTTATAAATTCAAGATTATCATCACCTTTGAACAGGGGGTGGGCGAGCAAGCAGCCAATTTCACTTGCCTGTTGAATAAAAAATACAATCAGCACTTTTCTAGGCCTTTGCCTTTTCCTTCACAAGAGGTAACTTTTCTTTTTGAAGAATTTCTAACAACTTGCTGCAATGAGTGACCATGCCACCTGCCTTCTGTTCCCTGGGGGAGGAAATCACCAATACCCGCACATTGTCCACATAAACAGGTGATGGAGATGAAGTAGGGCGGGGTGTTAGTATCTGCAACAATCTATTCAGCAGGCTGGAGGCATTGTATGTAACTAGGGCCTGCAAGAGAAGACAGATTAAAGTGAATTATCATTTAATGGGAGGAAGGAAGGAAAAAGATAGCAAAAAAAAAAAAAAATGGGAAAGGAAAGAAGAAAATGAAAAATACAGAAAAAGGAAGGGAAAACAGAAAAGAAAAGAAATAAAGTCAGAGGAAAAAGAAAAATGGTGAGAAAAAAAAAGGAGGTCAAAAAGAAAAGCAAAAGGAAAGGAAAAATGTTGGGAAAAAAGAAAAGAAAAAGGAAAGCAGAAAAGGAATAAACAGTAGGAAAAAGGTAAAAATGAATAGAAAAAAGAAAAATGGTGAGAAAAAAAAGGCCGAAAAGAAAAAAGGAAGGAAAAAAAGGAAAAATGGTGAGGAAAAAAAGGCGAAAAAGAACTAAAAAGAAAAAAGGAAGGAAAAAAAAGGAAAAATGGTGAGGAAAAAAGGCGGAAAAGAAAAAAGGAAAGAAGAAAAAGAGAAATGGTGGGGAAAAAGAAAAAGGAAAGAAGAAAGAAAAAATGATAGGAAAAAAGGTAAAAAAGAAAAATGAAAGAAAAAAGAAGAAATGGTGAGAAAAAGGCAAAAAAGAAAAAAAGGAAAGGATAAATAGTGGAAAAACCAAGGCAAAAAAGAAAAGGAAAGAACAAAGGAAAACAAAAGGAAAAATAAAGGCAAATGAGAAAAAAATAAAAAAGGTAAGAAGAATAAAAATTATGGCAGCTATTACATGTAATTAGATGAAAAAATGCAGTTCTACACACTATAACTTATCGAAGTGGGAGGACTACAATCTCTTATTATGTAAAATTAAAATATGGTTTCTTCTTCTTCTATGTACCTTGTCCCTTCATGACATGAGCAATCATGGCTCTCCACAACTTTCTGTCCTTTGTAGCTGTTATAACAAGTATATGGTTGCCAAGGAAAGAACAAACAAGGATTAATATTTCAACAGTGTATATTGATCAATTTTCAGATTATAGTCATAGTTGTGTAAAAGGGTGACAAAATGGTTGATATGTGGTTCCTTAATTGCTGTTAATAAGAGAGGTGATTAAGTGTAAAGGTGTTGTTGGTAGGGGCAGGTGCAAGTATTGGGTTGTTTGACCGGGTGATGGTCAGTGTCAGGAGAGTGTCCAGGAGTGGATTAGTGAAGCACAAGTGAATGTCATTAGCAGCTTGATCCACCTATCTTCAGGGTTGAAATCAACACTGATGTTGGGTGCTGATGGGTTGACAGTCTTTTGATGAGGTCAAGGTGTTAAATCGAAGTGCCTGTTGTCAGTGAGGTGCATCATTTTTATATCTGTGGTTTAACAGGTGTTGGCTCATTTTTCTTTTTTTTTTTGCGACAACATGATTGGCTTTTGTATTTTAGATTTTTGTGAGGAGTTGTTTTGTGGGAACCAGATGTGATGCTCAGAACTCCAGTGCAAAAGACAACTTTTTTTGGTGGGGGAGGAGGATTTTCTTAGCACTCACATCTGGCTGACATGTCCAGTGAAATGTATTTGTGAATCAGAAAGAGATCTTCATTAAAGTAGTATAGCAGAGCTTTTTGTAAGGTTTGTCTTTTTGCTACTCCTCCTGCACCTTGTTTTGCCAACCATTTACACAAGCTCATTAAGTAAGTTAATCACTGATTTCATCTGTGTCCCTTGCTTTCAATATGTCTTGTGAGTGTCAAATTTTCCATGTCCTCTTTCCTCGTTATCTATCCTAGAAATTTCAATTATTGGTTTCTACTTCTAAGTATAAGCATCATAGACTAACATTGAAGAAATGCAAATCAACACCAAAACTCCAATATGACAGATGCCAGGTTGGTTGGTTGTTTTGTTTTATGACATATCAAAACCTCAGTGGGTCATTTAATGCCAACAAAATTTTGAAATAGATTCATAGCGATAGTTTGGTAAAAAAGGTGTGTATGTATACATATATATTTGAACCATTTTTCAATTACTCATATTTTTGAGTAAAATCCAACTTCTTTTAGGAAATTTACAATCTTGGTTATTTTTTTTTGTAAAAAAATTTTTTTTTTTAAATTACTCACTTGGTTTGGTTTGTTTTGTTTTACGGTATATCAACCTCAATGGGTTATTTAATGCCAACAAATTTTTAATTGCTGGTAATATATTTTTCTTCAAAAATCTATTTCTGGGAATATTTATCCTTGAAGAAATCTATAGCTCGTCTTATTTTCTTTCAAAGAATCTATAGCTGTTTGTATTGCTGGTAATTTTTTTTTAAAGTATTGCTGATAATAATTTTTCCTTCATAAATTATTGCTGGTAATAATTTTTTTTATTACAAAGTATTTCTGGTATTAAAACCTATTTTTACACAAGTTTGGATGTTAACTATTTACCCATAGCTGGGACCCTAACAGGTGCTACCTCCTTGAATCAGGGTGGACCTGGGAACACCAGCAATTAAATGGTTCCAAGCTCCTCAAAACCTCCTGATCAGAGGCCTTGCTCTTGGACATAGTTTATCGTCTTACCCAGAATGTGGATGTAGTTTATCGTCATACCCAGGACAAGACAGACACCAGGAAGACTCAGATGGATACTAACAGAGTTAAGAGCAAATTTAAGGAGATAGATGAGACCAGAAATTCAAAGTGGAACCCCTTAGAGGAAGCTCTAGTTTCATCAGTAAGCAAGGTCATCCCACAGAAAGAGAGACAAGAATGGATGACAGATGAAAATTCTCAGTATGATGATAGAGAGAGAAAGCAATATCAAGGAATCGGACATAATATAGACTATTAAGCACAAACATTAGGAACAAATACAGGTAGACAAAAGACGAATGGCTTAATGAAAAGTGTGCAGAGATAGAATGAGCATCACGGGTATGGCATGTATGCAAAAAATAATAAAAGAATTAACAGGACAGAAGGTATGCTCATTGATGCTCATAATAGAAAAGAGAAAAAAAGACTTCAAATCATACTTATTATAAACCCAGATTGTGTGTGTGTGTGTGTCTGTACGTTTATATATTGGATTGGATTTCCTACATTTTTTAACCGATTTCAACATAACTTCACAGGACTACGTAAAATTACCCCGCGGTGGTTCTGACAGCGCCAAAAATTGGAAAAAAATACAATTGTTTTTGCACAAAATCAATTTGAAAACACGATTAGGTGGCATCACGAGATATATATCAAGTTATACTTATTATAAAACCCAGGTTGTTGGTGTGGGTGTTTGTGTTCGTTTATATATGGGATCAGATTTCCTACATTTTTCAACCGATTTCAACAAAACCTCACTTTTTTTTTGGCAGGTAGAGTTTCTTATTATCTTGCACACTTTTTCTTTATTTTTACATTCAGAATGCTTTAAAAATTTCATTTACAAGACAAGTGTTTATAATAAAATTGAAAAGTTCTATTCAATCGGTAGACTCATAACGATTGAAAACAATGTTTTTGTTTCAGTTTGGGTTTCACCAATTCGTAAAAAAAAAAAAAAAAAAAAAAAAAACTAATTAAGACATGCGTGTCCGTCAACCTTAAACAATAATCTTTGTCAATTTTATTTTTCAGTCTTTATGATGGTCGATACTTGATCTATCTCTTACTGTTACATCCCCGGGCAACGCTGGGCTCTCCTGCTAGATATGGATAAATATGTTGAAGAAAGAGGGAAACCTACTGTTAGGATGGATAAAAAAAAAAATATATTCCAAGGGAAATAACTCTTTCCTGTTTCAAACAGAGTACCTCCCTTTTGCCCCTGTCCAAACCACGTGAGTCACGTGATCAACGTGCGAAAAAGGGAGCAGATTGGTAGATGGCTACCAGACAATAAGGACACTATATATTCTCCTGTCCCAACGGTTGTGACACACAACCCAGTAACTTGGGACCATGATTTATACATACCTAAATATATGTTGTAATGTTTCTCCTGTGAATAAATGGTAGTTTCAAGCCAACCGTGAGTAGCAAATTACTCTTTTCTTATCATCACACGTTTCTCCATGTGCCACACATACACACACACACACATATATATATTCATTCACGGACCGTGAATCAAAACTGCACTAAAGGCATTTCATTTGATAGTTATGAGACAGCAACCACACATGCGTTCATAACACCTACAATGCACAAAAATATGGAAGAGTCTGAAATATTAAAATCTGAGATAAGATCAGTATTGCTCATTATAAACAGGTACAAAGCAATACGAATAGACAAGATTGTAATAGAGATGCTATCAGTCTTAGAAAAGAAAAGATTATAGAAATAATAAACAAAATATATGACAATGACGACAAATGAATGCATTGGACTATCAGCTTAATGAGACGCATAATTATCATCCCGATTCTAATGAATAGCGGAATTATAACAGAAATAGGATGGCTTCATTAAAGACACTGGAACAATTGACTGATTGTTATTTAATGCATTATTTACATTCCTCAGAGTGTTATCCTCATCCTCACTGCTATATTCACAGCTCCGGTGATTAGAATTTCATCCACCAGGGTAGATTGTTCTAGTTCCACATGCCATGCTTTTTAGTTATTTCCCTTTAACTCAATTCTCCAAGTCTTGGTTCGCCACTGCTGTGGCCTGGTATTGAACTCACAACTCTTTCGATCTAAACAATTTTTTTTTCTCTAGCGCCCCTTATATTGTATTTATTTTTATGCTTGGTCAGCTCAGGAGATTTTTGCGGTCTAGCATATGTGCTGATTCATTAACTTTTCAAATCTACCAGTGATGTTCTCTATCTGTTATTTCAACCTCATCCCACAGGAAGTGGTGAGCTCCCTTTTCCCTTCATATGTGGTCAGCTATGCCTGATTTTTCTATTTCCCCTCATGTTACCACTTTACAGTGTTCTTGTAGTCTTACCTTAAAGGGGGTGGCCTATTTCTCCTTTGAATTTCTTAGCACATGGGATGGTGTACACACAGTCCTTAGTCAAGTTCTCCTCTATGGTGGGGTGGGGTCTTACTCAGAAGAGGTGTCTGTGAAGGGTTGAACCACTTTTGAAGGTTGTCTCGATGTTATATGGACCACAGATCTTTTGTATTTTCGCCAATAGTCCCTTCACATAGAGTAGGCAGACTGAAGCGGTTTTTGAGTGCTGTTATCCTCTTGTAGCCTTCTATACCAATTTGCCAGACCTGCTGCCATGTACCCAGGGTGGTTGTTACATTGTAGGATACTTCTAATACTGACCGTTTCTAGTTCATATGTCTCTTGGTCATCACTTATGACTTTTGCTCGATGTTGTAAGCAGTGGACAATCCCTTTCTTTAGACCGTATGGATGGTGGGAGTTGAAGTTGAGGTATTCTGTTTCCTTAAGTTTTCATATTTTCCACTGATGCTCTCCGTCTATTATTTCAACCTCATCCCACCGGAGACAGTGATCTCCCTTTTCCCTCCATCTGTGGTCAGCTATGCTTAATTTTTCTATTCCCACTCGCGTTACTGCTTTACGATGTTCTTGTAGTCTTACAGGCTCGATGTTGCTTAACTTCAGTGATTGTACAGTAAGTGGTGTTTCCACGTGATATGGCTATAAGCACACACACAAAGAGGAGATTTAAGGCAACAGAAATGTGGTTCAACAGAAGGATGTTGAGAATACCATGGACAGAGAATGTGATCACTTAGGAAGTCTTTTAGAACAAAAAGGACAATTTTGCTTACAATTATAAAGAGACAGTTGGAATTTTTGGAAAACAAATGAAGAAAGTGGGCTTAGAGAATTTGATATTCACAGAACAATATCAGAAGGCAAGAGAGACAGAGGGGAAACAGTGAGTAACCATGCAAATGGATGGTAGAACAGGAACGGGAAGAGATGCTAAACATTGCTTAGAGCAACAAAAGATAGATAGAGCTATGATGACCCACATCTTGAAGGGATATGCCGCATAAAAAGAAAAAGAATTCTATACTTTATTTAGACTAGAATCATCTTTTTCTTTTGTTACAGTGTTTCATCCAATGTGCTTGCTGGTCATCGTCAGGTGTATGTCTCATTCAAAAATATTTGAAGTGTGTTCCAAATTTTTTTCTTTTAAAATTTAGAAGTGCAAAATAAATCTTGAATATTCAATGTAAAGAATTTGTCACATTGAAACGAGGGTAGAATTTGGGTAAAAACTAAAACAAAAAACTGTGGAGGATATTCAAAAATTATCAGAGGCAATATTCACTTGGTGATGGTTGGAGAACAGATCAGCTTAAATGCAAAAAATCAAATCAACGAAGATAGGGAAACAAATCTGAATAACTAAGAGAATAAGAGCAGAATACTTAATACAACCATTGCATCCACTTTCAGTCTGGATTGTACACGAAAAGAAGGTGATAAAATGAATTGGCCAAAGTTTTGAGGGTAACAACATCTAAACAACACTTGAACGAAAATAGAAAAAAAAATCACAAAAATTCTACTGTTTTATTATATTGGCTTTGCTAAAAAGTTTGTTTGGTTTATTAAGTAAATTATTTAGTTAATAGCTAAACTTTTTGGTTAATCCAATACATAGATTTTCTCATATTCAGTGAGAAGCATCAGAAGTACAAGGCCAAGAAAAATGAGAGAAAAAAAAAAAAATCAGTGAACTTACATTTCTGATTTCTTCATTTCGAATCAAAGTCCTGAGAGCCACCAAAGCACAGATTTGGATTGAAATGTTTGCATCTTGGCAGGCAAGATCCAATAAACTGCAAATAGAAAAGAAAATTCAAAGTACAAAATGAATAAAAAAAAAAGAAGACTTTCTTCCTCTTTGCTTAAATCTCACAATCCAAATTCTTTTATTTCACCTAAATGGTGCCATTTCCTTATAAATAAGAAACATTCAGCATTTATTGACTGAGCAGTTGATGATGGTTGAAAATTATAAAATCTGTCTCTTAAAACAATTTTTCCCAAAAATAAGTTTTTCAAGTCCAGTAACTGTTATTGCTCTTTCCTGTACTAATGAGGGTTTCCTTCCTTGCCTATTGTTTGGGGTAATGTGGAACTTCGGCATCATGATTATGTTAATATTCTCTCTTTGAATTCCATTTTAGTTGCTGCTGCTGTTCAAAGTCCTATTTGAACAGCAACATAATTTATCCCATTGGAATCGTAAATACAATCCATCAGACCTACAAATTCAAAAAGCTTTTTGTAGGTCTGATGAATTGGATCATATTTACGATTCCAATGGAATAAATTATGACCATGGAATATAAGTGTTTAAGCCTTTTAATATATCCTTACTCTGTCCTGGACATTGAGTTCTTTTAAGAATAGTAATTGTTGGCTATTGGAATTCATTCCGTATATACCAATTATATACTTGTGTGTATATATATATATATATATATATATATATATATATATATATATATGTTGGCTTCATTTTTAAATCCTTGTGCCACTTTTATGACTTTGGGGTCATTTATTTTTTTAGAAATATTGTCGGCTTCAAGAAGGCTGTTGATATGCATGTATATCCATAATTATTTATTCCACCACCTTCATCAGAAAAGGATATATGAATAAATGTGGTGGCATGATAATTATGGCTGTACACACATATCAACAAAAATGAAACTCCTTCTCAAACACAATATTTATGAAAATAAAAATGAGACAATGTCATAAAAGTGATACAAAGATTTAAAAACGAAACCCCCAAATTATTAAAAACTGAAAACAGGTCCTAGTTAAAACTTATCAAACATCACCAGGAAATACTCATACTTTACACTATATATATATATATATATATATAAATATATATATGGGAGAGAGGGAGGGAAAGATTTAAATATGTATGTTTGTGTGTGTGAGAAAACAAGGGAAATATTTGAGAAAATATTATTCACATATGATACATAATATGTAGAAATGAACCAAGTTAGGCAATGGATAATGTGTTTTATCAAATGGCAACAATGTGACAAGACACTTGCCAGTTGGCCATGCACAGCTGTCACCCCCCCCCCACTGAAGGAAGAATTCTTGTTCCTCACTAGGGAAAATGCATCACTAATGGCAGTGGCTCTGTGGAAAAATAATGTTTTTGTAGCTGAAAACTTACTCTATCCCAAAGTGGTAGTGCACTCCCTGTAATTGTTGTAGATTCTGTAGGTAAAAAAATATATCTAAACATATTACTTTCAGAGTATCCCTTGTATATATGAAATCAAATGAAACAGACTGAAACATTTAAAAAAAAAGGGTTATATTTTCGTGCTAATAGGAATATATACTTGAAAAAACAAGGGGGATAAAATAAGTAAAGGTTTAATGTAAAAACCAGTACAATAAGAATAAAGGTAACAGTTATGCACAAGGTTGTCGCAAGTCAATCCGGTAATGATTGCTACTGTTGGAAGTTGGTAGTTCTCGTGTCAGTCTTAGTCGTACTTAACACATCCCAGCTAGTCTCTGTAGCCTGTTGACTTACAAAGGCTTATAGGTAGTTACTACTTATAGTGTAGTCACTCATGGGGGTGACAGGTTACATCAAAAGAAAGAAAAAAAGGTTACAAATTTAAAATAAAAAGGGACAAGTCATCCATACTCACTTCAGAATGGTTTTATGATGAATGAGTTCTTCACACAGCAAATTTGAATGCAAACCCATATTACCACAAGCACCTGCAAGAAAAATGCAATTCAAAATGAAATTTACTGGCCTTAGAGATTATCCCGGCCTCATGCTGGGCCTTCCATATTTTTTTTTTTTACAAATAATGGAGGTTACTTAGCAGTGACACTCTTCTTTCCAAGTAATACATGACAAGTTGCACCAAGTTTCTTAGCACAGACAGAGGCACCTCAACATGGTGTAATGGCTAAGCAAGCTTGTCTCGCTAGAACCATTACTGAGTAGTGAGTTCAATCCTCACTGGGTGCCCCATGCTTTCAGCCATGTGCCACATCTAAGCTGTGCTTAGAAAATCTTTGGGCACCTCGGCGTGGTGTAATGGTTAGCAAGCTTGTCTTGCTAGAACATATTACGACTAAGTAGTGAGTTCAGTCCTCACTGGGTGCTACATACTTCTGGCCTTGTGCCATATCTAAGCAGCACTTAGAAAATCACTACTTAGCACAGACAGTAGGGAATAGTCCTTAACTACATCTTTTGATAGAGACAAGTTCTTACCTTTCCCAACACGAACTACGGCAACCAGAATTTGATCTCCGTTAAACAATTTCATTTTCAATGTTAACCTTTAGGCCAACTGAGACACAATTAGAAATGCAATAAAGGATACTTTTATTCCTTTTATAATCGCTTCTCTGTCATGAGAAACCATTGCAAGTCTCATGGATATTAATCATTTATCGCATTCAATGTTAGAAGACATATTTGGTAGCATCTAAAGGGAATTAAGATCACTTCAGACCTCAAGTGGAACTCGTATATATGATCCATTGCTAAAGATGATGGAAAAATGGTCAGTTTCTTGTACTGCTCCAGAAAGTACTTGACTCTTCCTGCCATGCTGTATCTTACAAAAGCCAGAGCAAACAAAAAATGGTGTATTGGTGCCACATTTGGGCTGGAACAGCCGAATCTTCACTTTCCATCCTTGACAGAGATCAAAAGGTGTTATATGACTTTGTGGTTTGGTTTGGTTTGCTTTATGGCATATCAATCTCAATGGGTTATTTAATGCCGACAAAATTTTTATTGCTGGTAATATATTTTTTTTTTAATGTATAGTTGGTAATTTTTTTTCAAAAATGTATCACAGGTAGTAATGTATTGCTGGTAATAATTTTTCTTCAAAAGTTTATTGCTGGTAATAATTTTTTGCAAAGTATTTCTGGTATTAAAACCTATTTTTACACAAATTTGGATGTTAACTATTTACCCATAGCTGGAACCCCAACAGGTGCTACCACCCCAAATCAGAGTAGACCTGGGAACACCAGCAATTAAGTGGTTCCAAGCTCCTCAAAACCTCCTGATCAGAGGCCTTGCTCTTGGACATAGTTTATCGTCTTACCCAGGACATGGATGTAGTTTATTGTCATACCCAGATGAATTATTTTCCACCCTACAACGTCTTTGCTAGCATCTTGCTACTCTAATGCTATTTTCATAGCTGGTAATCAGATTCCTTCATTCCACCAGTCCAGACCTTTACAACTTCAACATGCTATGCCATGTACACAGTTAAATTATCCTCATTCCGTTTGTATTCCATTAATAAGAAAGAAGTTCTATTCAGACTGCTTCTGTTACTTTGATTCCTTAATCACTACAATCATAACCTTTTAAATTCAATGGCCATACATTACTTATCTTAAAAATCCTCATAATATGCACCTATTACTCTCTCTTTGTATCTCCTTACAACAAACTCACTCAGTAACTTTCTACCTTGAGTGGCTCTATATAAGGTGCTACTTAATACTTATAATTAATCCCTTGGAATTAATTGGTATCTATGTAAAAGTTTGCAATTCTTCAAGATTATTATAAGTTGACTTTGTCACTGTGCCGTCTTAAAAGCCCTTTTCATTAGTTAAAAACGTGTGTTTGTTATGATAACAATTTTGTTTCTCTGTTCAATATGCACATAGATAGATAGATAGATAAATTATATCTTCAGCATTCTTTGATGTTATAACCAACTTTTGCAGTATTTCAATTCAGTATTTTTTGCAGTATTTCTGTTCCATATGCACATTGATAGATAGATAAATTATATCTTCAGTATTCTTTGATGTTATATTATAACCGACTTTTGCAGTATTTCGCCACACTAATTTATACAAAATCCAATCAGTAAAGGTATCAAACACATAATATAAGAGGGCTATTTTTTTTATCCCTAAGCCAGCATGGAGAGAGAGAGAGAGAGAGAGAGAGAGTACAAGGGTGAGATGTCAGGTTTGCCAATGTATTTCTTACTTGTTATAAATAAGAAAAAGAGATCATACTTACTGGCGGCATGGGCTCTTGTCTTGTTGATGGGATCCTTCAGGAGCTGTGTCATGATGGGGATGGCAGGGATGAGCTGACGGTAGAGAATATCACTGTGAAAGGCAGCATTTCCCACAGCATAGGACGCACTCTGAACAAAAAGAATGAAAGGGTCAGCATTAATGGTCACACTTCTGCCACTTTTTCAATGCAATGTCAAGACTGAATATCCTCAACTGTCACTCTCATAGCCTATGATTTAACATGCTTTTTGAAACATTAGTTTTGAAATCCAAGGCACATAACAAGAAAAGAAGGCTTAGAGAATTAAAGGAATGATTCTTGGTCATATTGAAGGCAAAAACGGACAAAGGAAAGCAGCCCATAATCTATCTAATGAGCTTGTGTAAATAGAGGACTGAACAGGGTTTAGGTGAGATAGCAAAAAGACAAAATTTACTAAGACCTTACAAAGGATAGAAAATTATGGAGAGCCATGATCGCCAACATCCTGAAGAGACATGGTGCATAGAAGAAGAAATTCTGCAATCTTGGAACATTGCAATAAGAAGAAAAATCTGGTTGTTATACTTTATGCAGTTGTCCTTTATTCAATATCATTTTTTCATGCCATGTCCATTCAGGACTTAGAAGGCCATGGCACTCCATAGCTTCCTTTTTTATAATATCTGTGAACAACCATGACTTTGCAAAAGATAATTGAAAGCTTTTAGGTTGGCTACCACAGAAAGCTTGAGCGCACAATCTGCACTACTAATTAACCCATATCAGAGGGGGTTTGCCTTTCCCAGGGGCATTAATGCAAAGTGAACAAAACAAACTAGATTAGAATCTGAACTCAACTTTCTAATTTCCTTTAATACACACCCTTCAATACTGGAGTTCTTCTTCATAGTATATACAGGTTTCGATCTTACAGGGGAGTGTGAGGCCACATCCCTCGCCTTACCATCACTCCTCCTGTTTCTATGGCTGAGCGTCATCATAGGCTCAAGGATCAGTCGAATTTCCTCCTAGAGTGTCAAGCGGCCTTGAGGGTCATTCTTTGGTCCAGTGACCTTTCTCGGCCTAGGAGAGTTGTGTATCAGGAATTAGAGGAGGGCGTCATGTTGGATCTGTTCTGTGACCAGTTCAGTTAGTCGGTAGCCGAGTTGCACTCTTTCTGAGGATTATCTCAAAAGCTCTGAGGTTTTGATTACATGGTGAATGGTTTAGAACAGTCTATCTCTTAATGACATAGCTTTCAAATGGGGCTTTGCAGATTTGCCTGACTGCCATCGATGTGACCTTGGCTTAGAGGAAATGGCTTCACACGCCTGCTACTATTGTCCTCAGGTGCACCTTCTCTGGGACTATGTTGGTTAATTGACGGCTCATGTCACTCCCGAAAAGCTTGTGTCCAATGATCGCACATACACGTGTGATAATGTGTTGCCCCTGTATTATGGGGTGAAATGGATGGTGTTTCTGGCCACGGCTCGAATGGTGATTTGGACGATGTGGATGGAGGAAATTTTGTGATGTGATTACTATTCTCATCAGGGTCTGATCAGACTCTTTGAGCATCAGCTCATTATGAAGATTAGAACTGATAGAAAGTGTTTGGTATTGACAGATTTCAGCAAAAGGTGAGTAACTTTGGTGAGCCTGGTTCATGTGAAGGGAACTAGCCTTGATTTTCCTTTTTAAGTCCCTGTCACAATGGAGTGGTTTCCTGTGAATCCCTCTCCTGGTTAAGATAGACTCTTCTTGTATACCTAGTTATGTGAGTAAATGTCATTCCCGGACTGTGCCCAACTCCTCCTATGACCCAAGTCAAGATTCACAACCTCCACAGCTTCCCCTTGTCATCTCAACTGGGTAAGTTTTTGTGAATTTTCTCATGCTTATAATTTTTTTATCCTTCTTCCTCCATTAGAGAGCCTCTTGATTTTGTCAAAAGACAGAATGTAGCAGCAATTTTTGAGGAGTGGATGGCTCTTACTAACATCATTCTTTGGACACCTCGAAGTGGTGTCATGGTTAGCCAGCTTGTCTCGTTAAAACTATTATGACTGGGTAGTGAGTTCGATCCTCACTGGGTGCCCCGTACTTTCAGCCTTATGCCACATCTGAGCTAGGCTTAGAAAATCACTACTAACATCATTCTTTTTTCAGTTTGTTTTCGGGGTCATCAGCCCCCACCCCATCATTTCACAACATTGATATAATTTTTATATTTTTGTATACACAATTGTACATATTGAAATTTTTAGGTCATGAGGTAATTTTTATTTGGTAAGTGCCCTGTGTGTGACGTATTTTGGTATATGTAGGAGCAAATGTTGACGGACGAATTGATTTTTATGGTGAATAAATTGTAACGAACGAATCATGAGTCTGATTAGCTAGGTATAGGATAGTTAGTGTCGACCAGCCTTGACCCATCTCACCCCTTTTTTTCAGCCTTGTGCCACAATTACTGTTAACAGTATTAAATCGTATACATCAGAGTATTTATTATGTAACCCCTACTTTTTGATGTGTAAATAATATTTTTTTTCTATTTGTTGTGTAAGAAGAACTATATTAAAAGACATTTTTCCCAGGGGAATCAAACCAGGAAAGCTCAGAGCCCAAATGTTGAGGGGTGAAATGATTGTTAAAATTCTGGTGAAAGGAAGTAGTGATGCTTGAACATGTACAGCTATTCCTTGATCCAATTACTGACCACTTTATTCAGTATCTTCAACTAAGATAGTGGCATTAAGTCTAACGACCTGCGGGAAGAAATGGTGTGACATATCTTCATTGCTCACCATGCCCAGAACTATTACAGATGATAAAGATTACAAACAAAAATGGCTAAGTTGAATAAAGAAGTATCTGTAAATTGATTGCTCAATATTAATTTTAGCAACGAAAGAAGAGCTACATTGGATGGATCTGATGGCTGAGCCAGAGGTTGGGTAAGGCCCTTCATCTTAATAATGAAACCCAAGCAAATACTTATTCTTATCAAACTACCTTTGAGAAATTTAATTATTTTCAACAAATTCGTTTAGGGTTCAAACCTCAGCAATTACATTTTATATATCTGACGTGATTTTAATTTTCCGTTTCTATTCTTATTTTTCTCCTAATTATTTAAGGGAAATTTCACAATTTATTTCTAATTTCTAATCACCTCAAATCACCATTTTGCATTCTCATGGTATTATAAAAAGGTTTTATAAATGGCTAGATGCAACCATAAGTTCTATTCTAATTAGTATCTTCTCTCGCACTTCTTACTTGTAGAACTCTCTTCCGGCTTCTTGCTTTCCAGTCAACTTTGATCTTCCAAAATTTAAATGTAATGATAATTGTTATCTTCTGTCCTCTTAATTCCTGTTCTTTTATTGTTCTCTCTCCTTAATAATGTTTTTTCTGATATTCTTTTACACTCAGTAACCCCCTTGCATCTTAGTGACTTTATTACCTTGCTTGATTAAAAAAATGAACTGATATAATCTTTTAAAAGAGATTTTTCTGCTTAAATGTCAACTGATACATTCGACTGTGTGTGTGTATATATATATATATATATATATATATATATATATATAAAGGCAGGATGTGTGTGTTTGTGTGTAACGAATGCACGGCCGCAATTTTCAATGGATTTGCACCAACATTTACATGCACATGCTTCAGGTCAGGCTGGTAGACGTGAATTTACATCACTGTTTAAAAAAAAAAAACAGGAATATCTACTCAAACATGTATCTCTATCTATAAAAGCAGGATGTGTGTGTGTGTGTGTGTAACGAATGCACGGCCGCAATTTTCAACGGATTTGCACCAGAATTTACATGCACATGCTCCAAGTTAGCGGCAAGGCCAAAACCAACTTTGCATTTCCCAACTCCCATCGATAGTGGAAATAATCGATTTTTTCATGCTTCTACGACAGTTTTCATGTAGTTTGCGGTCATTTTCTACTGGCCAGAGTGAGAGCCAACAGCTGACTGACACAAATATTAACTAGCATGCTAGCATGCAAAAAAAAAAATCGATAGCTGCATTCGTCACAAGTGGGAAAAATTTAAATCTGCATGGCACTTTACTCCAATTGGTTCATTCGCTTGCTTAAACTCAACGTTGATTCTGATTCCGCAGAACTGGGTTAGGTGTGAAAAAGTATTTGTTGTTAACATTCTTTTTCATTTGTTTTTCCAGTTACGAGTCCTTTTTTAAAGCTGATTGTTTTGTGTTCATTTTGTTTAGTTCTTTTTTTGTAACAGATTTAATGTTTAGTATAGAGCTTAGAAAAAATTTGCAGTGTGAGATAGGCAAGAAGTAAGGCATGTAGCAACATATTGATAATAATTTGTTGTTAGCAACAAGTTTCATTATGCAAACAGAGTGCAGCATAAATATTTATATTCATATAAATTCAAAAGATGTCTGTAGAAATATGTATTTGATCAACACAGTATCCCATTTTTCTCGCACTTCTCACCCTTGAAATGCTTTTTACTTTCCTGCCACCTACAATCTTCAAAAATTTAAATCCAACATCAATCACCATCTTTTGTTTCCCTGAATCCTGATCATTTTATTTTCCTTTTTCCTCAACAAAAGTTTTATTCTTTTTCACTCCTTGCATCTTCAGCTGGTCAAACAATTTCTAGAAAGCCAGATCTTGCAAGAAAATGGCACCTACCTTTCTTACATTTGCCTCTTTGTCTTTTAAACAACCAAGAAGGTCCGTGAAGAGCTGTTCTCTGAAAAGAAGAGGCAAAAATCAAATCAGGAAGAAAGTTTTACATGTAAAACACACTTGAATAATCTCTCATTCATCTTGCTCGCTACAAAAGGAAAGTCTTGTTTACCTCTCACAGGATTACTCTTGCTTCAAATACTGCATCACAATTTACTCCAAGAAATCAACAAAAATGTCTTCAGTTAAAAGATTAAGCAATTTCTATTTAATGGTGTTGGTTTGTTGAAAAAGGTTGTCTCCTCCTACATAGGAGTAGAAACTCATAGGACAATTATTGAGGTTTAGAAACACAGAGACCGGCAATGAGGACACACACTCTCAAAAGGACCTGGGACCTGCTCCTAGGCCAAAAGACCAGCTCCAGACCTCTCTGGTAATTCATACTTCTATGTAGGGGAGGACAATGTTTGTATTAGCTTTTCTGATATTAAATATTGTAATCATTGTAACGTGCATCTAATCCTTTTCCTTAACCTATTCCCTCCAACAATGGTGAACTGGTTTATTCATTATTCATTATATTATGCACATGGTATGTAAATAAATATAATCATAAATCAAAACTGTGAAAAGGTCAATAAAAGCAGTTTTTGTCTTAATGAAAATCTAGAGATACTGGTCTGTATTAACATTCATGTTTGGGATCGAAGTGTCAGTTCTGGTCTACTCTTAGCGAAAGACAGATTAGACTTCTGCGTGGTTCCGATGTCATACATTCATATTGCCAGCAACATGTCATAGAAGAGCAGGAGGTCGCAGAAGAGAAGCAACATAAAACCAACATAACAGCTGTCCCAAGCATCACCAATCTACCAACCCAGACAATAAATTGAAGCCCTGAATAAAAAATACCTACTTAATAATAAGGGAAACAGGGTTTTTGTTATTATTTCTCAACATTGTATTTGTCTTTGGGTTAAGATGTGTGTTTACCGATGAGAAACACGATCTTAGGGCAGGAGGCGATGTTTTAAATCTGGGTTGTTGAAAAAACAATGGAAATGATCTAAATAAAGTTTATTGGTTAAAAATTGAAATAGAGCTTACTCAGGCTATGAGATATTTGGTTTTGTTTAACAGTATTTGTTTTGATTAAAAGGTTGAATCAATGTTTAGATATCCCAAAGTATAACTTTGGTGAAGCGAGAAAAACTCGTGGTAAATAATTGGAGAATCAGTTTACATGTCAAGGGACAGTTTTTGACACTCATGATAATCGCGTGCCGGGCCAAGGGTCGATTCATGATCAAACAGATTTATCTATATAAACCAGTGTAGTTATGCTGAAGAGGAAGCAGACAGTCAAGTGAGATGGAAGAGGAGGCAGACTGTCGAGCGAGACGGAAGAGGCCTGACAGAAGAGAGAGTCGGGGTACGAGACCATCGTCGAGAAAGTCATAAGAGATTTGCGGGAGAATTAGAGAAGGAAGACTTCCCCCTGTTCTGAGAAGTCTGTATGAGACTGGACTACTAGTCATAAACCTACCCTAGGCGATTCAATACGCGTTTATCACACACAAACCCTCTCTCTGTTAGGAATTCGCTGGATGCATTGTGTCTTTTTCTTTTTCTTTTCTCATTTATGTTAAATGTTTTTATTCTCCTTGTAACCTCTGTTCTGATGTTATCTTCTTATATAAAAGACGTCAATATTTCCCCCATTGTTGTCTGTCTACTGCAGATATTATTTCTTGTTTTATTTTGCCACATTCTAAACTTCTTACCGCCAACTCTCACAGCCGTGTCCACACCCCCAGTCGACCGTGAACGTATGGACAACACCCCACTTACTGGATCTAAAAACTAACACAGCATGGGCAGCAAGCAGGACTTGACCAGTTGACTGGTCGAAATAATCTATGGTTACTCAGGGAACGTACGGCCAGTTACCCCTAAGTTCGGTTTGGACCGAGTGGACACCTCAACCCAAAGAGGAAGACGGAATGGTAGAATAGAACATGTTTATACTTTCACAAATCACTAGTGTGCTCTTTTAATAAGCAACGCAACAGGATTTTCCAAATGAATCAAAAAACTTTTTACATGTTACAAGATTCAACCATTGACCTAGAGAGAAAGAATATTTAGAATCACTGAATTTTACCTTTTCCAAAGTATTCCAAGATCCTTCTACATTAGAACAATTTGACAAACGTATCTTACTCGTGGTTTCTCAGTAAAACAAGGAAAGGAAGGATAAAAAGGTATTATTTATTGACTCACCTTTCTTGAAACGCATTGCACAAAAAGTCTGAATGTTTTAAGAGGTTTCCCAATAAATTGCAAGTACGGGATTTGATACCAGCGTCTGGATGAGTGAGCATTGGATGAAGCACTTGATAGTCACCTGGAAACAAGAAGAAACATTGCAAAGAAAGAAGTTCTTTGAAAAGGCTAAGAAAGAGGGGGGTTCAATTCAAGAATTCCACAAATATCTATTGATTGGTTTCTACAGCCAAACAAGTCAAACAATAAGTCAGACAAACTCTCAAGGATGTGATATGCACATTCAAATCTCATTGGAAGATACATTATTATTTGTAATTCATTTCTGATTCATGTTGCTTAATTAACAGGTAATACTATGCTTGTGAGGTTAACAAAAAAACAAAAAACTGAAATGTCTATACCTCACAGACTTTGGCATTACTCGTTAATTAGGTGCCTTTTATAAGATTATGTGAAAATCATATACATTTAAATGAGTGACCGTGATGAATAAAAAAAAATTGACCTTTATGCACTGATTTTTTTCATGAAATACCATCTCTCAGATGCTTTGACATCATTAAGCCCTTTGGGTTTTAGAACAACACACCTCTTCTCTACAGTGATCCAATCGATATTGATCCAATATCAACTTGTGTGCCAGCCATCAGCTATAACTCTTATATAGAATGCTCCTAACCCACTGTGAGGAAAAAAATCAAAACTCATGCATTAAAAAAAAAAATAAAAAAAACCACACCCCATATGTCTGTTTGGTGGGGAAAAAGATAAATGTAACTCTGGTGAGTGAGCAAACAGTCTACATTTTAAATGGAGGAGTCAATATTAAAATAAGGGATGATTCTTTAATGTTAACAGATGGAGCTCGTTCAAGTTTTGTCTATTCTCTCACCAACACTTTTACACTTATTCTTGTGATTCTCTCTGAGCATTCTCATTGGAAAAATGAAAAATTTATTAAGTGAATTCAGATGACCACTCAATGCAACATACTCATGAGAAAAACAAAAAAATTTGTCAGCCAAAACTTTTGCCCATAACCCTGTTATTTACTTTTTGATGCTCTTTTTGGAAAGATGGAAACATAGAAAAAGTAAAAGTACTAAATAAATTCTAATGACCACCAGATGCAACATACTCCTGAGGAAGGCCGAGGAATATGTCGGCTAAAATGTTAAAACTACAGAATTGAAAACAATGGTTTGAAAGATATAAAGAATAATGAAAACATATTTGTTACTATTGTTCATCAACTACAAGGCCCATGAGCCACTCAAGGTAGAGGGTTGCTAAATGAAGTTGTTGTAAGGGTGTATAAGGAGGCAGCAAGAAATGCATATTATGAGAATATGCAAGATAGATAACAGTTGACCCTAGACTTGAAGGGACTAAAATGCATCTTCTTGGGTATCTGTTCTACAATACAGCAGTTCTGGGAAAGAAGCTGTCTGTGGGACTTCCTCTTGATCAGTGGAATACAAAGGACACTACATCACCATCACTAAAGGAGAGACAACATTTTGTTGCTTTTGAGAGGAAATAGCCCATGAGAGGCCTTTTAACTGATGTAGTAATGACAGCAGTCATTCTACAAATGCTTGATGATCTTAGCAATGAATTGTTGAATGAACAAACTACTAAAGATGATATTTCTGACCCCAAAATCGATGATTGGCTGTTTTGTTTTATGGCATATCAACCTCAGTGGGTCATTTAATGCCAAAAAATTTTGAAAATAGATTCATAGCGATAGTTTGGTAAAAAAGGTGTGTATGTATACATATATATTTGAACCATTTTTCAATTACTCATATTTTTGAGTACAATCCAACTTCTTTTAGGAAATTTACAATCTTGAATGGTTTTATTTTCATAAAAAGTTTTTTTTTTTTTTAAATTACTCACTTGGTAATATTTTGTATAGACTATTTTGTATTCTGAGTTCCATTCTCTAATTTTTTTTTTTTTCCAAAGAATGTATAGCTGTTTGGATTATTGGTAATTTTTTTTTAAAGTATTGCTGATAATAATTTTTCCTTCAAAAATTATTGCTGGTAATTTTTTTATTACAAAATATCTCTGGTATTAAAACCTATTTTTACACAAGTTTGGGTGTTAACTATTTGCCCATAGCTGGGACCCTAACTGGAGCTACCACCCCAGGTCAAGACAGACCTGAGAACATTAGCAATTAAAAGGTGGTTTCATGCTCCACAAAACCTCCTGATCAGAAGCCTTGCTGTGGGATGGAGTTTATTGTCTTACCCAGGATACAGATGTAGTATATCGTCATACCCAGGACGGCCCGAAAATCGATAATAGAATTATATGCCTCTTTGTTGGTTTTTTAATCTTATAATTATTTTGTCAAATATTCTCATGCAACCTATCATAATTTAAAAAGAAAATTCTATTGCAGAATTCAAGTAATCATTAAAATGTGAATTATAATAAAATATGGAAGTACAAGGATGCTAAATGTCTACTCACCAGTAGGTCCTGCCAGAACTGATTGAATAAATGAGACATGGTTGGTTGAACTTCTAACAAGATGACAACAGATTGAAATGATATCACAGATGACACTTACAGAAACAGTCTCAGACGTTAAGGTTTGGTGAAGAAACAGGACAGCCTGAAACAGTAACAAAATAAAAATGAACAATTATTTTATCAACAAAAGCGTATTGGTCTGAAAGACATTTTACAAATATTTATCCCACCTATCCTGCACACTCATTGCCACTATTTTGATAATTTCACTTCATGGTTGAAATGTCCATGTCACATTAAAATATATAACAGGAGGTACATTGTCAATAGTCTAGTACAGGGGTAGCCAAACCATGGCTTGCAAGCCATATGCAAAAATTTGACTTTTAATATACAGCTTGTGGAGATATGTTGGCTGATCTTCTTGTTTATCACAGTTAATATAAAAAAAGGTAAATAAGAAAAATTTCAAGCTTTATAATTCTTTATTGGGTATGAATTGAGTCACCACTGGATTAAAATGTAAGTTTAATGTTAATCTGTATGTAACAAAAACGTATGCGTAAATTTTGTTCATGTCTTGCGGCTCTCAAACATCTGTACTTTGTCATAAGTGTCTCTTACATTAAGCAAGTTTGACTATCCCTGATTTAGAAGATGACTTTATCATTTAACAGGTCCTGTGTTGATTTTAATGCAAAGCTTTAAATGTGCTTTTCCCAGAATTTAAAAAAGGAAAAGAAAAGAAAGGAAAATGAAACCCAATGCTTTTATCAAAAAAGGCTTCTGATCTCAAAAGATTCATCACCACAGATATATTCTCAACCTTAAAGACCTGACAAATAGAATCCTGTACTTATAATCTAGCTTTGTTGAATATTGCTTCTCATTTAGGACTTAAGGCAGACCAGATCACATTTTTCTCCCGACTGTGATAATAAGGCAGAATGTGGCTCAGTTGTCTTATGAGAAGGTACTGAAAAGTTCTTGGTCTGATACACTTTCCAAAATCTAATCAAATAACCAAACTATTGTTTTCAAAGTGTTTCTTGTCCAAGCCAAGAATATTTCAGCTCTCCCCCCTCTCTCTCTCATTGAAGTTATTCAGTATCAATGCAGTATATAGATGGAGAACTGCTTGGGAACATCAGATATTGCTAGTAACCTTCTACAATGGGAAATATGTTCCAGCTTTAAATAACTCACAAATGGTTAATAAGCCACAAAAATTTACTTCCTGGCTTGGTAGCAGGATGGATACAATTAGATAAAATCAAACACAGAAAAAGTAATTGTTCCAAAGTTATAGATTAGTTCTTCCTGCTGGTAAATACAAAACAAGACTATGAAACATTTGTATATTTTACATTGTAAAATAATATTTGAAAAAAATGTTTCCATGCCTTTCTCAAAAATAGTAATAACCACAAATTTTTTGCATCAAAAGGCCTAGACGAATAAGCAATACTAAATAAAGTACCTTTGTATTATAATACTAATCATTAAATGTTAATGAAAAAAAAAATAAGTAAGCAGGTCATCATCAACTTACAACCTATGTGACTTTTAATTGTTTGATTTTATGTCTAGCTGTCTGGTTATATCCATGCTTCATGTCTGGCAGCATGAGTGTATACCAGCTTCTGGCCCAGCTTCTGATAGTGCTAACATTCCTTCATGCACCTCAAGCTCAGTTTTAGGGAAGGAAAACTTGTTAAAAAAGACTTCCCTTTGAAATTTTTCTTCAAACCCCCCACCCAAGATGTTTACCAAGATGAAACTGACTTTGTCTACTCCTCTACGTGTCAAGAAGGAAAGAAAGGTTATTGATCTTGACACAAAAATCATAGTTGATTAACTAAGTACAAAGGAAGACAGTGAATGTGATCACACATGATCTGGATTTATCACACTACACTGCGTTGATGATTTTGAAGGACAGAGAAAGAATTTCTAAAGCTGTGAAAGGTTCTGCAGCTATGCAATCGACAGTTATAACAAAGCAACAGACCAGGTCCATCCATGAAATGGAGAAATTGCTACATATGTGGATGAAACATCAGATCAAAAAACGGTTCCATTGAGCCTTTGTACTGTGAAGATGGAGGTTAGAAGGTGATTTCAGATTTTGAAGGACCATGATGGAGAAGACTAAAGTCAATAATTTGTAGCAAGTACTGGTTGGTTCAAGGGATTCAAGAAAAGATTCCATGCTAGTTAATATTTGTGTCAGTCAGCTATAAGCTCTCACTCTGGCCAGTACAAAATGGCTGCAAACAACATGAAAACTACCATAGAAGCATGAAAAAATTGATTATTTCCACTATCGATGGGAGTTGGGAAATACAAAGTTGGTTTTGGCCTTGCCGCTAACTTGGATCATGTGCATGTAAATTTTGGTGCAAATCCGTCGAAAATTGCAGCCGTGCATTCGTTACACACACACACACACACACACATCATGCTTTTATAGATAGAGATACATGTTGAGTAGATATTCCTGTTTTGTTTTTTTTTAAACAGTGGTGTAAATTCACGTCTACCAGCCCGAATAAAGAATGTAGTACAACCCAAATTTAGGTTTTTGATTTAATTTGATTTTTAGGTTTTTGATTTAACAAAATATCAACCCTTGTTAAAACTATTTAATGTCAGATTCTTTCTTAGTTTTTTTTTTCAAAATTTGACGATATGCAAAAATTGGTTGGATTTATGGTTGAGCCTACATGTAAACGTTTGTCAGTTTTATGTTCATGATTAGAAGTGTCCACATTAGAATGGGACCATTTATATGTGGAATTAAAAACAACAAAAAGATGAAGTTTAGTTTATCATCTTACCTTTGAGTCAGTAGAAGCCATTGAAGCAAACTGCTCAACCATGTCATCAGAAGTAAGAACCAACCGACACAAAAGACTAATAGGAATTTCCAGGTAGTCATCACTGACATAGTAGAAACTTGCAACCATTAAACTGGAAAGAAGTTCCAGATTTGCATAGCATCTGGCAGAGAAGAAAGAAAAATCAATATTAATATAAGAAAAGAATAGTAAGTTTCATTTTAAAACTTTGCTTTAAAAGATGTTCGGTGCCTTCCTCAGCTGAGTTAATCTTTCAAAATCTGTTCTCAGCTGATTTTCTTGGTCTGCCCATATCTATCTATTTCGGACTGTTCACATGCGAGAAAACATTATTCAGCAAACAAAAATAGAAAAACGGTCTGCATGTTGACAGCGCAACAAGAAATATTCGCTACACAAACCAACATTAAATACAGCCACCAAATGTGTACATATGTGCATAACAACACATATATGTGCATATATGCCCAGTCCCACACTGTTCACATATCTTTATGTTTGTACAAGCTCCGGTGGATGAGAGTCCATGTGTGTGTGTCTGCATACATCAGTAAATGTACGTGTGTGTATGTATGTTTGCGTAAGTATGAGTGGTGTCCCTACAAGAATTTTTCCTCCCACTTCCATAAAAAACACCGATATACACAACTATATATAAATTCAAAATTTAATTATTAATCAGTTTGTCTGACGATTGCAAAAAGCATGAAACCCAGGGTCACAAACTCACACTAATCCAACTAAATGTTACCTCTATCACTGATATTGAGCGCTTTCCAATAAGTACCGCGTATATATAATATGCAAATACTATATATAAAAAATTGCATATATAGATATATATATTTATATACATACACATTTCACATATGCATATATATAAAAAATATACATCTATATATATATATATATATATATATATATATATATATATATATATATATATATATATATATATCAGTCAGTTCACATCCATCTGTCTATCTATATATATATATTTATACTATTTACATTATTCAGACTATTGTCCTCATATTTGTCGCCATATTTATTACAACGTTTCGGCGGTTGTACACTCCAGCCATCTTCAGGTGGTTGGAATGTCAAACTGAACCCTTTATTTTGCTCACTGGCGTAGACTGTTCTAGTTCCACGTGCCATGTTTAATGGATGTCAGTTATCAGTTATCTCCCCTTTCCAAGTTCTCCACTGCCTTAACCAGGTATTGAACTCACACTCTTTGGGTCCTGTCACTGGATCTAACTAACACCTTTATCCACTGTGCTATGAACTCCTGGGTATTATAAACCTAATGTCTTCAGCAACCTTTTTTTTTTTTAACCTGTGATTCCAATTTTTGCTGTTATCAAATCATTATTTTACCAGAGCTCATATTGCAATTTTTGTTGTTATTATCACTTTTCTCTGGCACTCCTTATTTTTGATTCCCATATTGTATTCATTTTTATTCTTGATCGGCTCAGGAGATTATTGTGGCCTAGCATATGTGCTGATTACTTAAGTTTATGAATTTTCCATTGATGTTCTTTGCCTCTGATCTCAACCTGATCCCACAGAGTGGGGGGGCGATCTTCCTTCTCCATATGTGGTCAGCCATGCCTGATTTTTCCACTTCCCTTCATGTTACAGCTTTCTGGTGTTCTTGAAGTCTTACTTTAAAGGGATGGACTGTTTCCCCTTTATATTTCTTTTCACAGCTGCACGGGATAGCATACACACAGTCTTTAGTCATGTTCTCCTCTATGGGAGGTCTTACTCGGGAGAGATATCTGCGAAGTGTCGTTCAGCTTTTGAAGGTTGTCCTGATGTTATATGGACTGCAGATCCTTTGTATTTTCTGTGATAACCCCTTCACATAAGGCAGGCAGACTGTTTTCTGAATGTTGTTGTCCTTCTCTTGTGCCCGCCTATCCCAGTTTTTTGGGGCTGCTGCCATGTACCCAGGGTAGTTGTTACATTGTAGTGTACTACTTATACTGACCAATTCTTTATTTAATGTATCTGGGTCACCACTAATGACTTTTGGTCGGTGTTGTAAGCAGTGGACAATCTCTTTCTTTACACTGTATGGATGGTGGGAGTTGAAATTGAAGCACCCATTAGACATCTATTAGATACCCCAGTGAGCGAAATAAAGGGTTCAGTTCACCTGAAGAAGGCCAGAGCCTACAACAGCCGAAATGTTGTAATAAATATGGTGACAAAGATGAGGGCAATATCAATGCCTTCCCATACTTAATACTTCTCGAATTCACTCTCGCGTGGTCATGTATGACATCATGAGCTGTGGTGCAATTTGTCTTATGTGCACGAGTTTGTCATTGCTTGGAAATCTTCCATGTAAACAGAAACAGACTATCATCACTGTTTTGTCCGTGTATTGCTTTATATATTGTAATGTAATTGTCATCTTTGATAATGGCTTATAAAAGCTGAAAGCTTAGATAGGATTAAAAAATATGTATCAATATTGTGACTTTCTTTCTTAGTTTAATGATAATGTTATTAATCTTATCAGATGATATGAAAAGAATTTACATAAAATAAATAGACAACACTTGTCTATATTATTCAATGAAACATGCATCAATATATATATATATATATATATATATATACATGTCTGTTTACACACACACACATATATATTCACATCTATCGAACATATCATAGATATTTATCTCTGTTTATGGATATACATCTATCTATATTCATATCTACCTGTCTCTATTCATATCTATCTCTTTCTATTCATATCTATTCATTTTTGTTTAAATCTACAGTCTGAAGTTATGCAAATCAAATAAACCTCCATATCTCAAAAAATCCTGTACCAATATTTTCAAATTTAAAACTCTTCTATTTCCAACCTTAGTAAAATATTTACCTAAATTTTCTGCCATTTTTAATGATTAGTTTTTCAGATAATTTTCAAAAATGAACTGACTGAAGTTTATACGCAGATTAAACTAATATTAGCTGAAGACCTCTGAAATAAAATAATAATCTGAAATAAAACAAAAACTATTTTTTCTTTTTTTTCCATAATATATATTGAAATATGGGTAATGAGAAGGATGTAACAATGGCTGAAAAACAGAAAATAACAAACTTATTGTGATATCAAAAGAACTTTGCAAAGATCATCGAATGGCAAAGAAGACTGTGGAAAATATAAGTAGCTGAGAACTCAAAGAAAAGGAAAAGGGGAAAAAGAACTTGCTTCCTTGAGACGAACATAAAACTAAAGCAAGTTATAGTGAAACAACCACTATTGACCAGCATTCAGATCTTTCAAAAAGGCTTGAATTGAAGGAGACAAGAAGGACAAAATGTGTGGAATATTTTGTGAATTGAAATAAGCAAAACATCTCCTAGGCAAAACTCCTCTGACCTATCTGTCTCAGTTCATATCCATCTATCCATCCCTGTTCATATCTATCTATCCATTCATCCATATTTTCATATCTATCCATTCATCCATATTTTCATATCTATCTATCTATCTATCTATCTATCTATCTATCTATCCATCCACCTCTGTTCATATCCATCCATCCATCTAACCATTCCTGTTCATATCCATCCATCTATCCATCCCCATTTGTATCCATCCATCCATCCATCCATACATACATCTCTGTTCATATCCATCCATCCATGTTCATATCTATCCATCCTTCTATCTCTGTTCATATCTAGCCATCTATCCATCCATTCTTGTTCATATCTATCCATCAATCCATCCATCTTTGTTCATATCTATCTATCTATCTCTGTTAATATCTATCTATCCATCCATCTCTGTTAATATCTATCTATCCATCCATCTCTGTTAATATCTATCTATCCATCTCTGTTAATATCTATCTATCTATCCATCTCTGTTCATATCTATTTATCTATCTATCTATCTATCTATCTCTGTTCATATCTATTTATCTATCCACCTCTGTTCATATCTATCTATCTATCTATCCACCTCTGTTCATATCTATCTATCTATCCACCTCTGTTCATATCTATCTATCTATCTATCTATCTACCTCTGTTCATATCTATCTATCTATCCACCTCTGTTCATATCTATCTATCTATCTATCTATCTATCTATCTATCCATCTCTGTTCATATCTATCTATCTATCTATCTATCCATCTCTGTTCATATCTATCTATCTATCTCTGTTCATATCTATCTATCTATCTATCTATCTATCTCTGTTCATATCTATCTATCTATCTATCTCTGTTCATATATATCTATCTATCTATCTATCTCTGTTCATATCTATCTATCTATCTATCTCTGTTCATATCTATCTATCTATCTCTGTTCATATCTATCTATCTATCTATCTCTGTTCATATCTATCTATCTATCTATCTATCTATCTATCTATCTATCTCTGTTCATATCTATCTATCCTCTCTGTTCAAATCTCCATTTTGAAATCATTGTATACATATATGATCAATCAAATTTGTCAACAAAAAATGTAAAAACTCTTGGGCATCGGTTGAATTATAATATTAACTGCAAGCTAAATGTTGGAATGATAAACTCTGTCCTGAGTATTTCCCCAGATGAAAATTAAATAATGTCTGGATGAAAATGCCAAACCAAAAAATCAAACTCTCCTTACTTGAGGGTACTCTCGATCACTTCGTCACTTGTGTCCAGGCCAAAAGGATAGCAGCATAATTGTGTCACCCGAAGAATGATATCGGTCACAAGACTTGAACTGGCATTAGCAGTGCTAGAAATCAAATGTCATTGAATTGAAAAATGCAAAATAAGTAACAGAACTGTCCAACAAACAGACTTGACAAAGTTTGCAATAACAAGAAAAGGAAAGGAAAAGGGCGAAAATAACATAAAGCAAGTAAATAATATATGCAAGGCAAATCATCAGTAATATGGCCAAAAAAATACACAAAGAATTGGCTACACACAAAAGTAAGTTCAGATTAGTGAACATAGTATTCTGTTTTCAAGACAAGATAGACTGTGTCAGATGAAACCAGGAACTGAACTATTAGCTTGGAAAAATATCCCAGCATGCATTTGTGTGCTTCTGCCTATAACATGAGGATGGGGAAGTATTTTGCAGTCATTCCTAGTTAAGATTGGAATCAACAGAAATGCAAGGTAATGTTATCAATACAAGAGATGGATATAACAAACCATATTCAATTTGCAGCTAAAATTTTATATGTCCACTTTGCATGCTTTACTCTTGAGAAAAGCATGAATCCATCTCACACTCTCCCCAATATCTCTAGAAAGGTCTTGTCACTGGCATGCTACAAGGGAGGCTGAAGAAAAATGCAGTCAAATCAGGTATTCTTTTCTTATTCTGTTTAAATGTAAGTCATACGGTGTGGAGAGAAGGTATGCCCAGCCAAGTAATATTTATTTCTCTCGAGATGCTATGAAGGACCATAATTCTCAGATTGTGGATTGTGAATCAACTATAGTCTCTCTGCAATACATTTGCTTCAAAGTCATCATCTTTCTACATAAAGAGAAACATCAACCCACATTTTCCTAAAGAAACTCAAGACAGTATATGATTCTATATGAATACCCCACATGACGCATCTATTTTGCTTTACCTAATCCAAGAATTTGAAATTTTATGATGTCATCATCATCATCATCATTATTCTGTCTCTTCTGATTTCTTTTCAACTAAAAATAAATATTCTCTAGGAAATTAAAGAAATAATCAGGGAAAATGAATTTTTCACTTCTAGCATTTCCTTCAATTTGATTCTCTTTCTAAATATGATGTTTTATAAAAATCTCCCCTCCCTAAAGCCAAAAAAATGCAGAAAATCCTTTTTCCTGATTAGCTCAATTGCCAATTCAAAAACTGATTAATAAAAACAAAAAAGTTTTTGCCCATTTACTTTTGCTTTGTAGATCATTCAATATCATTTTGATGAGACATGAACACTTCTACACTGGTCATGGAGTACCAGAATATATAACAAATTATTTGAAATAAAAGAATTTTCTTGTTTCTAAATCACACCATGGGGATTTAAACTTAGGCTAACAGCACAAAAATCAAAACTGACAAACAGAGTTCGAAATCCAGCCGATATTGCCTGTGTTCACATCAGACTTCTTTCTGAAAAGAACGAATCCGCTCTCCCTTGCTATCATGTAACCCAGTACCAGCTGTTAATTATTCTTCCGGAGACAGCATGGACAATGCCAAGTATTGTCCAAAACATGCTCAGAAAAAATTCATCATGGTACCTTGACAAATCAGGTCATGGGATAATTTGATTTGAACCAACTCTAGAAAAGGAAGCAACATTAACATCTGGCAAAAGTTTAAAAATAAAAAATAGGATAATGATAGGAGTAACAGTAGCAGCAATGCTAAAAATAATAATAATAAAAATAATATTAAACATAATTCTAAAAATAATTAATATTAATTTTTTAATACTAAAGTCCAGCCAGTATAAAACTCAAGAGCCACTCATGGTAGAGTCTTACAGAATGAGGTGTGTGATATGAACATAAGATGACATAGAAGGAAGTGAAGATTATGAAGATAAGAAGAATAGATAATGATTGAAGGCTCATGGTAAAGGGTTAATGAATGAGTTTGTATATCAACAGAAGAGAAATCTACCATTAACCTTCAGTTGCTATCTATGCTCCTTATCCTCATAATATTCACTCCTCTTTTGTTACTGGTTTATTTAGCAATAATAATAATAATAATTTACAAATGTTCTGATGAATTTACAGTATATTTTTGTTTTATGTGCAATGCTGTATTTATCACAAGACTGACAGCATCTTTACTTGCTTTTAGGGTATGCAAATGTAAATTACAAACAATTTTTAACAAATACAACACGATGAAAGAAATATTTACTCTTTGGAAAATAATTTCTGTGATGGGAAGGATAAATAGTAATGTGAATTACAAGTTGGAAATACCAAAATTCTATTCTAATTCTTTTCTTACACTTCTTGCTTGTGTAACTCTTTTCCAATACCTTGGTTACCTGTCACCTATGTTCTTCAAAAATTTAAATGCAACATCAATTGCCATCTTCTTATTTCCTGAATCCTGTTCTTTTATTTTTCCTTCCCCCCCATTAAAGCCTTCACATTCTCTTCTCCTCCCAGAAGCCCATTGCATCCTAGTGGCATTATTCCCTTGCTTGAGGTGAAATAGTTAAAAAAAAATCCAGCAAGTACAAAAATTTAAATATATAGTAAGTGTTTTAACAGAAGACAGAAAATGTAAAACTAAAATCCAAAAGTGCATTGAGATAGCAAAAGATGGCTTCTAAAAGCTAAGAAAAGTATTAAGAAACAAGAAAAAAAATCTCACTAGGAACAAAGAAAAGAGTACTGAACTGTTATTACAGATGAAGAAAAGACTTCAGGTAACGGAAATGTGGTCCGACAGAAGGATGCTGAAAATACCATGTACTGAACATGCGAGCAATGACAAAGTTTTACAGAAAATAGAAACAAAAGTGACACTTATACTTAGCATCAGAGACTGTTGAAATTTTTACAGTACATAATGAGGAAAGAGGGCTTAGAATATTTGACACTCATAGGATATATTAAAGGCAAAACGGACGGGGGAAAATAGCGCATCACCTACCTATTTGTTATATACTGTACCTATGAACACTAATGGGCATGTCCCAAGCGTCATAAATACATTGGACACTATTGTAAGTGGGGGGGGGGTAATATATTGGGAAGTTAGAACTATCATCAAAAGGATTGGTATGATGATATATTTAGTCAAAGGACCAAAAATGTTGCACAAAAAGCACTTGAATCAAAGAAAAAGTATGTATATAGATGAAGAGAACGATACTCCATTGGATGTTGATCTTATGGAAGTTCTTTTTGACAGATTTGATGTGCCTATTCCTTGCAAAGCTTCTGAGACAAAAATTCAAAAAAGACAAAGTAAGAGGAAAAGAAGAGATTTATTCAGAGAGAATCGACATTAACCTAAAAAGAAAAATATATTGACTCTGTGCAGAATAAATCTAAAAAGGGTGGGGGTGTTATATACCGTACTTATGAACACTAATGGGTATGTCCCAATCCTCATAAATATTTTGGACACTATTGTAAATGGCTGTAATATGCTGCATAAGTAGTCCTTCACTAGCAGTGGTTTGCTTACTTCATGCCGCTGGCAAGTATTGTATTTTGTTGAGGTTATAAAGATTACCATTTTCATTTCCAACCTCCGGTTTCGTTATTCCTCATTCAGTATCCCTTTCTAGGTTACAACACTAACAAGTTTGTGTAAATGTTTTACAGGAAAGGGATTTGAAGAGATAGCAAATAGACAAACTTTACTAAGAGCTACAAAGGAAAGAAAGTTGTGGAGAGCCATAATCGTCCATGTCCTAAAAGAAATGTGGCACATACAGGAAAATGAAGAAAGCTCTACTTTGGTATGCCAAAAAGAAGGGTAATAGGCACCACACCTTGTCCACCCAGAGACACCTAGAACTCAGCAAGCAAAACTTACTTTTATCTACACTTCTAATATGAGAGACATGGTGTTAAAGTAATTTAAGAACACAAATTGAGTTTTTGGGTTAATGTTTTTGATTTTATCAGCTTAAGTGTTCTACAAACTTTCAGGAAAAATAAGGGAAGGAACAATTTTCTGAATTGAAAGGAAAATAAGAATGGCCATTACCTTTTTGCCAAAATTGCCAAAAAGTCTTTGGAGAGCAAGTGAGCAACTGTAAGCATAAAAATTTTGTCAGCTTCTGACAAACAGATGATAAATTCCTGAGGATTCTGTAAAGATGACATGAGAGAACTGATTGTTATTCTCAAAATGAATTAACAGTAAATCAAAAAGGCAATAAAACAAAAAAGCAGTTTTATGTCTTCACATATAGAAAATGCATAATCTGACAACATCAGAAAAACAGGCACTTTTTACTAAAAAAAACAAAAAGGGTTTATTTGTAAGTTTCAAGTGAAATGTTTTATTGAGTAAATAATTCTGAGATGATGTGCATTTCACTTTTTCTCTTCTGTCGAAAGTCAGAAAGATTAGTTTAAAGCATGCACAGAAAAATATATGCAAAACTCATAAAATTAGTTATAATTTTAATAAATAAATTATATTACATCCTTTACATTATTCGGACTACTGTCCTCATCTTTGTTGCCATATTCATCACAACGTTTCGGCCGTTGTACGCTCCAGCCTTCTTTCGAACTGAACCCTTTATTTAGCTCACTGGGGTAGACTGTTCTAGTTCCACGTGCCATGTCTAATGGATGTCAGTTATCAGTTATCTCCTGCTAATTTTCTCTATGAAAGTTCTCCACTGCCTTAACCGGGTATTGAACTCACACTCTTTGGGTCCTGTCACTGGATCTAACCAACACCTTTATCCACTGTGCAAAATAAAGGGTTCAGTTCAAAATTCCAACCACCTGAAGAAGGCCGGAGCGTACAACGGCCGAAACGCTGTGATAAATATGGCGACAAAGATGAGGACAGTAGTCCGAATAATGTAAATAATGTACATAATACCTCATCTCAGAAATATAGACAGACCCCAAAAAATGATACCATAATTATACCATATATTTTATCAGCTATTCCTCATGAAAGGAGGGAGAGGAGTTGTCACTGTTCACAGGTACAAAATACGGGTGGGAAAATGGATTTATGATAAAATGACTGATACAGAATATCCAAGAAAATTAAGGAAATGCAATAAAAACGCATAATCCATTACATGGATCCTTGCGCAATTCTTGTTCAATTGTGACACTACAGACATCCACATAGAGAGAGGTAAGGTGTGATTTTATCTCACTCTCAAGTGGTTCTGTTTTATGACCAGCATATGGTTATTAGAAATTTTCCAAGTGGTATCCACTTTGACTGGAGGGGAATGGCGGAATGGATGGCATCTTTAGGAGACCCAGTGACAACAGAACCAGACATATGCGGTCAGGTTGAGTCAGTTCTGGTCCACCCCTGACTTGTCCCTCATGTGGTTACAATGGCACCTGTTCATATTGCCAGCCACACATTGGGATGTGTAGATGGCCAGAGTTGGTAGGGGGAAGTGCTGATCTATGAGATTGATCTAGAAGTTGTCCAAACTGTCACCTACCTACCCACTTAGGCAAGCAGTCGAAGTCTTGAATAAGAGATCTACATATGAGAAAGAGGGTTCACATTCTTATTTCTAAATGTGGCTTTCATCCTGTTACCTTGTGATTGTGCAGCGGGCCCTTTCCCAGCTTTCAGTGCACATCGACAATATCAAGAATCAAAATCCAATATGAAGCAATCATTGGCTGATGATTGGAAAGCTTGGACAAGTGTCCAACAAGAAAAATTGTGCATACCTTAAATAGGTAATTCAAATATTGCTCTATCAATGTGGCCTCACATAACCCAAATTGGTAAAGGCAAATTTCAGCTATAGAAACAGTTCCCTTGATGAGAAAGGGGATACAGGTTCAATTCCTGTCTGGGCACAATCTTTCTTTAGTAGGACATCTTAATCTAGGTTGTTGTTATTGTCATATTCCGTGCTAATAGGAATATATACTTGAAAACATGGTGGATAAAATAAGTAAAAGTTTACTGTAGAAACCAGTACAATAAGAAATAAGGTAACAGTTATCTGCACGATCGTTGCAAGTTAATCTAGTAATGAGTGCTATTATTGGAAGGTCGGTACAGATCCCAGCTCAACTCCTGTAGCCCGTTGCCTTACGGATATTTATAGGTAGTTACTACCTATAGTGTAGTCACTCATGGGGGTGACAGGTTATTCCATTACATCAATTATTAAATTCATTAAGAAAATTAAAAAATAGGGATAACAAGTCAAATATGTGTATCCACTGAAAATAATGTTTATAATAATAAAAAAAATAATGTCATCAGATAAAAATCCATTCAAAATATATATATATATATATATATATATATATATATATATTTAGCCTACACATTAAATTACAAGAATTTAAAAGAAAACACAGCAGCAACTTCGGATGAGGCAAGAAATTGCATCCAGTAACCTGGGATTCATCTAAAGCTATAAAGCTACAACATTCTGTTTCTTTCAATCTGAAGAATATGGAGACAAGATGCAGTAAGAAGCAACATCCAAGAAAGAAGAACCTGTGAGAAAAAATTCTACAGAATATCAGAATTCTCTACTCATTATAACATTCATCAGGTGTGCATGTAATGCATTTCTGACTTGTTACCTTAGTGAACACATTGACAGACATCTGTAAGGCAGCAACAACTCCTTGGGGAGAAATGAGGGTCCAGTCAGGTTTCTGGAAAACACCACCTTCCAAACTGGTCTCCAAGTCATGAATTGGTTTCGATTGTTGGGGACACACAACCTGCAAGGCCTGCGCCATACGATGCCACAGAATCTCCCACACCCCAGTCTCAATAAACAGCTGAGTCATTGTGGTATCACCCTGAAATAAGAGCACAGAAATAAAAAAATAACCCCAGAAAACAATAAAATGTGGAGTCTAGTCAGAATGTGCAATAATGACAATATCTGATGATCAAAACAACAAAGATAGAGATACTAGTCTGAACAATTTGCACAATAATAAGCATAATACTTAGTGACCAAAACAACAAATATAGAACTACCAGTCTGAACAATTTGTGAAATAATAACAACAATAATCAGTGATCAAAACAACAAATATAGAGATACCAGTCTGAATAACTCATAGAATAGACATAATGTAAATACAAATGGCTGTCTATTTTCATGTTAAATCAAACAAAGAGTGTACAAGAGATTTTCTATGTTCTGAAGATCACATTTTGCAAGATAAACACCTGGTATTTTTTTTTCTATTTCATTTCAAAAGACCCAATAACTGAACACATATGACTTCTTGATAGTGCCTTAAATCTTTGATCATACTTATTATAAAACCCAGGTTGTGTGTGTGTGTGTCTGTACATTTATATATTGGATCGGATTACCTACATTTTTCAACCGATTTCAACAAAACTTCACAGAACGACATAAAATTACCTTGCGGTGGTTCTGACAGCACCAAAAATTGGAAAAACACAATTGCTTTTGCACGAAATCAATTTGAAAACACGATTAAGAGGCATCGCGAGAATGAAAGGGGGACAACTCATATCGAGTTATACTTATTATAAAACCCAGGTTGTTTGTGTGTGTGTTCATTTATATATGGGATCGGATTTCCTACATTTTTCAACCGATTTCAACAAAACTTCATTTTTTTTTGGCAGGTAGTGTTTCTTATTGTCTTGCACACTTTTTTCTTTATTTTTACATTCAGAATGCTTTAAAAATTCCATTTACAAGACAATTGTTTATTATAAAATTCTATTCAATCGGTAGACTCATAATGATTGAAAACAATGTTTTTGTTTGAGTTTGGGTTTGACCAATTCATAAAAAAAAAAAAAATAAAACCTAATTAAGACATGCGTGTCTGTCAACCTTAAACAATAATCTTTGTCAATTTTATTTTTCAGGCAAAAGAAAAAAATGCCGTTGTACACTCCAGCCTTCTTCAGGTGGTTGGAATGTCACTGGGGTAGACTGTTCTAGTTCCACGTGCCATATTTGATGGATGTCAGTTATCAGTTATCTCCTGTTAATTTCCCTCTGAAAGTTCTCCACTGCCTTAACCGGACACATGGCACAGTGCATAAAGGCATTGGTTAGATCCAGTGACAGGACCCAAAGAGTGTAAGTTCAACCACCACGGCTGAAACATTGTAATAAATATGGCGACAAAGATGAGGACAATAGTCCGAATAATGAAAATAAAGTAAACAGTGTTTTCAAACAAAGATAATAAGTCATTGTTATAAACTTAACAAAGATTGTTTTTACTTTTCAGGAAATAATTTGACTTATATGTGAGTAAATTTAGGTTTATTTTTTTTTTTATAAACCACACAACAAACATTGGGACTAACTGTTTATTTGATTTTTTTAAAGGCAGACAAAAGAAACCTATAGCAAAGTGATAATTGTAGCATAATCAGATGCAGTGTAAAAAGCTAAAAGTATGAACTAAATATACAAATTTGTAAAATCAACTTTAAAGATGCTATCCATAAGACTGAAAATTCGGAAAATGGCAAAAGAAAAAAATGGAACAAATGTCACCAGATCAGTGAATGTTGCAATATGTAAATATGTTTGTAGTTTTTTTTAATTTTTAGGTAAAATATTTCATTTTCCATTTCTTTTTTTTTTTATAAAAAATGGCTGTGAAGTCCAATGTTAAAGAATTGTTTTTGTTCTTCAGTAAATTGATGGCCAGATAAACGTACATGTACAGACAGACATATATTAAATTACACAAAAATATCTTGAAATGCTAAAGAGTAAGAGGAAATCACCATTGGCTTCAACCACGGTCTCCAGACGACTTTGGAATCTCCTGCATCTCTTCTGGATGGTCTCCTTTTTTAAGATGGTGAATACTGCCATAATGCTTGCCTTCAATTCATCTTTGGTGTTACAAGGTGTTTTATTGGTCTCTCACTCAATACATAATAATTAAGGGGGTTGCAGTCTGGGGAGATAGGTGGCCAGATGTTAGGAGTGATGTGCTTGCAGAAATTCTCTGACGGGGTTCTCCTGTTTCCATAGGATCTTCCTATTTTTATGTTTAACGTTGTTATTTTATAGATACAAGTATTTAAGCAAATGCTCTGTTTATGATAAATAAAAATATTTAATAAATAAATTGTCGGACCTTGTCCATTTCTTAATATATGACGTCATTTGTTTACATTTGATACGCCAGAGCAGTTATGAATGTACGAGATTCATTGAAGATTGAAGTTTATAAGCAGTAAATTCGACCTTGTCTACCGAAAAGGTTCTTTGTAGCCCAGAGGTAAGGCACGTCAGCGTATATGACGGTTCCGTATAGGATGCAGGTTCGAATCCTGTCAAAGAACGAATATTTTCTATGAAAATTTCTCGGACATTCAGGCCGGTAAATGTTATTTAATACTGTTTATCATAAACAGAGCATTTGCTTAAATACTTGTATCTATAAAATAACAACGTTAAACATAAAAATGTCTTTAATAAATAAATTGTCGGACCTTGTCCATTTCTTAATATATCTTGCCATATATATATGTAAGTACATTTAGGCAGCAAGAATTCACTTAAAGAAGTTTTCTTAAACGGAAAAGGCTTGTCTGCTTAATTCTTAAATGGTATTTTTCTAATTTTCAAATAATAAGTTGTGGTACATAATACTTCATAATACTTGTGAATAAATTGTCCAAAGTTTATGTTTTTGCTCAAATCCTTACAAACATCTCAGTCATTAACAAAATGAACGTTGCCAGTATGATAGATAAAATTTTATTGGCCATCTTCTGGTATTTTTGGGGAGCACTACAATTCAAATGTAGGTTTTTTTTTTGGTTTTTTTTATATATAATAATAACATCAAGACTTTTCTTACAGTGGGTGTATATATATATATATATATATATATATATATAGTTGTGTTTTACTATTATCTGCTAATATTTGTCTTGTATTTTGGTTGTTTGTAATGCAATGATTGATGCATGCATAAATTGCACTAAGTGACTGTTTAACTGACATAGAGAGTGTATAGTAGTCTTCAATTTTTGAAAAGTGGGTCATCGCTAGGTCAGCTGAGTGAAGAGGTCTTTTATTGGAAGACCCAAAACCTCTGATGAACGCAGTCACAATACAAAGGATGCATTTCAGTGCATCTCTAAGATGTCTTACTAGATGTTTCGATCCATATGATCCACGTAAGCAAAACTTATGTTGATACGAAAATGTCAGCAACTAACCACACTGCAGACTCTGGTTTGTCCTTTATTGTGTAATGGACAACTAAAGATGACTGGAAGAAATGAAGACCCTGATAAAAAGTCTTTGATGGAACCTTTGTGAACATAGAATTGTTGATATCTATTTTGAAATTTAAAATATTTACTAAGCATGCAGTGAGGAGAAACACACATCAGTTCAAATAAAATTGCCGATGAAAAGATCATAAAAGAAGCTAGTAAGTATGTCTATAACACACAAGTCGCTAACAGTGTTGATTTTTTTTTGTTTGGGTTCTGCTATATTTCTTCTTGTAGCAACAAAAACAAAAAAAAAAACAGGCAAAAGTTTAAAAAAAAAAAAAAAAAGTTTATTTTCCTCTACCTCCACAAAAAAAAAAACTGTCACAACATTGACCCTAATGGAACAAAAACACACCACACCTTTGCAAAGCCGGAGATGTAATCAGTTGAAATGTTGGGCACAAGATCATCCTGCATTTTTGATTCAAACATTGGAGAAAGAAAAACAGAAAAGGAAATTAAAAGTGGTTCAGGCTACATTTTAGATGTGAATATGGCAAATATATGAGTCTTAAGGCTAGAAGAAAGTGTTGGCGGTAAAAATAGAAACCCTATTTGGACATGATTAATTATCAGTAATGTTAAAAATGGATTGGGCAAAATAAAACTAAATGAATAAAGAAACAATAAATTTGGAAGGAAACTTCAAGAAATACCAAATTGAATCTTTGTTTTGTTTTTTTTAAATGTTATGCACAATAATTCTTGGGAAAATATCAAAGTCACAAAATATTAAATTCAGGGATTGGGAGAAAAAAATGTTTGGAAGATCTGAAAACAAAAACAATAAGAGTTTTCAAATGATAATCATGTTTAAATCATTCCAAATGTTGTTCAACCAATTGACTCATTCTTTTTTTTGTTTTGTTCTTACCAAAATAGTTTAGTCAATTTATTCTCTGGCCCTTTTCAAGTGTGAAATCCATATAAACAAAAGAAAACATTTTCAAAGTACTGAAAAACTAAAAATGGCAACAATTAGTAAAGAAATTGTAGCAAATATACTGATCAAACAAATCCATGCACTGTAATGCCTGTAATACAAGTGATTCCATTTTTTAATACACAGGGTTCAATCCTTTCTCTGTTAAACAAAGAAATCCATACCATATTACATTTCACACAGACTTAACTTATATACTTGACTCAAAGGCTTGAATAAAAAACAAAAGAAAAACATTAACTTTGGATGGTTTATCCACTTCTTTCAATATTCTCTGCTTCCTGCATTTCTCTGTGATATGTACCTTATTCTGGAGTGTTAATATGATCACATCTTCCTACACATATGACTGCTGCACCTGATTTCAATCCTGAGGTTTTGAATTGCCTTTTAGCCAAAAAAAAACTAATTGATCTCCTGATATTTTCAGAATTATTTTATCATTAAAATTTCTCAATTTTTTCTTTAAATTTTCAGTTCAGGTTTTTAAAATTTTCAATTCAGGTTTTTAAAAGTTTCAGTTCAGGTTTTTTTAATATTAAATCTGTCAATTTATAAATTCCATGTCCATTTAGGATGGAGTCAATCCTGGATTTCCACAGATTTCTTTACTTTTTATTCACTGTGAATTGCTTACTTCTTGAGAACAATAGTGGAGTGGTTTATCCACTTAAATTCAGAATTTGTTTCTCTTTTACTGACTGCCATCTAAGACTAGAGAGTCTAATCTACCCTGCTATTTAAAACATAGCTGGAAGGAGAATTAATGGATTCATGCCTTTCCCATAACCATTAGAGCAATAGGGAAACAACTGACTAGGCCAGAATTTGATTGTCAATTCTACCTTTTCTGTGCCAATAACCATCATGCTACTTGAATCACTTCTTTTCTCCTGGCACATCTGAACTTAGATTTGCCTTCTCTCTCTTTTTCACTAGTTACTTTTAGCTTAAGCATACACAATAATTTCTCAATTACAAACATTCCTTTTTATAACCTTGAAAGGAAATCAAATTGCAACACACACACATTTTCTCTTTCTCTCTCTCTCTCTCTCTCTCTGATATGCTTAACTGCCAATGATTTCCTTAGATTGTATGTCTCAAATCAAAATTCCAAATCAGAAATGAAACTGGGTACTTTCAGGGCAAGTGTCAAGATTATTAAAAATGTAAATAATGTAAATTATTCTATCATTCTTAGAGCTGCTGAATTTTTTTTCTGAATCAATATTCTGAATTATTGTTTCCTGAAATTATGAGAAAAACTAATTTTCACTTTTCCATATAATATACTTTATCTCCATCTTTGTTGCATTTAAATTTTCTGCATATATACTTTTTGAACTTCCTATGGTGGTGACTGTATACAAGTTTGTCTTCAATACAAGGTGCTAATAGTTTGGCCAATATAAAAATTGAGTACTTACACAGTAGCAGAGATAAAATCTGCTAAAATTTGGTTTGGTTTATGGTATATTAACCTCAATGGGTTATTTAATGCCGACAACGTTTTTATTGCTGGTAATATTTTTTCCAAAAATGTATTTCTGGTAATGATTTTTCCTTCAAAAACTTATTATTAAAACCTATTTTTATACTTTCATAGTATTTTGACCCAAGTTTGGGTTTTAACTATTTGCCCGTAGCTGGGACCCTGACAGGTGCTACCACCCCAGGTCAGAGTGGACCTGGAAACACCATACTTTCATAGTATTTTGACCCAAGTTTGGGTTTTAACTATTTGCCCGTAGCTGGGACCCTGACAATTAAGTGGTGGTTCCATGTTCCTCAAAACCTCCTGATCAGAGGCCTTGCTGTCGAACATAGTTTATCGTCTTACCCGGGACGTGGACATTGTTTATCATTTTACCCAGGATGGAAAATCTGCCAAAGAACAACAAAATTGCTATATTATCATAAAATGTTATATATATATATATATATATATATATATATATATATATATGTGTGTGTTTGATGCACAGTCTCTGAAATTTATTCAGTTTTTCATTGCTTGTGCATTCATATTCTTTGAGAACAGTTTGCAGAATTTTACTTTGGAGGGGGGGAATCATGGCTGAATACAAAAAGCACATTTGACATTGTTTGCCCTATGTTTAATCAAGGAGAAAACGCAGTGGAAGTTCAGTAGCGGATCATTTAAAGCTTACTGTGATTATACAGAAGTTTACAAGCACATATTGGAAATCATTTGTGAAATTTAAAAAAAAATTTGAATTCAAAAACAAAGAAAATATAGAAAAAACCTGAGGAGTCAAATACTAATGGAGGAAATTTTGAAGGAAGATGTAACACGAGCTAATGAACTTTGCAGTAAAATCAGTCAATTTGTTTGAATGATACATTGAGGAGAAAAATAACTTTTTCTAGTCAAGAAAGTCAACTAATGATTTTGCAGCATGACAGCGCTCAACATGTTATAAATAAAACAAAAGACCCTGTTTTGGGGATGAAAAGTTCTTCCCCATGCAAAAGATTCTCTAGATCCTTCACCTTCAGACTATATTTTTATGAGGAATTAATTCATTATCATATCAAAAATATTTGGCTTTTATACCCGACCAAAAAAGATAATCAGTAACCTTGAAGTATTTGCATGTTACTCACCAACACAGGTGGTCAGTGTTTTGATTCAAATAAGAACCAACATAGCAAATTAAACTCAGCCAAAGAAAATACCTATTATTAAGTTCAAGATAAACCAATTTCAATAATCTCCATTTTTCTTTCATTAATGAAAAAGATTCAATCTATGAGAGAATAAAAAAGCAAAACTTTACTGCAATGTTAAGATTAATTTGCACTGGTGTGGAAAAGAAGCTTTAGTTTGAACTCAGTAAGTTAAGTCTTACCATGAGAAGTAGACATCTTTACCTGAACAAGAATCAAACTCACCTGTCAATGGTGAATAGTAGAAGATACACTAAACACATTATAAGAAAAAAAAAGGGGTCATCTTTCAGATGAATTGTAAAGGAGACAAAATGAATTCTGCATTTAAATACATCCTTCTGTATGCATCATAATCCTAACAGTTCCTGCAAACACATTGACTATTTTCAGATGTTACCTAACTATTCACAGATCCATTAATGATTCATACCACCATGAAACATAATTATTTCTGTATTCCTCCAGATGTTCCTCCATAGAAAATATTAGACACAATTCTCACTGCAATTTGCTATTCTTCTCTAAAAATGGAATGGACAAAAAAATGTGTGAATGAATGGCAGAACAGAAACAAAGAGTGATGGTAAAGAGTTACTTAGAATAACAAAAGATAGGAAGTTGGGGAGAACCATGATTGCCTGTGTGCTGAAGGGACTTGGCACATAAAATAAGAAAGGCCACTATAAAATGCTTGATGAGACTGGTATAGGCTATCCATAAAAACACTATTAGGCCATTTTAAATTGCTTTATTTGGAGTCAGGTCAATTTGAAAATGTCCGGCTGAAAGTAGAATCTATTCACACAGAGAAGAAAAACAAGGCAGGAAAAGAAGCAGGACATTTTTTTTCCAAAAGGAATCTGATCTTTTATAAGATTCTTGAAAATTATAGAGAATGGCGTTCAATCTATGTCTTCAAGGTTTGATGAAAACAAAAATAATACTAAATGTATTTGAAACTCTTTGATCAAATTTTCATCAGATGTGAAGAATGCCTTGCTACAGAAATGAGTTTGTATTATGTTTTGCAAATGAACTTAATGCTTATCTTTTTATACAAATCACTTGTAATGTAAATGTCAAGTAAGAATATCAAAGAACTACCTTCACACATCATCAAAGCTCAACTCAAAAACACTTACCTGTGCCAAGACTTCACAAAGCAAAAGTAAAATGCCATCCAAAACTCCATAATCAAATGGACATCTGATGCAAATCTGAAAAAAAATGTCAATTTGGTCATCAGCAAAGAGATATATATAATATATCATTTTTTTAATGATTTGAATCAACTCACAAGGTCATATTAATGTTCTGTGGGATGAAACAAATCTGTTTTTACATTGTATCATCACTTGTTTGATTGATTTATTTCCTATGGCTTATCAACCCTTTGCAGATTTAAAACAAGCCAGAAAATATTTTTGATTGTAAGATTTTTTTTGAGATAATAATGGTTTACTCAAACAAGTCTTACTAATTAACCCATAGTTGGAGGGAGAAGAGATGGATTCATACCTTTCCTGAGTGTATTTGCACATAAGTGAATAAATATAATGAAACCCACAGAAATTGGAACTCAGCTTCCTGATTAACAATTCTCAGCCATTATCCATTTCACCACCCATATATTGAAGCATACAGCACCTGTTATTCAGAAGATGTCTCCCAATGAAGTACCAACCAGGCTCAACATTGCTTAACTTCAGTGATCATATAGGAACCAGTCTTTTAACATGATATTTCCATAAGCTTATCATCATTTGTGATGAAAAAACAATGTACAATGGGTGGATATGGATGAGAAGCCAAAACATCAACTGAAACTGAACTATCAACTTTAGATAGTGTGATGACTTACCTCGGAGCTCGAAACGTGTGCGAACGTGTCTTGCTTGCATGATAAATCCGAGAGAAAACATGGCCACTGTGGAAGATGCCATTTATACGCGCCAGTCTCGTCCAAAACGAGATTGTACCAGTACACATGCAAATTTCAGCAGTGTCGAACTAGCATAAAAAGGCGAGGCGTCAGCGGCAAGGCAGACGGTGAGTCATTCGATGGACTTCGTGAAACAGAGTCAGACGTGCGAATAGACTGGTAGACCAAGAGGTGGTTGAAGTAGGCGCGTCTGATTTGGGTGTCCGTTTTACGACTGCCTGGTGTAATGGCCGAGAAAAGGAGTCTCGCAATTCATTTTTTTGAGGCGACCGAGGGCGAAGAAGAACAGCTGGTTTGCCAACGAACCCTCTCGTCACTTTTTTGTTTTTTCTCTCTTCTTTTTTCTACAGATAGTTGTAGTAAAAAAAAGTTCAGTAGAAGGAGGAGTAGCTTAATAATATATCAGAGTTTTCACAGAAGTGACCAAATATGGTGAATGGATATAGAGAGCAGATGGAAATTGTGCCTTCATAACATTGAACAGTGTTTGGTTGATGAATACAATCAGAGATATTTTCCTAACTGCTTGCCTTTATTCTATAAAAAAAGGACACCATGAATGTTGAATCAAAGAAAGTGACGTTACTGTACATGGCACATTCGCACAATCTACATCTGCTGGATTACCATTTTTTTAGACCTCTTACTTACAGTCAAATCAAATCAAAGAATTCTTTAATGAATTTGCCTGTTCTTTAAAAGAGGATTTTTGAAAGAAAGGAATTAATGACTTACTACCAATGTAGTCTGATAAAACGACAATAATTTGATTGAATAAAAATTTTCTTTTCTATTCTTTTTAATTTTGATAAATTTGTTTACAGAGGAATAGTAATAACAACAATTAATAGCCCTTGAGGGACTCCCTGATGAATGAAGGTTATTGGTCCTTAAGGAACTCTCCTAGACCACGACACACTCCCAGTGCGCCACAAGGAAACAAAGGCAGACTTTTTAAGTCACTAATAGTAGCCTGTAAAATTAGTTTATGAAAGCTTCTTAAGTTATAATAACCGTTAGTTATTTTCATTACAGGAATTAATAAAATATTTATTCAAATCACATGCAAGCAAAATGAAAAGAAAAACTGATCCAGTTCTAGAAAATTAAATAGAATATATAGTTATTTCTTTCTTAGTAAACTACTTCTGGCACAAATGATAATGAAAAATTGATAGAACAATATCTTCTATAAGTCTGTTGCGGACCCGGCAGCGTGCAGTGCTGGTTTATTACTAAGTGGCCTTGTGCCAGACACCACACTAAACTACCGAGTCCACAAGCAATGAATAAAAAAAAATAATAATGCGTGAATGAACAGTGAGAGGAAAGGGGTCAATCAACAAGTGCATAAATTAATGAACATCAAAGAGATAGCCGGAATAAAATGACAAAGACGTCTGTAAAACATGTGTAACTTTAATTAGATGGAAACAAGTAACTTATCTCGTGGTACGAGATTAATAAAAAGTTCCGCGCCAAAATAGGAATGCAAGATGGCTAAGGCAGGAAAAAGAGTTTTATAAGGTTCTGGAAAAAGGATGTGCGCACAGATAGAAAGGAGTACTCACTGTGGATTTTTTTTTGGCGTTGTAAGTGTGTGTGGTATTTTTGTGTTCAGGTTCATAGTTAGAAAGAATGTTCGGTCGTCTCAGAGTTTTTGGTGAGGCATTGAATTGACCGCTGGAATTTTAACGGAATGCTGTGGGCATCTAGCCAGGAGAAACGAAGAATGTTTGAAGCGAGTTTCATGGTCCTGTGGAGTTGTTCTGGCGAGCCCAGAGAGACGAAAAATGTTTGTTCGAAGGTAATAATATCCCTGTCTGTATTTACTGGTTCACTGACGAGGGGTAAGTGTAAGTCACCTGTTGAATACGAAGTTTTGCCCACGACTGTGTCGTGTGTCTCGAACGTTTTCTAGCAGAAAACGGAGAAGGTCTGACCTGCGAATAGCAATTTGTTCGTCAATAGGATATCCCTGTCTGTATTTACTGGTTCACTGACGAGGGATAAAAATAAGCCATTAGTTGAATACAAAGTTTTGCTCACGACTGTGTCGTGTGTCTCTAACGTCTTCTGGTCGAAAACGGAGAAGGTCTGACCTGCGGGCAGCTTCAAGACGAGAAGTCTTGGTAGAGTGTGAAGTCGACATTGTTGAGATAAGATATTCCGGCCCGCATATGGGTTAAGGGCACGGAATAAATGAGTTGCCCGTCTAGTCAGGTCGAAAGTCGGGAGGCAACTGGTTTGCAAACGCTGGCCGTTTTGAGACCGAAAAAAACGCTTATGGAAAAAAAAAATTCAAAATCTGTTAGTCTGAGTTCATCAGTCGGAGCTAGTGAAGGTTACTGCTATGTCTAGCTGTGAGAGGAAGAAAGGGGTGAAAACCGTGCACACACACGCACGAGTGTGAAAGGAAGGGAGGAAACTTCACACAGAAAAATATAAATGGAATTAATGTGTTAATTCCATAAGTCTCTCTCAAACTATATCAATTGCATTTCAATTTCACTAACATCATCTTTAAATGAAATTAAGATAGGAAGCAAAAGGCTAAGTTTATCTATAATTGAATATTTGAATTTTTACAGATGAGGCATTTTGGAATGTTTCAAGTTTACTGTATAGTGTGTGTATAGTCCTACCATAATATATATAGTATACATATATATAGTATATATAGTATACATATATATAGTATACATAGTATAGTATATATAGTATACATATATATAGTATAGTATATATATAGTATACATAGTATAGTATATATAGTATACAGGACTAAAATAGTTAAAGTGAATTTTGATTTAAGGTAAATTGAAACTAATCAAATTCAGAAATAAATTAACTCTGATTTTTGGTTAATTTAATAACATATCAACCCCTGTCAGGTTATTCAATCTTAAATATAAGTTTTATAGCACAGAAATAATTGTGTCAAAAGATCAATATATGTCATGTTTACAGTCAGTTATGTGTCATGTGTGATACACACTTAGGCGATCATGTATCTTTCGATACATGACTGACAAGGCAGATTTTTTCCCACAGTAGTTTGCCATTTATTTATGCTGTAGACCTGTTCCTGCTATTTACCCATAGCTGGGGGGAAGAAGAAGAGCATACCTGTCCCAAGAGTATTAGCACACAAGTGAATATCAAAAGGTAGCTACTTGAGTCTGAAATTATCTACCAAGACAGTGACCCCTGTTTTGGTTGGGAGGGTCTAACCCCTCTGCATGGAATGCAGTCAAGTATATTTTAAACCCCCTGCCAACAGGTTAAAAATTCAGTCTGAATAAAGTTAATGATTAAATGGTACTAAAAAAAAAAAAAAAAGAAATTATTATTTGGTTATTAGTAGTTATCAGTGGAGAACAAAAAAAAAAAGCAAAACTAAAAAAGACTTTGATAAGAAAAGTTGTTTGTCATGAAAAGGAATCAGTGGACTTACTTCTGAAAGATCTGTAAAGACGCAATAACAGGCCTTCATGAGTTCTGATGGGGAAAGAGAGACGCATGTTCCACAATAGAGAATTTGGCTGAAGAGAAGAGAAACTGCTGCCTACAATGGAGAGCAAAATAGAATGAAAGGCAAAAAAATGAAAAAAAGGAGAAAGAATAAATAAAAAGAGAAAGCTGGGGACAGAAGACAATGTTCAAGAATATTGGTTTGGCCTAAAACATTATTCTTGCTTGACATCAGATTGTATTAGTAGCATTTAGTTTTAAATAACATAATTCAAAAAGATCCAGCTTACAGCCACCTCACATTAAAACACTGGTTCTCATAGGATCACTCAAGTTAAGCAATGTCAAGATTGTTCAGTACCTAGATGGGTAGTATTTATCAAAACGGGGATCCAGCACAAGGCCTTTTTTAATGTGGGTATGTCCGACCTGTAGGCCCAGCCAAAAATAAATAACCATCCAAACCACTGGTTGGTCAGTGGAAATCAACCTCCCCAAGTTAAACCCTACCCTTCGGGCGGAGCTTGTTCGGGTTCCTCTCTGCAAGCAGAAGTTCGACAGACACCGACCGGCAGCTCACAAAAGCGCAGATACTACACTTTGATCCTAGCCACTAGATGGGTGACCACTTGGGGATGTATAACAACTTGGAAATAAAAATAAGAGAGCAGAGTTCCAATCCCAGCTGGGTTCATGAGGTGAATGAAGAAAACAGTAACCAGCAAGTAAATTCAAGCTCTCCCAACTGGTATTTCAAACTTGAGTCGTTCCTTCTTGAGTTCTGTCTCCAAATCACACTAACTGCCCATTCTTGCCGTCAACCGTGAACGTCCCTTGAAGAACTCCCCGACTCGGAAAAAAGTAGTTGTTTTTATAGTTGTTCATGTACCCATAATCCCTTGCATCTTCATGTGATCCCATAATTCATTGCGTCCATGTCCCATAATGCATTGCATCGTTATTGCATAAAAATGCGATGCCAGTCCCCCCTCATTCTTTTACGTTATCTGGCCGAGGATGGATTACAGCAGAGCGGTAAGTGCTTTTTTCTCTCCCTCATTTCAACTGCAGTAGCTTTACATGCTAAGCAAATACGGGCTCTTTTTTGGCGGGGACAAGGCAAGTCGCGACCAGTTGTGCTCATCCCAGGTTCTGTCTCATGTCCGCCACAGTTCATTAGATTCCCTTACATATGTAGGAAAGGTATGAATCCACCTCTTCTCCCCTCCCCCATCAGCTATGGGTTAATTAGTAAAACTTGTATCTGTAGATCATTATTATTTTCAAAAAATTCTTCTAAAATCTAGAAGTATTTTCTGGATTTAAATAATCTGTAAAAGGTTGATAAGCCATAAAAAACAAATCAATCATTCAAAAAGATCACACTCTTGACAGTCATCGTATCAAGATATAGAAATGATAAATTCTATACAATATGGGAGAGCTAACATATTGAAAAATATACAATTTAAGCATTGAGAAATCATTTGTGCCATTTTAGTTATCGTAGTTACCTTGATGTGTGACAGATTTGTTTTTTCTTAAGTGTATTGAAAATGTCCCATTTTGAAGAAATGAGGTGATGAAAATAGTTACTTTACAATATAAAATACAAGAGGTCATGGGGATAGCAGAAACAAAAATTATACCAAAGTGCATCCTTCATTTGAAGAAGGTAATGCTATGTATGTGGTGGCATTGAAAAAAATTATACCAAAGTGCATCCTTCATTTGAAGAAGGTAATGCTATGTGTGAGGTGGCATTGAAAAAAAAAAGATTCCTATATGATAATCTCCCTCCAGAAAATCAAAAAATTCAGATTTAATTCAGCAAAAAATATTCCATCAGGATAATGTTAATAATGCAGATTTCTTTGGTGACCAGGTTAAAATGATTCTGGTTTGGCTGAGAAGTTTTCCCTCTTCTCTCATACACATCAGATTCTTTTTCTAATTACCATTTATTATCATCTTTGCAGAATCCATTTAATGAAAGGCATTTCAGTTCTCTGAAGGATTATAAAAATTATTTACAGCAGTTCCTTACAGAGAAAGACAGAAAGTCCTGGAACATTTTTTATGTCAATGCCAATCTTCAAAAATTTAAATGCAGCTTCACCCATTCTCATCTGTCTTCTTGAATCCTGTTCATTTATTGTCCTTTCTCCCCAGTAATGTTTTCTCAGTTTCTTTCACTCTCATTAACCTGTTGTGTCTGAGTAGCTTTATTACCTTCTTTGTGGTGAAATGATTTTAAAAAAAAATGAAGCATTATGTGGAAAGCTCCTCTTTCTTTTCTTTATTTCACTCCAAGCAAGGCAATCAAGCCAGTAAGACGCAAGCGGTCTACTGAGTTTGAGAGAATATAAAAAAAAGAAAACATTATTAAGGAGACAGAAAAATAAAAAAACAGGAATTAAGAAAACAGAACATAACGAATGACATTACATTTAAATTTTGAAGATACAAGTGAACTGGAAAGCAAGAAGCTGAAACATGTTTCATCCATTGTATTCTTGTATTATGAATGTTTTATCTCCAATACTGAGCACTCTTCACCTATAAATATAGTAAAATTTAAATTATATATATATATATATATATATATATATATATATATATATATATATATATATATATATTTTTAAATATGATTCCATCGCTACTTAGGAATTGTCATGTTCCAAAAACAGAAGCTAAAAACTCCAAATTCAACTTTAGAAATTAAATTAAAGTACCCAGTTCTGTTTCATCCTCAAGCAAATTTTGGAATAACTGATTTTGAAATTTACGGAGCTTTATAAGCATATACATTCATAGAGAAAACCAATAATTTTAATAAGGGGTGGTAGGGTATTCATTTTCACTGAAAACTATTGTATCAACATATTAGTTACTTTCAAAAAGAGGTTAAGTCAAAGTAGGGGCTGGGGTGCCTTTTTTCAAACAAAGGAAGACATCCATTCAAAGCATATTGTCTAATCTATTTCAACGACAGAAAGTTTTTGGCACTTTTGTTATCCCATTAAATTTTTATTTGTATACATAAAGATTTTTTTTCCTAAAAGGGTTGTTTGTAAATGAATACGTCGTATTGAAGTACAATTTGTTTTTTTGTTGACGACTTTTTAAAGGTTTTTTTTAGCTTATGATTGGGTTAAGTTTTTAAATTTATTGCTTTAATTGAACTTGTTTATAGACCTTGAAATTTAAAATTTTTTAAGCTAATTATTTAAGACAAATATTTGTTGGTGTTGGCAAAAAACTGCTCTCTCATGTCTTTGATTTAATAAATTTTTGTTTTTTATAAACTTGATAATGTGTAGTTTTTCATGTACGCATAAAGGGCATGAGTCATCCCAGGTTTTAAAAGTTCTTGTTCTATTTATTATTTTCCATTTTACTTTTGGTGTGTATATATATATATATATATATATATATATATATATATATATATCTGTAACCATGGAAACATGATTTTAGCTGTGTCTTTAAAACCCAGTAATTTTAAAAGTTACTCCAAAATTCACTTGAGAATGAAATGGAACTAATGTCTTTAATTTAATTGCAAAATTAAATTCGTGGCTTTTTAGCTTCCATTTTTGAAACATGGTTAGAACTGTGTGAAAAAAAAAACATATTTTAAATCAATTAATTTATAATATTAATGCCCTGTAAATTTACATTGAGCACTATTTTATAAAAATAAAAATATCTATAAGAACACCAGATTATATATCTTACTGTTCTTTCTTTTTTTATATATATATATATATATATATATATATATATATATATATATATATACACAAGAAAGTGAGGTATATATAGACTAAAGATAATATTTTAATAACCAATCATATTAAGTGTATTGTCAACAAGAGCACTGAAATTGCCAGGGCATGTGGTCATAGTTAGAAAGGCTACTCTAGTTGACTATTATTACTGAGTAGTGAGCTCAATCCTCTCTAGGTGTGCCATAAAAAATTTGATAGGGGTTGTATTATCAATTACTGCTTTACTTTCATAAAGCTGTTTGCACTTTTTTCCATCTCAAAAATGTCACAATGTAACATTAAAAAGAGGTTTTGCTACTTTAAGATTTTTCAGTCTCGTTTGTGTTCCGAGGCCACCTAACTGAAGAAATCACTCGAATAAGCATTCTTCTGTTTTCTCCCATTTCTTGCAGAAATCTAATATGTTTGAAAATGAAGCCTTCAAGCCAATGACTTTGAGTAAGCTAAACTCCACAAGAGAAAACAAAATATAAAGAAGCAATCAAATTTCAATAGGTAAAGAAAAATGAAATATGAAAAAAAAATATGAAATCTTTCCTTATTTGATGATAAATCGATGAGTTAGAAAAATAGAAAGTAAATACTGGGTGGAGGCTGGGAGAATGAAAAAAAAAAGAAAGAAAGAAAGAAAACAAAAATTCAGAATGTTTCATCATGGAGTGTTACTTGCAAATGCCCAGAGAATATATTCACTTTTTTAAAGTAAGTAAAAACAAATGCATCTTTTTTTTTTAAAAAAGAAATATAAATATTTGTAGTTAAATAATGAAATTCAAATGATGAATGGTAACAGCTACTTCATCTGTTTTTCTTTGAAAGGCAAATGGAATGAATTCATTTGTCTTCATTTGTCTAAGATTTGAATAAGACAAAGAAATTTAGAAGTCTGTAGAATGAAAAGAAATGAAAGAGAAAAGATTTAACTACTAAATCCAACTCAAACAATGTTTGCTTGTGTTTCTGTAGCATTGTACCATCATGGCTGCAGCTAGTTTTTGATTTACATGGCAAAAATTACCCCAGTTTTAAGATGATATAAATTTTTATCAGGTATACACAAAATTTTACTGATAGAATTTTATTAAGTTAAAAGATAAAAAAAAGCTTCTAGCTAAAAATAATCAAATGTTTTAGCAAATAATGTCATTCAATTAAAGTTATTTGAAAATGATTGAAACATTAGTTCATGGAAAATCTGTTATGCATATTAATTCATAACATCATTATTCAATCATCAAACTACAATGTTTTTATAAGCATGACAAAGCCAAAATTAGGTATATTTTAAGCAGATTTGTTTTCACACAACTTATAGAAAATAACTGAATTATGAGGGTTATATTTTAAACATGAAATAAGGGACAAACTTGATAATTTGCTTAGCACGACTAGATACAGCTAAAATTACCTGATGCTAATAAGAAAAACTGTATTTTCTTTGACTTTCCATGATCTGCTGCTACTTTACAAATACAATATGTTCCATCATGGAATAAATTTAAAAAAAAAAACCTTTTTCATTTTGCAAGAACCACTGATCAAACAAAAAGTAACACAAGTAAAAATAACAAGCCTTGAAAATACTTCACATTTAGAACACTTCCTTCCATTTTAATAAGATGCTGAATTATATTTTTAACAAAAGTCCAAAAATGGTTTTACTTGAAATAATTAAGAAGTGTTTAAATACAGATTGGTGCTTGCTTCTGTAAGTTAACAATAAATCCATTTTACTAGCATCAGAATTCTTCATAAGACCTTTCAGTAATGTACTACAGTTGATTGATTGTACAAGCAATTAAAAGGCTGATTAAACTTCAAAGACACTTCTAAGATTTCTATAACATGTCACAAAGAGCTTTTGAATCATTTCTGTGTAAATCTTATTTTCACTTAATAAAGAAATCAAATGTTCATTTAAATAAAAAAAAAAAAATCAATGGTGAAGATGTCAAAATAATTTTACCAAGGAATTTTGTTTGTTTCCAAAAGATAATTCTCCCTGATATATTTTAATAAATTCTTCTCATTTATTTCAAATATCCATCCATCAAAGGAAAATAAAAAAAAAAAGTAATTGGGAACATATGACTGGGTTACTCAGACAGTCTTTCATTGATTGGTCAGCTTCTGCCCAACCCCATGGTTTAATTCCTGTTTGTGTCTGTGAGAATAAAACTGGAAAAGACTTGGTGTATTTTGAAGAAAGAAATTGAAGGCAAGATATAACACAAAGAGAAAATCTCTAATACAGACATCACAAGCTACTGCTTTGGCAAGAAAGATAAAAAAGTGTTGGTCCGAATAAACAGGGTTCTTTATTAAAGGGTCAGTTCATCTGTAGTAGGAAAGTTACACTTGGAATACTACTCTTAAGACAGTCTTATCAAAAGACTAACAGACCAGATCTTCCCTTCAGCCAGCAGGAACTCCATCTCCCTTTGTCTGACTCAACATCTGTTCTTCCTGTATAACGTTGTTGCTTATCTACAATACAGCCTGACTATATAGGCCCATGACCAGATTTCTCTACTTTTGGCCAAGTGACACTTGATCCTGAAAGTTCTTATTTGTCTATTTATATATTTTTATTTTATTTTTCCTACTTTTGGACAGCAAGTAGTTGTTTTGAAAGTCTCACATCTCAAGATGGTGACATTGTTGGTTCACATGAAAGCAACAGTCACTCCAGGTTCAGATGAAATCATTTAGAATCCACTTAACTATATGGGAATGCCAACCAATCAAATGGGGCGACAATTCTTCACACAATCATCTTTTACAATACATGGACATCGTATTATGGGAAAATAGTGTGTTCCTAAGAATATGTCAGAACTCCTCTAGTTAAAATAGTAGCACAAGCTGAAATAAGGAATAAAAGAAGATAGCATGTGGTGCAATCTTGTTTTATTCTATACTAAAAAAATAAATAAATTCAAATGTGCTTGAGAAGCAGGGATAAAAATAGCAAAAAATATGCTAAAGTTCATACTTTCAAAAATAATACATTTTTCTCCATGTTTTTTTTACAATAATGCTCACTCTGTGTAAGGCCTAAGAGCCATTCAAGGTAGAGGGTTACAGAGTAAGATGTAAGGGGCACAGTTTATGAGTATATGTGGGAAAATAGCATTTAACCATAGACTTGAACAGGTTAAGATTGTATAATCTTACCAAAAAATATGCCCAAGCCAGCAAATTTTACTTACTGTGTGATTGGCTAACTGGGATTCCAGGAATATTGATACAATTAAATCTGATGAGTTTTTAAGGCTGGAAAAAATCATAAATTAAAGACATTTACTGTTTACATACAGGAAAATAATATTTGAAATATAAAAAGTCATAAGAGTTGAAGACAGACTAACTACAAAAGTACACAAATGACAAATGTAATCCAATCTACATAGCAATACAGCGCCATCTACTGTAAACTTACTTTAAACTTAATAACTGAAAAACAGAGGGCAAATGTTTATATGGACTTTTGTTCTAGTTTTTCGTGTGAGGAACCTGCTCCCAAAGTTTCTAAAAATATTTTTTGATACACCCTGTATATATATATATATATATATATATATATATATATATATATAAATGGATATAAATATATGAAAACACAAACCTAAATTCGTTTTTTACAACATGGAAGATTGCAGGCTTATCAGGAATTTTTTAAAATAATTTTTTAGGAATTCAATTGACAAGGTAAACGGAAAGCTGATCTTTTTTAAAAATTTTCAGTTATCTGTTTTTCTATTAAGACTTGTGTTTTTATGTTTTTCATATTGAACTGAATTTGTATTTTTGAATTTTGTCTGAAAATGGTTTTTTAAAATTCAATTCTTTCATTTTGTTTTGTTCTGTTCTTCAAAATTTCACATATATATATATATATATATATATATATATATAAGATATATTGAGGCAGCCAGAATTCATCTTTTGTTAAAAACTGGTTCAAAACTAACCAATTTTCAAATAACTGTTTGCTAAACTTTTAAAATTCCATGTTTTGTTCTGTTCTTGTTCAAGTACTTATGGCCATGTTGGCCATTATCAAGAAGTGAGTATTGTTAAAATGGTAAACAAGATTGTGGACATCCATTTTTAAAATGCTAGAATTCCAGTATATGCATATAAGGGACATCATTTGTAACATGGTTACACAGAGCTTGACAACACTGGAAAAGAATGTATCAAATATCTATATGTATTGTTATTATTCTGTACACATATTAAATATATAATAGACACTTTCAAATACTATCTGATGAAAGATATTTTATTTAATGCAGGCCATACCTTTTGCTTCAAGTAATTTGGGTCTTTCCTTAAGCGAATCATACTATGTAGCATTTGTTATTATTTAATAATATTAGTCTTATGTCAATAGTTGTATTTTTATTGAGTGTTTGTTTTGTTTTATGGTATATCAACCTCAATAGGTTATTTAATGCGGACAAAATTTTTATTGCTGGTAATGTTTTTCTTCAAAAATCTATTTCTGGGAATATTTTTCCTTGAAGAAATCTATAGCTAGTCATATTTTTTCCAAAGAATGTATAGCTGTTTGAATTGCTGGTATTTTTTTTAAAGTATTGCTGATAATAATTTTTCCTTCAAAAATTATTGCTGGTAATAATTTTTTTTTATTACAAAGTATTTCTGGTATTAAAACCTATTTTTACACAAGTTTGGATGTTAACTATTTGCCCATAGCTGGGACCCTAACAGGTGCTACTACCCCAGGTCAGGGCGGACTTGGGAACACCAACAATTAAGAGATAGTTCCACGCTCTTCAAAACCTCCTGATCAGAGGACTTGCTGTTGGATGTAGTTTATCGTCTTACCCAGGACGCGGAAGTAGTTTATCATCATACCCAGGACGGTTTTATCAAATGATATAAGGATGAATTGCATTAAGTTTCAACAAGTGAAAAATTAGGCTACAAGGGACTATGGTGCATGCGTAATCTCTCTCATATATATGCATGTGTGTGTGTGTAATATGCTAAGCCACTGTAAAATCAGAGATAATGAAAAAATGTACAAAGGTGTAACTGAATGATCCTGGAAACAAAGAAACTATGCACACAAAACATCATTTACAAATAGTAAATACACAAACAGCATATATATTTAAAATTAAAAACAAAAACCAAATCCCACCAAAAATATCATGGAAAATAAGGAAAACAGCATCAGCCCACAACAATAAATGCAAAAACTGTAAACTCTGTCTTAAGGAGAAAATAGCTATGATTACCTTCCCAGACAAACACAAATCATTAAATAAATGATCAGAACTCATCAAAAAATGCATACACAAAAACAAAATTTTACTATGTTACTTAAAAATTGAAAACTAAAAATGAACAAAAAAATAATAAAAAATAAAATAGAACAAAAGATAAATAAATAATAATAATAATAGATAAGTAAAATAAATCAAAATCAATAAATAAGTAAATAAATTAAGTAAATAATAAAGAAATTAAAAAGCTATGAATGCACACATAAAACACAAGTAGACATAATAACAATCAATAGCAAATAAGAAAACAATCAATAATAAAGATAACAAACATCATAAAATAGCCACAAAACTGAATTCAGATTCCTAATTATTTTCACTCAATACCCCAAGAATAATTTGAAACATAACTGTTACCACCCACCCAATAACTTTTAGAATAATACAATAAACCAACCCATAATGCACCACTGACCAATATATAATTAGTCGAGCAAAAACGTAATGGACATGGCCAGATGATTGCATTTAAGCCTGAAACAAATTGTCACTGCTGGGTGTTGAACTCAATGTCCATTTTTATATTTCCATATGCTCAAGCGTACCTTAAAACTATATTTTTATATATATATATATATATATATATATATATATATATATATATATATATATATATACAGTTTTGTCTATGCTAGTCAATATCAATATATAAATAGTTGAGCTACAAGACAACACACATGCCCTGAAGATTGCGTTCAAGCAGGAAACAGACTGTTACCGCTTTTGGTGTTAACCTCAGTGTCCACTTTTATATTTATATACATTCTGATATTGACCACTTTTACCCATGAATATAGTAATTTAATATATATATTTTATATATATATATATATATATATATATATATGATGTAATGGAATAACCTGTCACCCCATGAGTGACTACACTATAGGTAGTAACTACCTATAAGTATCTGTAATTCAACGGACTACAGGGACTAGCTGGGATCTGTTGAGTATGACCCAGACTTAAGCGAGAACTACCGACCTTCCAATAGTAGCGCTCACTACTGGATTGACTTGCGACAACCTTGTGCATAACTGTTACCTTTATTCTTATTATTATACTGTTTTTTTACAATAAACCTTTACTTATTTCATCCACCTTGTTTTTCAAGTATATATTCCTATTAGCACAGAATATAACTACATATATATATATAAATAAATAATCCTATATAAGCAGACACTGAGGTCAACACCAAGTGGTGACAATCTGTTTCATGCCTGAACACAATCTTCAGAGCAAATGTGCTATGTTGTAGGTTGAATATTTATATATTGTTGATACTGACCTGTATATACAAATAGTCAAGCTACAACACAAAACACAAGCCTTGAAAATTGCATTCAAGCATGAAACAGACTGTTGACATCAGTGTCCAGTTTTATATTTATATATTAGTTAAAATTCTGCTATATTTATGCGGCAATAGAGCTTAATATTGGCAATAGAGCATTTGTAGATAGAGACAATTTGGAATCAACACTGCATAATAACTGTCAGTTTCTATACGATCATTTGAGGCATGAAACTGACAGTCATCATGCAGTGTTGATCCCCATGTCCACACTGTATATAATCAAATTATCCCAAAATCTACCAAGTCACTCTGCTAGCTCCATCAGGGAGGATATCTAAAAGTAATAAGGATTATTTGGTGTTGCCTTTCTCATCTTCTAGTGACATGTGACAGATTATACTGCGTTTCATCATACCAACAGCAGGAATTAATCCCTCACTCCTTTTTTGAAATAGATGAATTTATGCCTTTTCCAGCCCCTTGCTAAATATTAATCATGGCTAGAAGCCTCTCCACTTTCTTCTTTTTTTTTTTTTTTTTCACCCAAAAGTGGCTTGACAACATAATTTGAATGTTTACCCTGCCGGGATTAAATAATTCTTCTTCATTTTCAGTCGCCATTTTATTTTTTGCAAACTTACATAATGGGAAGCTGTTCCAACTGAATAACAATTGTACTTAATATATGGATGGTGATTTCTATGACTGTGTTCATTTCCATATCAGGAACATCAACCTGTAAAACAACAAAAAATAAAAATTTTAATTAAAACCGTATGAGTAAGTGTTTATATGCCAAAGAGAAATATTCAATATACCAACTGGTGAGATACTTCTCTGAAGCAAGAATTTTGATTCACTGATTTCTACTTTTTTATGGCTTAACAACCTTTTGTGGGTTATTTAAAGCCAAATTGGGATTGTAAAAATTATTCTTTTTTGCAAGTGAATATAACAATTTTTAGAGTATAACAATGATTTTTCAAGACCCAAGTGCTACTTTTTAACCTATAGCCAGGGGAGAATAGATGGATTCTTACCTTTCCAATGATATTTGCATGTAAGTGAATATAACAAACCCAACTGGATTTTGAATCCTCAGATTTCTCATTCCAAGCCACTACCCATTACACCACTCACACATTCTCTCTTATGCAAAAAAGAATTTCTATGTTTCTAGTAATCTATTCAACCATTCTACTCACTGTCACTGAAATGGTAGAGTAGAATGATTTACATTCAGAGATAAGGATTTTGGAATAGTCCATTTATCTTGTTGTATTTTTTACTAGCAGGAGAGCCCGGCGTTGCCTGGGGATGTAACAGTAAGAGATAGATCAAGTATCAACCATCATAAAGACTGAAAAATAAAATTGACAAAGATTATTGTTTAAGGTTGATGGACACGCATGTCTTAATTAGTTTTTTTTTTTTGTTTTGTTTTTTTTCATGAATTGGTCAAACCCAAACTCAAACAAAAACATGGTTTTCAATCATTATGAGTCAACCAATTGAATAGAATTTTATTATAAACAATTGTCTTGTAAATGGAATTTTTAAAGCATTCTGAATGTAAAAATAAAGAAAAAAGTGTGCAAGACAATAAGAAACACAACCTGCCAAAAAAAAAAGTGAAGTTTTGTTGAAATCGTTGAAAATGTTGGAAATCCAATCCCATATATAAAAGAACACACACACACACACACACACACACACAAACCTGGGTTTTATAAGTATAACTCGATATGAGTTGTCCCCTTTCATTCCGGCGACAGAATCGTGTTTTATTGTGTTTTCAAATTGATTTTTGTGCAAAAACAATTGTGTTTTTTCCAATTTTGGCACTGTCAGAACCACCGGGAGGGTAATTTACGCAGTCCTGTGAAGTTTTGTTGAAATCGGTTGAAAAATGTAGGAAATCCGATCCAATATATAAACGTACACACACACACACACACACACACAATCTGCGTTTTATAATAAGTAAGATCATAGTGTCAAGTATGCTACAACTATTAAAATAATTATGAACAGACAAACAGCTTTCAAGACTTGACACATCCCATCTCCAAAGTGCTTCAATTTCCATCCCCTATCAAGATGTGTACAAGTCTCATCAGGAAATGATTTCTTTATTCTTACTTCACACTATTTCTTTATTTGAACTGTCAAGACGAGGAGTCAACAAAGTCCGAATCCAGCCTGCTGTAATATCTCACTCATAGATCATGTGAAGTATGTTATGTTTTTTCATTTCATATTGTTATATATAAAATTGATTTTTGTATGTATCACTGACTACTTCTCATCAGGTCTACAATACAAAATGAATGTCCAGCCATCAAATGAGACATGGTGAAAGACATGGAAAGAAAGTTAATGGACTTTTTACAAATGCCTCACAGATGAATGATATTCTGCTTTAAAATCTTTTTTCTCAACAATTTGGCACAGAATTTATATGAGAAGATATTTTAAAAGATGAGACATGCTAATTGACATATAGATCAAGCTAAACTAATCAAGAATGTGTTTTAATGAAAGGGAGCAGTTTTTTCTGTTGGGTGGGGGTGGGTAAGTACAGTTTGACTTAGTTTAATAACAGAAAAGAATTTCACCATTCTCATCTTTACACTACCACTAAAGGTACTTTATTACAGTTTATATTTTTATTCATAAAAGAAGAATAATATTTGATATGGTTTAAAAATAAATCATTAAAAATATAGTGTTATCTTAGTTTTTTGTGATGTCAACGAACACTCAGTTGACACTTTTTTAATGTCAAGTAATATTCATTGTCACTTTCGCTCATTGTACTAGAGACTTTGTAGTCGCAGATACAACTATAGTAAGCTGTTGAACAATATTGGTATCAGACACTTTCAAATATCACCCATGCTAATAGCTCTTGCTCGATAATACTCACTCAAATAGTAATCTGTATAGTGATCCGAATAGAAAAATAGTATAATAAATAGCATAGAGAATAGTGGTCTGAATAGTAATAAAGGATAGACTAGAAATGATGATCTGTATAGTATAGAGGATAGACTAGAAATAGCAATCCAAATAGTAATAGAGGATAGAATAGAAATAGCAATCAATTAGACACACTCTACCTCCCATATATACGTTTCCTCTATGGTCATGTGGTCTACTTAATTCAATAATGGGATTTCCTGGGTTCGATCACTGGCACTCTATGTTCAAATTCAAGTGTCAGCAGCGACACTTTATTCCTATATAACAGTATATATATATATATATATATATATATATATATATATATATATATATATATATATGTGTGTGTGTGTGTGTGTGTGTGTATAAATCATCATCAGTCCCATAATCAGGCAGTCATAGGATCACTGCAGATGAACACCTGACCAGGTCCCTCCATGTGTCTTGGTAGCATACCAATGTCTGAGCCTCTCTGGATGATTTTCCAGTCCACTCAGTAACTGCTCACCAGTCAGCTCTATAATTGAAAGTTCTGGACATGCAGTTATAGATCTGATCGGATCTACAATATAAAATGAATGACCTGCCATCAAATTTCCTCGACAATTTGGCATAGCATTTATACGAGAAGATAATTTCAAAGATGAAGCTAATTCCACATATACATCAAGCCTAACTGATCAATGTGTAACGAGCATGCGCGGAAACGTCCTCAAACTGCGTGTGTGTGTTGTCGCCAGACACACCTTGGAGTACCATAATGGACTCGACCGAGGACTATAAGAAGAAGATGTGCGAGTCATTTGGCGTCTTTTCTTGGGCGACAGCAGCCGTTGCAGTCAGTCGTCCGTTGGCAGCAGTTGTGGGTGTTGTTTTGCTCATTTGCTGTCATAAAGTTTGGTTCGCAATAAGGCGTTCGTTTTTGGTTCGCAAGGCGGCGTCCGTTTTTTGGTACGCAAGGCGGCGTTCGTTTTTTGGTTCACAAGAAGGTGTTCGTTCTTGGTTCGCAAGAAGGCGTTCGTCTTTTGTGTCACAAGAAGTTGTTTTTTTTTGTTGATTTTTTTTTTCCCCCCGTTTTCTCGCACACAATGTTTACCATATTTTCTTGTGTATAATATGACCCCATGTTTCTGAAGCTAAAAACGGAATTACATCATTGTGTATAATACGTCCATGTAGTACATCCATTTCTATGTAACGTTTTTTGAAAACTTATACCATATTATCCATTAAAATTTTAATATTGTACATATATTTCACTAAAATATTTAATTTTTTAAAATATTAAAGAATAGAAATAAACCAAATATTGCAGGACAGGGGCTTTGCCATCATCTTCACCTGTCTCGACATGTCTGCTGCTTCTTCACATGTCAGGTGCTCCACCATCATCCTTATTTTTCTCGACCTCTGCTGGAGAGTCACTGAACGAGTGCAGGTCTGTCTCGAGTTTGCTCTCCATCACTGATGAATCATCTGCCGCCACTTGAAGTTAATCTGACGCCGTTTCAAGATCCTACTAGAGTATAGTTGTAGGTATTTTTTTTTTCTTTTCCTGAAATCTAAAGTTCTGTTAAAATAAACAAAAAAAACAGTATGACACTGACCTCACCAAGCAGCACAGAGAGTAAAGACCTCACAAAAATGTCTTTGGCAGCAGTGTGAGCACATAAAGCAGGGGAAACTTGGTAGCAAGAATAGAGGACCTGAAAAGAAAAAAAAAACATTTCAAATTTTTACAGCCCCTTAAACACACTAACTATACTATTCTAAAAAAAAAAAAAATAAATGGGACAATAAAAATTCTTTACCCCAGAAATTAAGTGAAATGTCATAGGATTTGTTAAAATGTGTGAATGAAAGCACTTTTCATTATTAATTTTACTTTATTCTTCATCTTGTTAGGGTTACTCTTTTATAAAAATTTTTATTTTTATAACAGGGATTGGAAAATAAAGCAATCACCTTAGACAAGATTTGAACTTGCAGTTCATATACTTAGGAGCATGTCTGCCATGAACAACACTTGGGCTGATTTGATGGTTAAAAATAATCAGCAGATTATGGAAGATATAATATACAACTCTAAAAATCAGTAAGTGAATAAGAAAATGGAAAAGAAAATCCTTCTGTGTTCTGCATTTCACCTTTTGAAAGAACTCTTTCTGACTAATATCGGTTTTATTGATGGAATCTTATATATATGTTATATATATATATATTATGTATATATATATATATACATATTAACCTCAGTGGGTTATTTAATGCCAACAAGATTTTTAGGATAGGTTCATATGAATAGAATACATATTCTTTGTAAGAAATCAGTTTGTAGATCAGGTTTCATTGCTGTATTTTTGTAAAGAGGGTTTTTATCAAGAGTCAAATGTATTATTGGTAATAGTATTAGTAATAATTTTTGTTTGAAAATGTACTGCTGGTAATAACTTTTTTTTTTTCAAAAAAGTACAATTGGTAATATTTTTTTAATGTATTGTTGGTACCTTTACTAATAAAATCCACTTTTTTACTTTCATAGTGTTTTGACCCCAATTTGGAGATAAACTATTTGCCAATAGCTGGGACCCTAACAGTTGCTACCACCCCATCTACCATACCACCTGGGAAAAAAAGCAGTTAAGAGGTGGATCCCCATAACAGCAATTAAAAGATGGTTCTACACTCCTTAAAACCTTCCGATCAGAGGCCTTTCTGCCTGATGTAGTTTAACTCAAATCAACTGTAAAATGATTAAACCAAGCTGTCAATTTAGTACAATGCTTAAATTTGTTAAGTCAAGAAACCAAAGAATAAAGAACATTAGAACAATGACCCTGAAAATGTTTATAGAAAAGTCACAGGGAAGTTACATTATGTTAGCAAGAAAGTGACTGAAGCCAAGATGCCAGATCAGGGCTGGTAACACTACATATTCTTCTTTGTAATTTGTCAATAATATATAGAGGAATAACAGAAGCACCAGGCCAAATGTAACAGCAATATTCAATACATGATTGAATGGTGTACTTATTATACTTATAAAGGTGTAAGAGAGATTCTGGTCATAAAATTGTCTAGAACGGCATAGACTATGTTTTGGATACACTATATGCCATATATATATATATATATATATATATATATATATATATTTAAACAGAAATTAATTTAAATTTTCTTTCAGCATCGAGATGTAGTAGCTTCAATATTTCATCCAAACAAGAAAAACAGCTATGGTAATTCTCCCAATACATTGACAGCTAAATTTACAAAACACTGGCATCTTTTCTTAAATACAGCAGGATATTTTTTTGCTCTACAGACAATAGCCACCCTTCCACATATTATGGAATTGTTTTATTGAGCCTGCTTAAAGAAAAAGCTTAGGAAGGATTTGGTTTGTTTTAGTTTTATGTAAGTCAACCCTTTTTAGGTCATTTGATGCCGAAACTGATTGTGATTGAAAATAAAATTCAGCTTAAAAAGCTTTCCTGTTTTTTGAAGTATGGATTATATATATATATATATATATATATATATATATATATAAAGTAAACATAGAAGTCAACAGGCGACAATCTGTTTCATGTTAGATGCAATCGTCAGGCCTGATGATTGCATCTAGCTTGAAACAGAGTGTTGACTTCTATGTTCACTTTTATATTTACACATGCTCTATCTCTGATACTGAGCACTTTATCCCATAAATATAGCACATCTTAAGACTATATTTCTTCATATATATATATATATATATATATATGTAATTTATATATTATTATGTTCATATTTTTGCATAAAGTCTTATTTCTTTTAGAAAGTTTATTATTTTGGAAGAGTGGATTTTGTTGAAGAGTTCTCTCAAATTGTTTACTTGGTAATATCTCTCTCGAGTTTGGTAAAAGTCCTGACAATCCAGCAATATGTCTTTTACCAAGAGTCTCTCTTGACATCCTATACATATTGGGGGGTTCTTAACCCTCTGTTAGAAAGGAAGCCCCCTAACAATAATGGAAAGAGCAACAACAATTAGTAGACTTGAGAAACCTAGGTTCTTGAAAAATTGTTTTAATAGAAAGAGTTTATAAATTTCAACCAAAAGCAGCACTGGCTGCTTGGTAAGTGAATGATGAATGTTTTCTTATAAGGAAACAGCCAAAAGCAGCATTACCATTATGCAGCATGTTGTCAGTCAGTAAGAAGCACAAGTCTTTGCACAAAAAGTATCTAAGAATTAAATTAGGTTTAAATTCAGTGAAAATGCCTACTTCTTTTACCAAATACAGCAGAATGTAGCGTACTTACACGTAAGACATTGCTACAAGTTTGCATCGACGTTATCATTTGGTAGAAATGGTCAGTGATTTCCTGGTTCTTCTCTAACATCATCAGTTCTGCTAATTCCAATGCCAGCTGACATATTCAAGAAAAAAAAAAAAGATTATTACAAAGAAGTGAATTGTAAAATGTCTATGCATAAATTGTTTATTCTGAAATGTCAAAAAAAAAAGAAAAAAAAATTTGCCAGTAGCAATAGACTGAAAAATTATCTCCCAAAATATTTCATTGCAATCTGCATATAAAACAGTCTAAAATTGTTTTCATTTTCAAAGTAATAAGAAAATTTTTAAAAAGAAGTTTTCATAAAACTGATTTTTTTCTATAATGTTTCTATAATGCCTTAAAATACACACACATATCAGCAACATCAGATTGTGTGTGTTTGTTTTCATTGCACTTCCCATGTCTAGGGATATCTCATCTAAGTCAATCTAATGGGCAGCATGACGAGAGCAATCTACATCCATGGATTAAATAAAGGGTTCAGTTCAAAATTCCCTGTAGTTTGCCTGGATCGACATACACGTGATGAAATCCCGAGGGAACAACAGCTGAAACATTGTGATGACAACAATGATGAAAACAATAGTCTGCATGAACATAATGATAACTCCTTATTTCAGAAATCCAGACAGAAATTAAATATTAGCAGATTAACATATGTAAACAGATATTTATTGACACAGATATATATATATATATATATATGTATGTATGTATATAGTAAAGGTAATAAATCTGTTGATATATAATCCAAGTGGATACTTGTAATATAAAATATTAAAACTGATCAAAAAGAGCTCAATGTATTTATTACAGAACAAAAATTAATACACAATAATACCCACATATGAGGTGAGTGATTTTGGATTTTATTATGTATTAATCTATTTTTATCACACTAAACATTATTTTTAGTGGATACAGATCTCAGAGAAGAGGCTTCATTTATATTAAACAGTATATTTATTTTCATCTACCATCTGAAATATTTGAGGAATCTTATTAAAGAAAAATATGCATCTTCTTGAATATTCAAGCTGGTAGATGGAAATAGATATACTGTTGTGAATAAACCGGAATGTCTACTCAAACATTGGTATCCAATAAAAATATAGTTTAAAGTGATAAAAATCTGTCAGATTAAAAAATATAAAATCCATTAGTGCTTTAGAAATTGCTTTGTTTACATTAGGATATGAAACTGAGCAGATATGCACTTTCAAGAATCTGGGATAAGAGGAACTGCACTTAAAGGTATTATTCAGCCTTGCTTGATCAGCAACATCCTTCAGGGCAGAGTCGGTTAATCCTCAGTCTACTACTGGGTCCAATGGCCTATATTTTTTTTTTTCAAAACTAATTTTTTCATCCTTATTGTTATTCTATCCAAATTATTTTTTGTAACTTATTTTTTCCTCATATTCTATCATCTTCATAAAGGAAATAAATTTAGAACAAAAAATTAAATTTTGGTGGGTGATTTCTAAAGGGTGTTCCAATAACCTGAACTGATTTTAAATGTGAATTAAGTTTAAATGTCTAATGATTTTTTTCTTTTTCTTTCACATTTAACAACTTAAGTCTTTGGCAATTTCAACCCTGGAAAGATTAACAATCAAACAATGTGTTAAAGTTATCAAAGCCTACTATGAAAATGGTGGTTCAAACAGAATTTGAATGAGAAGTTCCCAGGTCGCATCATCTCTTGTAAGAGTGAAGTCAATTGGCCACCATGATCGTGCGACCTGACACCTTTAGATTTCTTCTTGTGGGGTCATTTCAAAAGTAAGGTCTATGCCAACAAGCCAACCACAATTCAACAACTGAAGGATGAAATAATAAGGCATATTGGTGAGATCAAGGAGCAACTATGCAGATACGTCATCAAAAATTTTGACCGAGTAGAGGTGTGCCACCAAAGCCTTGGCAGACATTTGGGCAATATTATTTTTCACACATAATTGCTATGACTTAAATAACATGATCCAATAGAGAAATAAATAAATTTTCGCCAATAACACTGATTTATTTACTGCTAACTTTGATCCGTCTTAATGAAATCATACTTATTATAAAACCCAGGTTGTGTGTGTGTGTGTCTGTTCATTTATATATTGGATCGGATTTCTACATTTTTCAACTGATTTCAACAAAACTTCACAGGACTACGAAAAATTACCTTGCGGTGGTTCTGACAGCGCCAAAAATTGGAAAAACACAATTGTTTTTGCATGAAATCAATTTGAAAACACAATTAAGAGGCATCGCTGTCACGAGAATGAAAGGGGGACAATTTATACTTATTATAAAACACAGGTTGTGTGTGGTGTGTGTGTGTGTGTGTGTGTTCGGATTTCCTACATTTTTCAACCGATTTCAACAAAACTTCACTTTTTTTTGGCAGGTAGTGTTTCTTATTGTCTTGCACACTTTTTTCTTTATTTTTACATTCAGAATGCTTTAAAAATTCCATTTACACGACAATTGTTTATAATAAAATTCTATTCAATTGCTAGACTCATAACGATTGAAAACAATTGTTTGACCAATTTGTAAAAAAAAAAAAAAACTAATTAAGACATGTGTGTCCATCAACCTTAAACAATAATCTTTGTCAATTTTATTTTTCAGCCTTTATGATGGTCGATACTTGATCTATCTCTTACTGTTACATCCACGGGCAACGCCGGGCTCTACTGCTAGTACACTATATTACCAATTGGACCCACAGTTGAAATTTTTAATTAAATAAAAATATTGTACATTCTAAATAGGTGCCATTATGCAAAGCCTTTTTTTTTATTACAAAGCTTTCAGACGATGGTATGTTTGATGACAACAAAGCTGACAGAAATGATTCTTCAAACCCTTCAATGATGAAAGAAAAGTATTATTCAAAGGATAAGTGTGAAATTTGGTCTTCTAAACTAATTAAAAGGGTACAACGAAGAACTCTATTCTACAAAGTTTTATTTCTAAAGCCTGAACCTTCATTTTTTGCAAGATCTTACGATTCAGCTTTCATCATCTATAGTGTTCATGAAGCTAAATCCCCAGGAAATAATCCAAAAACAGACAAATGCTGAAGAAATTCAAGTCTTACATGGATACAACTACAAACTCTAACTCTAGTGAGCCAAGGAACCATTCAATGAGAAAAAAAGATGCCCCTTGTGTGGTCCTAAAATGGACAGAAAAATGCAAACTGTCATATTTGCCAAAAACATGTCTGTCAAAGCCATTTGAAAGTATTCTGTGCAAAATGCAGCGATGAATTGTAACTTGTTTGTAAATATAATTTTGTAGACATGAAAGTGAGACTAGCCTTGGCTCTCGACATAAGAGGGTACGTTTGTGTCTGGCATGCAGGGTAGTAATTGATCTGAAGGAAGAAACACCGCCATTACGGTGAGTCGGTCTTATGGGAAACGCGATCTCGTAGCTGCGAGGATTGGCGAGAGGTGAACTTGGCCGTATGCAAATTTGTTGGTGTTTGCTGGCATAAATGTGACGGCGGGAGACCCCTCGAGAGATTGTGTGTAGCAAACTACAAGGCGGTGTTTGAATAAGTGAGTGCAAAGATCAGTGGTGTCTTGAAGCTGAGGAGTTTTGTTTCTTCCGGAAGTAGGCGGTGCCAGTCCAACCCGTTCCCTTCCTATTGTTTGGTCCTAATTTTACTTACAAATTTGAATTAAGTTTACAGTCACTATTTCACAAACGTGCTGTGGCCTCCTCATTGTCTTTTCTACAAGTACTTTTATGGCAACTGCTCCGACGAGTTACTAGGTTAGCATCTTGGTCCTACTCTTTTACTGTCGAAACAGCTAAATGTAGCCATCTCTTCTACTCCAACAGCTTCTTATCTCACACCTCCTGTTAGAGGAACTCCCTTCCTATGACTTGCTTCCCTGATAGCTATAATCTTCAAATATTCAAATGTAATGTCAATCGACATCTTCTGATGCCCTGACCTTGATCCCTGTCCTTGTCTTTATCCTTTTCTCAAACACTCCTCTTTACTCTTACTCTCTGTAACCCCTTGCATGCTAGTAGCACTCTCGCCTTGCCTGGGGTGAATTGCTTAAAAAACAAAAAAAAAACTTAATGCAAAAATTACTGTAGTTCTTCTGTTTCCATGAATAAATTTCAATTAAAATTGTTAATGCTTTGTCCATCTATAATTATACATACCTAATATTATCAAAAAATGCAAAAAGTCTGAATAGTTTAAAAAGAAAAAAAGAAATTGGTCCCAGGTGTTATTTAAGGGAAGTCAATTTTCTTGGGAGATAGATCCAATGTGTTTTTAACACTAACAATGGTTTCTCTTACAAAATGGCACATATTTTTCTTTAACAAGATTTCTCACAAGAATTAAATTTCCTCTTTATCCTATCATATATATATATATATATATATATATATATATATATATATAGAAAAAAGTTTCAAATTGAAAATTATAATGTTTTATTTTATGAAAGTATTTATTTATTTATATATATATTTGATATTTCAAATTGTCCTCAATTTTCATCAGAAATAACTGTTTGTTACAAATAAATTAAAATTACTGTTTGTTAGCAAGTAGCATCCTTCGCGAGACGCGGACGTCACGTGATATGCAACGTCACTGTTTGGATATTCCTAACTTAAATCTAACTGTCATAAATATTTAAAACAATTTTTTACTATATCTAAAAAAATATATATATATATATAAATATATATATATATATGATAGGATAAAGAGGAAATAGGAAAAGATTTAAAATAAAATATGTTTCATTTTTATGAAAACTTCCTCAGAGAATGAGATATAGAGAAGAAAAAAGAATAAATTCTGGTATTTTTAATTCTTGTGTTTGTTTCACTATTAGTTAAGCAGACTTCATGATATATATATATGTATGTATGTATGTATGTGAAGGAATGTCAGACTGGTACAAAATGGCCAGAAAAAAATGTATATTTATTATTAATAGTATATATATATATATATATATATATATATATATAAGACATTTTTATATTTATACATTCTTTTTATAGATACAAATATTTAAGTAAATGCTCTGTTTATAATAAACAGTATTAAACAACATTTACCAGCCTGAATGTCGGAGGACAAATATTTTCAGTGAAAATTTCTTGGACATATAAAAATAAGAAAAGTGCTCAATGCTTAAAAAATTATTCAACAAGTGGTCAAGGATACCATACAGCAACTTGGGTGGGAGACTTTGTGCCATCCACCTTATTCACCTGACCTTGCGCCATCCGATTACCACCTCTTCCAATCCCTGGATAATCATCATCATGGGAAATCCTTCACCAATGAAGCTAAGCCCTCATGGACTTCTTTGCGTCAAAACACCCTGAGTTCTACTGCAAGGGCATTGAACAGCTGGAGACACGTTGGCAGAAGGTGCTGGATGCCGATGGCAATTACTTCGAAGACTAAATATAAGTTACACATACTGTGAAAAGTTTTCTTTTTTTCATTTAAAAACGGACAGAACTTTTTTGGTTACCTTGTAATAATAATAATGAACAGAAGTAAAATTTTGTTCAGACTTTAAATTTAAAGATGATTATAAATATATATAAATATACTTCAGGCTAACTAAAAATCAAGATCAACTATGGAGGATGCTAAGTGATGTCTAATAAATGATAGTGAGTAAATGTTATTGTTGATTTTTTTATAATGTGATTATGAACGTATGTATTTATGTATGAAGTGAAACCCATATGAACATACAAATATGTGAATGAGATATGTTGAAAGTGTTTGATCAGGAGACAAAATCCCATTTATGAACTGGTCTGTAATAAATAATCAAACACTATCCAGTTACCCACAATTCTCATTATAGGCAAATCTTTAAAAAAGAAAAGGAAAAAAAACAGTGAGAGTAAAAGAACAGATAAGGCAATAAAACCAGTCGACCTTCACAAACTTTTACCAAAGGCACACTTTGTGTACAGACCTTTTCTACTGTTATTTTATTTTTTTTTCTGAAAAACCTGAAAATTCAGGGAGGCAAATGTTCTTGTGTCAACCAACCTTTCTTTTACTTTGATCAGAGGCCAAAGCAACCAGGGACAAATGGACCATGGCTGACAAACAGGAAAGGCAGAGGAGAATTTCATTTTCATTCTCAGGTTTCTTGTCTGTGACAACTGGAAAAGAAAGAAAAACAGACATATTCAGTGCAGACAGAGACAAACAAAGAAGTGACATAATAATTTTTGTGTGCATGTGTGTGTACATATTTAAATGCTGCAATTAGATAATCTTTAAAGAACAGTGATTTGACAGATATAGAATTTTTTTCTGGCATACCATTTTTCTAACAAATAAAGTCCTCTTAGGTGGCTAATAAATGTGGGCAAGGAATCAATCTGACAAGCTTATTCAGACCATCCTGTTTATTAATTCACATTTTTGATTTTTTTTAAATGATTTTCCGATCCCCATTTTTTAAGGCCAAGCAAAGCTCAAATCACCCCCTTGATTATTAAAACCTCTCTTTGTATTAAGGCAGGTATGAAGTTTGTATTTTTTTTATTGCAAAATTACAATGCTAGCTCTTTATTTCTTTATATAGACTTATCTGTGAACAAACAGGGACAGGCAGGGAAACAGTCGGAAATGGAGGAAGTAGATAGATGGGTAAAGGCAAAGAATTAAGGGGAAACAAGAGAAGAGACAGACATAGAGATATTAGGTTGGTGCAAAAATAATGACGTAATAATGTCGTTTTTTGACGTTAAAAAATACAGTCATTGATGGAAAACATGAGGAAAGACAGAGAGACATACAGGGAGATAAATAGAAAAGGGGAGGGGAGACAGGCAGGGAAATGGAGGAAGTAGATAGATGGGTAAAGGTAAAGAATTAAGGGGAAACAACAGAAGAGACAGACATAAAGATAGATTGAAATGGAGAAAGACAGGTAAGGTCATTGATGGAAACATGAGGAAAGACAGAGAGACATACAGGGAGATAAATAGAAAAGGAGAGGGGAGACAGGCAGGGAGCTTGATGGAAACAGAGGCAAAGAAAGAGAGGAACAAAATGGAAATTTGGAGAGAGTTGGGTAGAGAGACTAATGGAAACAAGGAGAAAGACAGCAAGACAGAGATAGTAGGGGAAAGAAAGAGAAAGGAACAAAACAGAAATGTGAGGGAGATAGACAGGGTGATAGATGGGAATAAGTGGAAAAGACAGGAACAGATTATACAGAGCTGTTCGATAAAAGTGACTCACCTGATTTTTTTTTACTCAAAAATTTTTTCACTTATTGTTTTTGGGGTCAAACAAATTTTTAATCTTACTAATATAAAGACCCCTTCCCGACCACCTAGTAAAAAAGTTTACTCACCCTAAGGTATTCTATTGATAATTATAATTTTGGATATAAATAAGATTTAGGGAAAAACTCTGTGCAAAAAAAAAGTGACTCACTTATTTCCTGCAACTAGTAATCAATAGAAACATAACCGAACAGCTTTAAATAAAGAATAATAGAGGTATAATTTATTTATAATAGGTAATATAGTTCAAAATATTTAATAATCTATGGGTCCTCCTTTATTTTGAATAACCTTTTCAACCCTTTTTGGCATTGACTTGATTAGGTTCTGGCAAATCTCATCTCAAAGCATTGAATTCCATTCAGATATGAAATTCATAACCTTTGTTGCTCAACTGCTTTCTCGAGAGCATTTTTATAATGCTCCATAAGTTTTCTATGAGGTTGAGGTCAGGAGATTGGGGCGGCCATTTCATAACACTCACCTGCTTCTCATCAAAGTATTACTTCATCAATTTTGATTTGTGACAGGGAGCATTATCCTGCATAAAATTGAGTTTGGTGGGGTCGATTTGCACCCTTTCAGCAGAAGGGAGCAAACATGACTCTAAAATTCTCTTGTACTGCTCACTCCTGAGGGTCTTTTCAATAGGTTTTAAGAAACCAGTTCCATGAAAAGAAAAGCATCCCCAGAACATTATACTGAATGGATGCTTGACAGTACTTACTGCTAAATTCAAAGAGCTTTCAAAGCTTCTTCTTCAGATTTTAGATCGCTTATCCTTTGAATTTAGCTCAACTTTCGTTTCATTGGAGATGAGAACATTTAGTAAAAAATCAGGTGAGTCACTTTTATCGAACAGCACTGTATATATAGCTAATGACTGAAATATAAATGAAAATAACTTAAACAAATAGATATAAACAGTTCAAGATAGATACTTGTATCTGAGTAGGGAATTCAGTGTGAGACTCATTAAGCTATAAAAAGAAAGTTTGGCTATAAGTTTTCTGATTTTACCTGTCAGTGTCCCTTTGTATATAAATGTATTTTTTTTTAAAACAGAAAGAGATGTTGCTATAAGTTTGTGCCTAAGCAAATGCAACCACAAATATTCTGCAAAATAAAAATGAATGAAATTTACAGAGCAGAAAACACACTTTCCATGAAAAAAGCAGAATCACAATAAATTTAAAGTTTGATATTGAATTTATATGAAACATAATTCAATCTGTATTCTCCAAAATTGGACAAGTTTTGTGCATCTGACAAGTTCCATAAATTTTCACCTGTTATCCTAGATATTCCAACTGTGTGTACATTAATGTAAGGAATGATTCCTCCCCAAAAAATATTTAAAAATAGTATGATCAATGTATTTCTAGAAATAAATTTTGAAAGCATGATCTTTCTCACTTATTTTCAGTGAGAAGATGTAAAAAAGAAAAGCAGAAGGTTACAAACACACCTAAGGAAGAGTGAAGAATCCACCAACCAAAATGTCTTGATACAAACAACTAAAATAAGGATGTTGGTCTGAAAAAGACTATTGAAAGGGATAATATTTTGCTTGAAAAATTTAGACAACTGTATTGACTGATGCTAAGAAATACCAGACATTTGAATAAAGCTTAATATCAATCAGGAAGTATTGATCTAAGAAGTATTGATCCGTGGTGATCCCAATATGTACTGCATTCACCCTAAGGGATACTAAAGTAAGCTTTCAACTAAGTGTCACCTCATACTATAAAAATAGCTAGATGCCTCAAGGGTTAAAATAGAAGGTGACCTCAAACCCCCCAAAAGCAAGATCAGGCCTCAAAAGATGTTGATGGGTGCACAAACATGGACGTGAACCTGGCTGAACTCATGATATATACCCTCGTGAGACAACTTGTGACAGGAAGTCATCTAAACACTTGACCTGTAAGGGGAGAGTCAGAATCCTTGGCTTCATGAGAAAATTGAATGTTTGAAAAAAAAGTCCCTAAAACTATATACCCTCCACGGATGATGTTAATCTGACAGAATCTGGAAGTGACTAAACAATTATTCTATGTATTAAAACTTCAGTCTTGAATTCTTGTCAGACATATTCTTGAAAGAAGATATTTGATGAAAGGCCTGCAACCAAATATCCTTGAGAGATTGTATTAACGAGGCATTAAACTCACTTGAAGACTGATGTGTTGCCAGTTTTTTGTTGTAGGTGCCCAAAAATACACAGTTGAGAGTCTGTGAGGATTTTGAAGACAGACTAGAATAAAAGTTGTGTGAAATAAACATCTTGTTACGATCCATGACTTCACAAAGGTACTGCAGACACTAAGAAAAGAACAAAAAAAAGAAATCAAATATCTATAACTTGTAAATATTGCTGGAATCAAAAGTATCCTAGAATGGTAACAATGGTATTAGCAGTTTCTTTATAGGGTAACATTTTGATATTCATTGACTAAGCAGCTGTCAGTTGATAATTTAGAAAATCTTTCTTTTGTCTTTCTTTACAAATCATGCATGTGAGAATGTTGCAGAATGGATCAACTGAAATAAAAGTGGTAGCAACATGAACCACATGAATAAGTTCAATTATACAAAGAAAGCTTGAATTCGTCTCAAAGTAATAGTGGTTTTTTTTTTAAGACACTTAAAGACACTTTTGAGACTAATGATATTTTATTTAATTTGGATCAGGAAGCAAATTTTACTGCAGACTGAATGAGACAAGCAAATGAAAATTGATAGAGACCACATTGGTTTGTTCAAATAAGGGGGGGAAGAGAAAAATTAATGGAAGAATTTATTTTTGGTAATCCTTTGCAAGATACAATTCCTCTTTCATTTGGAATGTTAACCAATAATTATCAAGGATGAAAACTTAAAAACAGATTCTTACCAAAAATGTCTGCTGATGTATTTTTTTTTCCTCATCAAACTGAAGATTTACCAACTTTGGAATCAGATTAACAAACTGTATGGCTGCATTTTGGTATTCTTCAACTCTGAAAATAAATTCATCTTTAAAATTTTGTTGGTGACACAATATTTAACAATGGCATATAACACAGACATAGTTAAAATATGTAGTTAAAACAACAAAACAAAGACTGATATTTAATATGAAAGAAAAAGAAAATTGGAGTTTACCAGTTGTCGTTCCTCAATTCATCAAAACTCAATCGAGGAATAAAATAGTAATGTATATACCAACTGAAAAGATAGAGGAAAATTTAATACACTGTTAGTAGTAATATACAAAACACATAATATCTCTAAGCAGATCGTAATAAGTCCTAGCAGCCACTCCTTCTGTTTACACAGGGAAGACTACCTGGATTTAATGAAAATTGTCTCAAGGATTTTCAGGTGGAACTCAGAAAGAATAAGACTTGCATAGCATGGAGAACATGTTCTCATGGTCTGCTTCAGCATACTGACATATTTTGACATTTTCCTCTTTTTTTTTTCTTTTTTTTGGATAGCACATGATTAAAAACCATCAGAGACAACATGTTCTCCATGTTATATGGTTCTCATTCTGAGTTCTATCTGAGCGACAACCAATACTTTTTTCTTTTATATTATATGTCAGTCTTCTTTGCTCCTGTTTTAACTACATATTTTTAATATGTCTGTGTCATAGGGCTTTATTAAAATCATCTTTCTTGAACAATAGGAAAATAAATTGAATAACAGAAATAGAAGAAAGAAAAAAGAAAAACAAAAGCAATACAGACATGTTCTGCTTGCCAATCTAAGTGGCAAAGGCTGGGTTTCTTTGAATTGATGTACCAAAAGATGGTGCAGTTTAAATGAATCTTTTCAGAGACAAAATCAAATAAGATTTGGTTTTGCATGATTATTCTTTTTCTGTTTTTATTTTTATATGAATGTCTCAGACTCAAAAAAGATAATAGGCATGTTTGTCTGTCTTTATTCTTCAATTTTATTTTCCTTTTTTGAATTTTTCCTTCTTTTATTTCCTATGTGAATATCTGTCTTTATATTTGCATGCTTATATATTTGATTATATTTACATGTTTGCATATTATGATGTGAATGTGTTTGTCCTGTCATTTGAAAAAACCCCTTCCCTATCTACCTCCTTATTTGAATTCAATCTTCTATGTATCAACTATGTGTAGTGACTGTAGATACTTCTTACATCAGTGTCGAAAATCTTACTTATTATAAAACGCAGATTCTGTGTGTGTGTGTGTGTGTGTGTGTGTGTGTGTGTGTGTCTGTTGGTTTATATATTGGATTGGATTTTTCAACAAAAATTCACTTTTTTTGGCAGGTAGTGTTTTTTTTTGTCTTGCACACTTTTTTTCTTTATTTTTACATTCAGAATGCTTTAAAAATTCCATTTACAAGACAATTGTTTATAATAAAATTCTATTCAATCGGTAGACTCTGTATCGACATTATTATTCCTGGAGAAGATAATAAATTATTTTCCCGTTGTTTTTGCCATAGTTTTGAATACAGAGTTGTCCTTGAATGGTTGGCAACTAAGGCGAGAGATTGAAAACAATGTTTTTGTTTGAGTTTGGGTTTGGCCAATTCATAAAAAAAAAAAATAATTAAGACATGCGTGTCCGTCAACCTTAAACAATAATCTTTGTCAATTTTATTTTTCAGTCTTTAAGATGGTCGATACTTGATCTGTCTCTTACTGTTACATCCCGGGGCAACACCGGGCTCTACTGCTAGTAACTGATAAATTGGCATTTTGCTAAGGACAATAAAAGATATATATTCGTTCCCATAGTTTCATTTCTGAATAATTTTGTAATAATTTTAAATTTGATGCTCAGTTAGATTTCAAATTTGACATTTGTAATTTTTAATTTTACTGTGAAATTAAAAATTAATTAGGTTTTTTTTTTTTTTTTTAAGCATTACGCCCCAAGCAAGGCGTGAAGCCACTAGGATGGAGGGGGTTGCGGAAGATTTGGAGCGAGAGCAGATAGGAGTGATAAGAGAAAGGATGAGGAGAAGGATAGTGGATAGATCAAGGTAACTGGAGATGTCGATTGACATTAAATTTGAATAGTTGGAGATTATAGCTTTCAGGGAAACAGTAATTGGGGAGGGTGTTCCACTGCCGAGAGGTGCAAGGTATGAAGCTATTGGAGTAGAAGAGACGGCTACATTTGAAAGTTTCTACGGTGTAAGGGTGGGAGCGGGATGCCAGCCTCGTAGGGCGCTTGAATTCATGGAGTCTGGGAACCAGAGAAAGCAGCTCGTCGGAGCAGTTACCATGGAAGTATTTGTAGAAAAGACAGAGAGAGGTGACAGCGTGTCTGTGAGAGAGTGACTGCAGACGAGACGCTAGATCAGGGCCAATTAGATTACATATCCATCTCTGAATCTTGTCAAGAACTCCGAGGTAAGCAGAAGGTGCCCCAGCCCATATATGGCAGCAATACTCCATGCAAGAGCGAATGGTTGTTTTGTATATTTGAAGTATCGATTCAGGGGAGAAAAATTTCCTGGTGCGGCAGAGAGAGCAAACTTTCCTCACGGTGGAAGAAGCAATTGACTCAATGTATTTGTTCCATCTCAGGTCAGCAGTCAGCGTGAGACCGAGCAGGCGCAGGGAGTTGCTCTCAGGAAGTTGACTATCAGACATTTTAATGGGGGGCAGGGAAGGATCTCTATGGTGGTTAATGGAGAGTAGTTTAGTTTTTGTGGCGTTAAAGTTGACCAGCCAATTCTTGACCCAGTTAACAACCGATTGGAGGTCCATTTCAAGACGCACAGCCAGGTTAGTTTTGCTGCCGACACTAGATTTGTTTTTGAGGTAGGAGTAAATTGTAGTGTCGTCTGCGTAGATGCCAACTATAGCGTCAGGAAGGTCATTGATGAAAATAAGGAAAAGAGTGAGGCCAAGGCTGGAGCCTTGGGGAACACCTGCGTTCATGGGATAGGAACTGGAGGAGAATCCGTTGAGAACGACCTTCAATTCTCAGTTTGACAGGAATGATTGTATTAGATCAAACAGTTGACCAGTAACACCATACCCCTGGAGCTTACAAAGAAGGCCGGCATGCCAAACCCTATCGAATGCTTTGGAGATGTCGAGGGCCACGGCACAAGCCTCACTGTTATTTTTAAGGGCTTGGTAGACGGTTTCATTGATGGCTGTAATCACATCAGCTGTAGATCGGGCGTAGCGGAAACCATATTGCTTGTCTGAGAGCAGATTATAAGATGTAAGGTGATTAACCACTTCGGCATTGATTAGGGCTTCGAAGACTTTGCCAAAGAGGGGTAGGAGACTAATAGGACGGTAATTAGAGGGGTCAGAGGGGTCTCCAGAGTTCTTAAACACAGAACAATGGATGAGGACTTCCAGCAGTCAGGAAAACAGGATTCCTTGAGGCAGTAATTATACAGTTTAGAGAGGGCGGGTGCTAGCTCAGGCGCGCATTTCTTCAGGACAATGGCTGGTATGCATTCTCCACCACTAGCCTTGTGGGGGTCTAAGTTGGAGATAATGCCCAGTACCAATGACGGGGTCATGTGTAAGCCGCTCAGTAAGGCCTCAGTTCTAGGAGGGAAGTCTGGTATAGGTACACCGGTGGAGTCGAGTGTTGAATTAAATGAGAATTTCCGAGCAAAGCATTCAGCCTTGTCGGTAGAGGAGGTATAGAGGGTTTTCTATTGTTTAGGACACTCTTGCAGAGCCGCCAACAATCTTTGGAGCCAAATTTGCAAGATGCAATACGTTCCTTCATCCGAGCAGCAAATATTGACTTAGCTTCGTTGAGGACACGCTTACACTCGTTACGGGCAGAGGCAAAGAGACGTCTATTGCAGTCCAACATGTCACTATGAAATCGGTGAAAGAAGTGATTCCTATGGGCAATGGCAGATGAGCAAGCAGCGGAGAACCAAGGGAAAGAGTGCGACTTGACCTTAAATTTCCTTGAGGGGATGAAAGCGTCGATTCCAGCTTTAACCCAGGATGAGACCTCAGAAGCACATTCTTGGACAGGGAGTGTAAAGACAACATCCCAGGGGACATCGCGGAGGAAGTCACGGAACGAGTCCCAATCCGCTCGTTGATAGTAGAACGAGGTTCTTGTAATGGGAGGTTCTTTGCAGGGTGTGGAGTTGAAGGAAAAATAATCTTAACTTTAATGCGCAAAAAGATTGTACTTAGGATATGTTGTCATGCTATTTTGAATTACCATATACTTGTATTCTGATTGGTCATCATAGGTTACATAATGTTTCCCCTATTGATGGTTTGAACTCTTAAAACTCTTTATTTTGCAATCAACAGCGTCACTTGATAAGACATCAGAAGTGTTGAAACAAAATGACTATTTTTGTAGTGATGTTATAACATGCATATGTTATAATTTTGAATATATATATATATATATATATATATATATATATTCAAAAAAGATCATAGACAGGTCCTTCAAGAAAATGTCATGTTAAGTATTTACTTATAAACTCTTAGATTATGATGCATATTTGCACAAAAGGAAAAACTAGAGATACTCCAGGATTACAAGCATTTTTAATTAGAGGAATTTGTTTACCATCACTGTCATGTTTTTTTTTTTGATCACCCATCACTCCTACCATCACTGACCAAATTACATTAGAGAGATATACTGAAAAGCAGATTGGCCAGGTGTGACACTGGATCTTTTCCATAAAATATTAGATAACTTGCAGATTCTTTAAGATAATCACATTTTAATTTGCCCATAAAAAATTGAACTTAAATTATAATCTCTTTTAGATGCCACTTGCCTTCTGGATGTGGGTGAACTTGTAGCTTTAAACAATGTTTGTCTCCTGACTATTCCTCTCATTCCCTGTTCTACCATTCATTTATATAACCTCTTGTTTTCAATACATCCTGTGAGTATCAAATTCTCCATACTCTCTTTCCTCATTGTGTCCCAGAAATTTAAACTCTTTCTAATCCTAAGAGCTTACAGCCAAATCACATTAAAACTTACAATCATCAAAGTTAACCAGCATCAAGCCTAGTCAGCAACTCAATAGGTGACCATGTGCTGTAAGCTTGGATGTGCAGGTGATGTAATGTTTAATGGCATGGAATTGGGAATCAGAGAGCCAAGCTCCAATTCCAGCTGGGTCCATTATATTCACTTACATGCAAATACCCCAAAGAAAGGTATGAATCCATCTCTTCTACTCCTAGCTATGAGTTAATTAGTTGTATCTGTATCAGTCAATCAATATTAGCTCCAAAAAGTTCTTACAATCTAAAAATATTTTCTGGCTTTAAATAACCTTTAAAAGGTTGATAAGCTGAAAAAAAAATGAATCAATCAATCAAAATTCTAATCCTAAATATGGATGCCCTTTTTGCTTTCCTTAAAACTCCTTTACTGCTCCCAGGTTTTGTTCTTGATATTTTAAGTAATCTTCTATAGAACCACATCTGTTGCCTTTTGGTACGAATTGCACAAGCAACACTCTTCTGGCAGATCTATTCTACAATTAATGTAACAGCCTCCATAAGGTTGTGAAACCTGATTTCTCTTTATACCTTCTGATTTTAGTTTGTTCACAGATTCTTTTGAAACTGTAACATCCTTCCTACTCTTTGATCATGCTGAAATAATGAAAAAATGATTAGGAAGCACCAGTGACTTTTTTTTCAATCTGTAAACAGTACTAGAAATATGTGAACAGGACTCAAAAAAGAACAAGATATCCCTAGACATGGACAGCAGAACGAGAACATATGATGCCTCAGAAACCAAAGTAGTTATTTTTTTATTTTTTTTTTTTAGTGTTTCACCCCAAGCAAGGCGGGAAGCCACTAGGACGCAAGGGGTTACAGAAGATTTGGAGCAAGATCAGATAGGAGTGATAGAGGAAAGGATGAGGAGAAGGATATTGGATAAATCAAGGCAACTGGAGATGTCAATTGACATTACATTTCAATAGTTGGAGATTATAGCTCTCAGGGAAACTGGAATAGGGAAAGGAGTTCCACAGGCGAGAAGTGCGAGATTCTATCATCACCCATCAGAGTACATATCACCAGTCATGATAAATAAATGGCCCCTCAAGGAGACTCCATGTCATGGCAGACTATTAGGCCTTAAACACATCCCTGATGTCAAGTGGAACTTGTACATATGATCTATTGATAAAGATGCAAAAAAAAAATGGTTCCCTATACCACTCCAGTAAGTACCTGTCTCCTTGTGCTATCCTCTACCTTTACAAGAGCCAGATCAGGCCTAAAATGGAGGACTGTTGTCGTATTTGGGCAGGAGCTGCCAAAAGCATCTCTAAGTCCTTACTAGTGACCAAATTATTTTCCATCCCCAACCCCTCTCTCGCAAACAGGATGTGGCAAGACTTTCACTGCTCTGTTGCTATTCCATAGAAAGTTCTGATAAACTGCATTCCTTGATTCTGCCAGTTCTAACCTTCCCAGCTAAGACCCACTATGCCACTCAAATTGTAACAAAACTCCCTCATTCCCTCAATATTCCATTGCCGAGAAGTTACACTCAAATGGCTTCTTCCCATGAACCATAGCTTTGTGGAACTGAGTCCCAAGAGGATAATTCCCTTGATCATTACAATCTTAACCTGCTCAAGTCTAGGATTGACTGTTATCTTCCCTTCCTATCCACATAAACTGCCTCTTATTCTGTAACCCTTTACCTCAAATGGCCCCCAGGCAGAGTACAGAGTGAATCTCACTGTAAAACAAAACATAAATCCCCACAGATAAAGGATTCAGTTGGAAATTCTTTTGAAGATTACAAAATAACTATGAAGAAGGTCGATTGGTACATCAGCTGAAGCTTTGTGATAATAGCAAAAACGATCAGGATTAGTCTGACTATCAATAAGTAAATAATAGCTCCACATCCCAAAAATTAAAACAAAAAAATATACATAGATATGTATTTTAAGACATTTTTTATGTTTATACATTCTTTTTATAGATAGATGTCCAAGAAATTTTCATAGAAAATATGCGTCCTCTGAAATCATGCAGAATTGTAGTTTAAAAACAGTAAAATCGACCTTGCTAACCAAAACACTCCTTTATGGCTCAATCGGTAAAAGCATGTCAGGATATATGACAGTTCCATATAGGATACAGGTTCAATTTCTATCGGAGGATGCATATTTTCTATGAAAATTTCTCGGACATTCAGGCCAGTAAATGTCGTTAATACTGTTTATTATAAACAGAGCATTTACTTAAATATTTTTATCTATAAAAAAAATGTCTTAAAATAATTGTCGGACTTTGTCCATTTCATAATGTGTGATAGATATGCATGTGTATGTGTGGGTATGAAGAGGAAAAATCACCTGAAAGAAAGCATACTTGTCAGTGATATATTTGATTAATAAATATTTAGTTAATTTGGTTAATATGTCAGTATATACTCATTGGTCACATTATTAGGTACATACTTCTAGTAGCAGGTTGGGCTGACTTTTGCTTTTACAATTGCCTCAGTTCTTCTTGGCAGGGATTCAACAATGTTCTGGAAGCACTCTATTGAAATTTGAATCCATGCTATTATGACATCCTGCAATTCTTCTAGATTGGTTGAATGCCTATCCAAGATTTAGATCTCCTTTCCCACCAAATGCCAAAGGTGCTCTATGGGATTGAGATCCAGTCACTGTGAAGGCCAATTCAACACAGAAACACTGTTTTGTTCCATGAACCAATCTGCCATTATTATTTCGTTTTTGACTCAATATATTGTCCTGTTGGAAGTAGCCACTAGTGGCCAGCCAGATGCAGCAGTCATATCTTTAGGTCAGTTACAATACCTAGTGGCATTTAAACACACTAAGAGCTCCAGTATACGCCAAGAAAATGTTCCCCATAGACCACAACCACCACGACCCACAGCCTGAACCACTGATACAAGCCAGGTTGGATATATACTTTCATATTGTTTATGCCAAATCTTTGTGGTACTTAATAAATTGTAGCTTCAGTTTCTGACAGAATGTACCACCTGGTGTCGTCTTCTGTTGCTTCATGGTTTGACATGATGTGTCTTCAGAGATCCTTTTCTGTATAGCTCCATTGTAAGGTATGGTTATTTGAGCTACTGTTACCTTTCTATCAGTTCGAACTAGTCTTGCCATTCTCCTCTGACCTCTTTCATTAACAACTACAGATTTTTTTTTGATTTTTCTTACCCTTCTCTGTAGACCTGAGAAATGGTTGTGTATAAAAATCCTAGTAGGTCAGCATTTTCTTTTTAAAATACACAAACCTGCCTGTATCGCACCAACAGTCATGTTTCATCCAAATTCACTTAAATTACCTTTTTTTTTCTATAATAATGCATGAAAAGATATTCTTCAGGTCACCATATTTAAATGACTATATCTATCAAACTACTGCCACATCATTTGCTGATCAGACATTTGCATAAAAGAGCATTTGTTCACATGAACTTAAATGGCCACTGAGTGTATATACCCATTATCCTAAGGCTGGTTCAAAAATTATCTAAAGGGGAACATTTATGAAAACACTAAGAAAGAAACTGTCCATATGAAAGTAACAAACCTTTCCTTTTCGAGCCGGTCACTCCAGCCAATCTCTGAACTGAAATAGCCATTCAAAGCAAGCACTAAATCTCTGAAGATTTGTTCACACCAAGGTTGCTGAAATTAAATAATAAATATTATCTTTCACATCTACATATTCACATTGTTTCTATTCATATGAATAAATATTTGTTCCATGCCTAATAATGCCAGTCCTCCTGACAAGAATTGATATTTGGTGGACAGTGAAACACACTTGTACAATATCACTCTCATTTTTCTCTATCTACCATCATAGTAAAGTTTAGTTGATTGGCAAGGAGTCAGAATGCTTGGTATGTTGAATCTATACGTTTTTCCTTGCAGGTACCAGTTTTCATATGATTCATTCCTTATAGTTAAGGAATGTAACATGGCAGTGACCCTGATTTTTGGCATAATAATAATAATAGTAATATATATATATGTGTGTGTGTATATATATATATAATAATAGCTGGTCACTCATATTCAAGGATACCCTTCTACTAAGACGCTAAGCCAATCCCTATTGTAGACACTCACTTGGGTACATTTGTGTTTGTTCAACACCCACGGAGCCAACCTGTGATTTATATTACAACTATGCTGAGCAGACCTTAGTTACAGTTTCTGGGAGAGAGTGTGTTATCTAGAATGATCAACAATTTGAACAACATCAGCATGCTCAAACCCTCGGTCATGATGACTTGTGTCTTTGTGCTAGCACAGCTATTGATGGCCCACAAGTGTTATGTCTAGCCAATTCCACTCGCAAGGCTTGGGTCAACTCCTGGTAAGGTTTTCAGGCACTTTCCAAAGGTGCTGCACACTGAGATCGTCTTCTTCCAGACGGATAACATCAGGAAGTCTCCTTCCTGACAAATCAGATTCGGACCCAGGTCTCATGGTCAGTAAGCGAATGTTCTAACCACTCAGCCACATGTGCATGCGTGCGCACACACACACACACATGGTAACTGGTGCCTACAATAGACAGAGAAACTTCTACTCTTGCTGTTAATTATTTTCAGTGTCTCAAGAATATTGGTAGAAATCAACCAAAATGATTGCAGCCTTTAGATTATTAAACTGTTTTTACAACACCATTTATTCCTTTTTATACAATTTTTCTGCCTTTTGAGAAACTCAGCAGATCAAGAAAACCCGTCACTCTCTAGAGAGAACAGAGGAATTATTCATCCTGGCATGTACATAACATTAAACCAAACTAGACGACCACATACAATTGCAGTTCTTGTCTGAGTTTGACTGATTGTATCATCATTGTTGAAATTAAATCCCTTAAGAGTATGGGACTGTTACATAATGACAATCTTCCTACATTGCAGTGAATGCTGGAAAATCTCACAAATGAGAAAGAGATTTGAAGCAACAGAAATGAGGTTTTGCCAAAGGATGCTGAGAATACAACTGATTGAACATGAGAGCAAAACTAAAAAGGACACTTATGCTTAACATCAGGAAGAGACAGTTGAAATTTCTAGGGCACATAATGAGGAAAGAAGGCTTCAGAAATTTGATACTCACAGGACATATTGAAGACAAAGGGACAGAGGAAAACAGTGCATAACCTACCTACCTAACCAGTTTGTATAAATACATGACAGAACAGGGTTTAGAAGTGATAGCACAAAGACAAAAGAGCTACAGGAAATTGTGGGCAGCCATGATTACCAATTTTCCTGAAGAGACATAACACATAGAAGATTTCAGCCACTGTACTCAGCCTTCCTCAGGTTTCTACTTTATTTTGAAATGTTTATATTTGTCCTGAGGGGACATATGAAGCACTGTGATAAAAAACAATAAAACCCAAAGATGATGAAATCAGCCTGAACCAAATTGATTACATATTTATAACAAAATTTGTATATACATTATTGTTGTCATGAAACTTATCTGTAAACAGAGATTAAACTCAAGACAAAGATTATCCATTAGTTTGTATTAAAAAGTAGTTTATCTAGTGATAGCTGTTGAGATTTAAATATTATTGTCATCAGACATTTCCATGGGGATGCACATGTAAATTTATGCGAAAAACAACCATAGAGCAAATTACTGAAATTTCTAAGACAGTGTTGCAGTACTTCTGGCCTTGTGCTAAAGTAAGCTAAACATAATAAGTGACAACACTTCCAATTAGCAATTTGAAACAGTCAAATTAACAATAGCAAATCAGTGAAACCTTAATTAACATTTAAAAGTCTAGACTATTTGAATTGTAGATATTATACTAAGTTTCTACAGAAAAATCATATCCAGCTATATTTTTTTTCTGTTAGGACAACATCATCAATTGAAAATGGAGACTGGGAAGCATTTACTTATTGCTAGAATCCTTCTGTTGAGTTGACTACTTTCTTTAACAGAGTTAAATGTCTATCTGAACAACTCCAAAGTGATAAAAGATTTCTCTATCAATGAAAATCTAAACTAGTGACTTAGATGCAGACTTTTCATTCAATATTCATAATCAGGTCATTCATACATATTTCTAACAACTGATATTCGTCCACTCACCAATGTGGTTTATTTTAGAATTTCATTTTTTTCCTGAGGCTATCTCAACAACTGTTTCTCTCTCTTAAAAGACCATAAAATCTATAGCTTAGAATGGCCCAAGGACACAAGTGTAAGTGTGGCAGACATGATGAGACAGAACCTGGGACGAGCACAACTGGTTGCGACTTGCCTTGTCCCCGCCAAAAAAGAGCCCGTATTTGCTTAGCATGTAAAGCTACTGCAGTTGAAATGAGGGAGAAAAAAGCACTTACCGCTCTGCCGTAATCCGTCCTCGGCCTGATAATGTAAAAGAATGAGAGGGGACTTGCATTGCATTTTTATGCAATAAAGATGCAATGCATTATGGGACAGGGACGCAATGAATTATGGGATCACATGAAGATGCAAGGGATTATGGGTATATGGACAAATATAAAAGCAACTACTTTTTCCCAATGCGGGAAGTTCTTCGAGGGACGTTCACGGTTGGGGGCAAGAACAGTCTGTTAGTGTGATTTGGAGACAGAACTCAAGAAGGAACGACTTGAGGTTGAAATACCAGCTGGAAGAGATTGAATTTACTTGCTGGTTGTTGTTTTCTTTTTATTTTGCCACAGTAAGTCACCAACTAAGCACTAAAGTCACTATAACAAACTTAGTACAGGAGATAAGGAAAATGAATAAAGGACAGGCTGTTCAAAGAGTTGTTTTGTTCAAGACCACAAGAAACATCAAAACCAAAATGTTAACCTGACAACTCAAGTCATGTTCTTAAATAGCCTCATCAGATTTAAACTCTTATATGGATGTTATTCATAACATCAAATGTGTTCAGAAATGTCTAAACTATACAACCAATTTCTCAGGTCAATAGTTAAGAAATGATTTCAAGTGAATAAACTCCCTAGGTTTTAATGAAGGCAGTACTTCATTAAATCTTATAGACAGACAACAGATTCACAAAGAACTTTACTACATAACAGATACCATATCACTTGAAGACTTTCAACAGTCGCAACAACTAAAATAGATAGTTCACATCATTAGAAGGAAAAATAATGATATAATCAAGACATTGATTTTCCACACTACCTTAAATAAAAAGCTAGAAAAAAAACTCCCAACAATACTAGAAAGTGATAACAGTGCACTTGAGAAATCTAGTCTCTTGAAAAAAACTATTTCAAGAGAAACATTTTATAAACTCTGTTTAACAGTAACACTGTTTGATCAATGAATGCCAAATGTTTCCTGTATGGAAACGGCTAATCTTATTACCACTATGACACAGTAGTAAAGGTCAACAAAACCCACTCACTGACCATTACTTCATGGCAAGATATTGACCGTATATTTTCAAAATTTATGTTAGTCTGATACAAGTCCAATGCTCTGGAACACTAAACATTACCCAATAGTAAAGCTCCATCTATAGATAATTATTTAAACTAAAAGTATGAGATATATAGTGATAATTGAAATCACTACACATGGTAATAAGGAAACATTCAATGGTCTATGAGGTTATGTCACTATTATAAAGTTTAATCTTAGTTTGGCATTATGACACCTAGTATGTTTCAAACTCAATACAAATTAGGAATTATCAACTTGACAAGCTAAACATTAACCATAGTGAGGGCTCATATATACAGATATCATCATTATTTATATGTCATGTCTCTTTAGGATGATCATAGCTCTCCATAACCTCCTGTTCCCTGAGGCTCTAAGCAATATTTGTCTTATATTGCTACCTTCTTGTCCCTGCTCTGCTGTCCATTCACACCAAACCTATTAGTTAAGTCACTTGCTGTTTTCTTCTACCCGTCTTTCTTGCAATTCATCCTGTGAGTATTAAATTTGCCAAACTCTCCTCCCTGCAAATGAGACCCAGAAATTTCAACTGTCTCTCTCTGATTTTAAGTAGAAGTGTCTTTCTAGTTCCCATTCTCTTTACAACTTTCTTGTTGCACTTATGTTCTGTTCTTCCGTTCATGGCATTTTCATTGTACATCGGTATAACAGCATTTCTGTTGTCTTATCTGTGAGGAGATTTATACATATGCACATACAAATATGCAAAGTGCTGGTACAATGAACTGAAAGCCTGCCGGTTGATCAAAAAACTCACTAAAAAGAAAACACCAACAACGAATTTAGCAAAAACCAAGAAAATAACTTATACACGAAATGGAAAAAGGAAAAAAAATAAGAAAAAAAGAAAACAAAAGTCAAACACCTACCTAAACAGAGCAATAATGCTTCACAGTGTCACACCTCAAAAAAAGACAAAGTTTTGATAACTACTTAAGTTTCATGCCCCTACAATCATCAGAATACCTTTTATATATATATATATATATATATATATATATATATATATATACACACCATATTTTCCAGACTATAATCCACGACTTTTTCCTCAAAATATGTAGGGTGCAGGTTATATATGAATTGTGTCTTTGAACCTTGAGTGACCGGAGTTAGGGTTAGGGGAACATAACTTCACAAAAACCGGTTGCCAGTGTTTGAACCAGTTATGTCCAGATAGTTGAATTTATAGGAATGCAGGTCATATACAGGTGTGGACTATAGCACGGAAAATACAGTGTATATATATATATATATATATATATATATAGTTTATGAAAAACTAGGTAATCTGTATGGGTAAACTTAGGGAGAATAAAATCCAGAGAGCTCAATGTAAATTCAGAGGAAATAATTTAAATAAAAACGGACCACTTTAAGGTTCCATATAATAAATTATTTCACCACAGCCCTTTTAAAAGGGACTGTGGATCATCAGACTTTACTTCCAAACAAAAAATGAAAAGAAAATTTACACATTTTTGACAGGCCGTATTAAACATATGTAAATTAACAAACCCCCAAAATAACACTTTCAAAGTAAAGCAAAATAACAGCATCTGTTTCTAGCCTTTTTTTACAAAGAAAATTAGTGACATCTTCTCTCATAACTTCCTTCTCTCTTTTTCTCTCTATGGGTTTTTCTTCTCTACCCCTTGGATATCAATATATAACTTCCGTTAAGTTAACCGTTTAAATGTGATAATATCTGCAAACTCACTCATGTCTTCTCTCTCCCCCCTCACTTCCTCACTTTGTTAATTTACATGTTTAATACGGTCCATCAAAAATGTGTAAATTTTCTTTTCATTTTTTGTTTGGAAGTAAAGTCTGATGATCCGCAGTCCTTTAAAAGGGCTGTGGTGAAATAATTTATTACATGAAACCTTAAAGTGGTCAGTTTTTATTTAAATTTAAAATATATATATATTTCTTAAACACACACACACATACACACACACACAAAGTTCACTCCAAAGGTAATGTCTCCTATTTTGTCCATGTATAACAACAAAGACAAGTTGTGGTAGTTTGGCTGCAGAAGTTGATACTTCCCATAATTTTTTCACCTTGTTACAGATGGCTGCTGAGTAGCAGTCTGGTAAAATGGTATCTGAATGGTATGACGTATTGAAGACAACAAACAAAAACTGTTCAATTTATTTTATATGAACATTTTTATTTCCTTTTGAAATTTAACTTGGATTTTTGTCTTACCTTTTTCACATCTGTACATTCCAGTATTGCTGTTATGGTTTTGAGCAGAAAGGATGGAATTGCCACAGAGCTACAGAAATTTGTAATCAAGCTGATATCACTGCAAAGGAAAAAAATGTAAGATGTCTCAACTGATTTCTTTTTGGTCTAGATAAAATGAATGGCAAGAATAACCATTATTGCAATGTAAAATATTGTTTTTGCCTATCATAACATCTTGTTCATTTTAACACTCCAAAAAAAAAAAAAAAACTGATCTCGTTTAATCATCAAAGAGAACAATTATTTTGCCTTCCATTAGCAGGCTAATGCTAACCTCCAGAAGAGTTATTCATTGTGCCTTCTCAGTCTGACATTTTCTACTGATATGAAGTGGACTGATTATATTGAATCAGTTGCTAAGTCTGCTGCTAGGAAACTTGCTTCACTGTGTCGTACCAGACAATTTTTTTCTGTCTGAATTTCTGGAATGAAGAGTTATCATTATTTACACTATTTACATGTGGACTATTGTCCTCATCTTTGTTGTTGTTATCACAAATTAGAATTGAGTCTCTTGGTTTTCTTTCACAAGGCTAACAGCAAAATATAATTGAAGATCAAAACATAGTTATTAACAACACACACTGACAATAATCACTTGGCAGGTAAAAAATAAATAAAAACAGATTACGATCAAAAAATATGCAATACAAATCAAAGCCCCTCCCTAAAGAGAATTGAATAAAATAATGCTCTTACCATTTTAGGGTGACTAGATTAGTAGTGACTCTGAGGGCAGTTCTAAATCGGGAAGCCCCTTCTAACATACCATCTAGCACTTGCTTATATCCAGTGTCCAAACGGCTCTCAAGTTTTCTCTGGAATCGGTCATCCTGCAGTAGTATGAGAGCATTGTCAACATAATCGTCCCGTTCTGTCTTTTCAATGATTCCTTGCCATTCCTCATCACTGTCTGCATCCTAAAAATAAATTACACAAGAGTCTTAGATGATGCACAACTGACCAGTAATCATTTGCCAAGGTTCTTCAGTTTATAAATATTTACGCGGGAGTTGACTTTTTTCTCAGATGAAGACTAAAAAATGCAGTTTGCAAACAATGACAAAAATAAGGTGTAATGCCAGGAGTTACAAATTGATGAGTAACAATATTTCTTGACAAGCATTTTGCATGCTACCATATTACTTTAGCCCTTGCACAGCAAAACACGACAATTTTCCTCAATTTAGATCAATCTTGGGCAAGTTGCAGAGCCTCAAACCAGTTCATGTTTCTTTTCATTAGTTCTTCTTTAACAGTAGTGCACAATGTCATTTTAGGATGACTCCTTGGTCTTTTTCAGAATTGAGGAATCCAGTAGAGCAACTTTGATTGAACAACTGTCAAGTAATGACTGAACCTCAGCTAACTTTCACAAGCTGCAACAACCAGGATGGTTTGTTCAAGCCAAACCAGGATGCATTTGTGTTCTGCCTTTCACAAGTTAATTTCTTTGATTTATGGTGTAAACCTGATTCAACAAGTCTCCTCAATGTATTGAATATCACTTAAGAGTTTGGGTGTGTGTCCAGTAACCACACCTTGTAAAAATTAGCTTACTACAGAAACCACAAAAATATACTGCAGATGTAGGGAGTAAATACATGGAAAAGAGTTTCCCTTTTATTGTCTTTGGTGCTTTAATCCATAAGATCAAAGTAATTCACAGGTTACAGAAGATAGAGTAAGGTCCCATTGATTATGTTGGAAATAATTTCATATACAATCCAAAGAAAGTAAATGTGATAGACGTTTAATCATCTGAGAGAATTTTTTTACCTTCTATCAGCCATGTTGGCTGATTCTAACCTCAAGGAGAGTGACTCATTGCTTCTTCTTGGACTAACATTTTCCACTGATATGAGGTGGAAAGAGTATATTGAATCAATTGCTATGTCTGCAGCTAAAAAGGTTAGTTCACTGTATCATGCGAGACTATTTTTCTCAGCAGAATCTATCTTACATAATTTATAAGTCTACCATTTGTCCTTGCTTTGAATATTGCTGCCACATTTGGTCTGGTGCTCCTGCTATATATTTGGATATTCTTTATAAAATTCAAAGAAGAATCTGCAATGTTATTGGTTCTGACCTGGCATCTTAGCCTTAGTCATTTTCCACTGCTGTAAAATAACTTCCCTGTGCCTTTTCTATGAATACTTTCATGGTAATTGTTCTCATCATATTACAGTTGAAATGGTTTGATGCAACCATAAGAGCTATGCTAACAGTTTCTTCTATCATACTTCCCACCTGTGGAACTAACTTTCTTCTAACTTATTGCATCTCCGTCAACTTTGATCTTCAAAAATTTAAATGCAGTCGCTATCTTCTGTCTTCTTAATTCTTATTCTTTTATTGTCTTCTATCCTTAATAGTATATTTTTATCATATTCTCTAACACTCGGGAACTCCTTGTGTCTTAGTGGCTTTATTGCCTTGCTTAGGATGAAATGATTAAAAAACAAAAACCTTAACTTCTTAGAGATTTTTATCACTACATTCTTTACTTGTTCAAGTTGAGGGCCAACCATTATCTACCCTACGTATTCTCATATAATGACCATGTTGCTCTGTCTTTATGTCTCTATGGGTTAAAAAGTAGAGCAGACTGGGCTCTTCAGCCTTGGTTGGCAAACAGTCTAAGAGAAGGACAAGACTGAAGTGAAAAATAGTATGCATTCCTGGTGAAGCACATACTATATGCAGTTAATGAAAGGATTATGGAGTTCACAAGAACTATGATATCCCGACTATAGTTGGCATTGGTTGATTTATATACAAAAACACTTATATTCTGCAATCATAATTAATTCTTCTTATCATTACACCTCTCAATTATCAAAAGATAATTTACAACCTACCAATGGATTATTAATTCTCTTGAGATATAATTATTTAAGTATCACTTATTCAAGCACAAGACCACAAGTATGGACCACCCAGTGAGGATCAATACTTAATAATAAGGATCTGTGTGTCCATACCAAAATATGGTGCACACATTATTTATACAATTCAATGGTAATTATGAATTATGAAAATTAAAAATTCTTTCTTTCCATCTTGTTAAGGTGTTAATGTATCACAGATACACTGATGCCTATCATGGACTGGGGAGAGTAGAGGAGACAAATATATTTCCTTTCTCTTCTCAAGCACTTTATTAATACATTTGTCATAATGTGTATTTAGCTACTGATATCTATTTTTTCTACTATGTAAGAATTTCACACGAGCAGTAAGGCCTTGTGTTTACTTAATTCATAACTAATATATGTCAGGGGTGCAAGCAAATTAAATTCAAGAAAATACAATTTTTGAAAATACAAAAAAAAAAATTATTTGAATGTAACTGACCTCTGTTTCAAGAATCACACTTTCAATAGTGCTTTTACAGTCGCTGATTTTCATAACATTTAGTTGGTTCTCTCCCTCAGAACGTGGATGGTCTTTTCCCCCATTGTGGCTTTGAAGAGTCAGGCTGCAATTCTATGCAAAAAAGAAAACAAAAAGGTTAAAAATGAAGCAAGAGAAGCAGGCAAAAGCAAAACGAATGAATGACAGGTTGAATGTATGTTACACACAAGAACCTGACAAGACAGAATTGGAAAGAATGGCTGGGTCATTTTGGCATGGATCAGATGCCAAAATGGCTGACCAGCAGATGTGGAGCAAATGCAAAAAGAATTGTTCAGTTGGTTCATAAAAATTTAACAGGGCTAACAGATGTGCAAGCAGATGAGGAGCAGATGTGAAAAGATTTGTGATAAAAAAAAATCCATGGGTAAGCTGTGAAAAGGGACATGGCTAACAGATGTAGGAGCAGATGTGAAAAGATTTGTGATAAAAAAAAATCCATGGGTAAGCTGTGAAAAGGGACATGGCTAACAGATGTAGGAGCAGATGAAAAAGATTTGTGATAAAAAAAATCCATGGGTAAGCTGTGAAAAGGGACATGGCTAACAGATGTAGGAGCAAATGTGAAAAGATTTGTGATAAAAAAAATCCATGGGTAAGCTGTGAAAAGGGACATGGCTAACAGATGTAGGAGCAGATGTGAAAAGATTTGTGATAAAAAAAATCCATGGGTAAGCTGTGAAAAGGACATGGCTAACAGATGTAGGAGCAGATGAAAAGATTTGTGATAAAAAAAATCCATGGGTAAGCTGTGAAAAGGGACATGGCTAACAGATGTAGGAGCAGATGTGAAAAGATTTGTGATAAAAAAAAATCCATGGGTAAGCTGTGAAAAGGGACATAGCTAACAGATGTAGGAGCAGATGTGAAAAGATTTGTGATAAACATTGTATAGAGCATATGTGAAATGGACATAGAAACTGATGTGTTGCAGGAATGAAAAGATTTATTATAAAAATTGTATGGGACAGATGTAAAAAGGGACATAGTTAACAGATGATGAGTAGATGTGGAAAAACTTGTTATAAAATTGTTTGGGCCATATGTGAAAAGAGATATGGTTAACAGATGTTCAACAGTTGATGAGTAGACATGGAAAGATTTGTTATAAAAATTGTAGGAGTCAAATGTGAAAAGGGATATGGCTAACAGATGTGCAACAGATGATGAGCAGACATGAAAAAATTTCTTAAGAGCATCGTATAGGTCGGATGTGAAAAGGACATGCCCAACAGATGTGCAAATGAAGATGCAGAATTGAACAGATGTTTTTTATAAAAACCTATGCAACGACCAGATGCACTAACCTCCACTTCATTTTGGTTCTTGTTATTATCTTTTTGATCAGGTGCATTAGAATCTGCATTATCCCAAATGTATTTTTGTGCTGATGCAATAACGGAGCCTTGCTGAAAAACAAAAACAAAAAAAAAAAAACACATAAATACAGTTTTGTTTTTTTTATTGAACAGAGATGAAATTGCAAACCAAAATGAATGGTCATTTCTTTACAGTATTTACATTAGTCGGATTATCGTCCTCATCTTTGTCGCCATATTTGTCACAAAGTTTCGGCCGTTGTACGCTCCGGCCTTCTTCAGGTGGTTGGAATTTCGAACTGAACCCTTTATTTCGATCGCTGGGGTAGACTGTTCTAGTTCCACGTGCCATGTTTGATGGATGTCAGTTATCAGTTATCTCCTGCTAATTTTCCCTCTGAAAGTTCTCCACTGCCTTAACCAGGAATTGAACTCACCTTCTTTGGGTCTGTCACTGGATCTAACCAACGCCTTTATCCACTGTGCCATGTGTCCTTGAGGACATCTGGCACAGTGGCTAAATGGCCTTTATCCACTGTCATGTGTCCTCAACTTTCAGAGGGAAAATTAGCAGGAGATAACTGATAACTGACATCCATCAAACATGGCACGTGGAACTAGAACAGTCTACCCCAGCGATCGAAATAAAGGGTTCAGTTCGACATTCCAACCACCTGAGGAAGGCCGGAGCGCATAAACGCCAAACGCGAGGACAAATATGGCGACAAAGATGAGGACAATAGTCCGACTAATGTAAATACTGTACATAATACCTCATCTCAGAAATATAGACAGGTCATTTCTTTATAATTCTTATTCTATTCATAAAAACTGTTGCCAATTAATTATTTACTTAGCAGCTCATTAAAATGCTATTCAGCACACATGAAAAGATGAAGATGCAATTAGCAGGCTGTGCAGTAATTAACTGAATGATGCCAGATGAGGTGTCAACTAAATTGCTTTTGAAGTATAGATTAAACAAACTATTTGTATTTTTTTAATGTTTTTAAATTTAGTTTTTCAATACTTGGATAAATATACTCCTCGACTACCAGAGCAAATAGTATGAAAGGAAAAATAAAAAAATAAGCTTTTGCTGAATGTTGTGATGAAAAAAGAAAATAGAACAATAGTAAAGCTGCGTAAAACTAACAATAAAATGATAAATTGCTTCAAAAATAATTATTCTGTCAGGTAAAATCTTTCCGAATTTTTGGGATGAGGAGTTATCATTATTTACACTATTTACATGTGGACTGTTGTTCTCATCTTTTTTTTGGTTTTACTACAATATTTCAGCTATTATGCAATCCATTTCAGCTCCATTACAGGGAATTCTGAACTAAACTCTTACATATTGCCATCCAAGGCTATAGAACCTAGTCTGTCCTTAATTTTACCCATAGCTGGTGGGAAGAAGATAAGGGTATTAGCACATAAGTGAATGTAATGGATTCGACTGGAATTCAAACTCGGTATATATACAAGGAATCAGTCAGTTATGTGCTATGCATCTTCGTGCCACTGCTCATGTCTAGGGATATCTCATTTATTAAGCAGTAAAATAAAAATTACATGCTGAAAGGAAAAGAAAAAGATGGAAGAATAATAAGAGATTTGTGTCTTGTTTAATTTTGTTTTTTTACAGGTTTTGCAGGTTATTTCCAGAAAAATAGAAAGGTGAATTTTTGGGAGATAATAATGATCCTCTGATGCATAAGTGAACCCGTTGAATCCATTACATTCACTTTGCTAATACCCTTGGGAAAGGTATGAAATAGCTATGGGTAAATAAGAACAGACTGTGTTCTAAAGCCTTGGATGGCAAATGGTCTACTGCAGAAAGAAATGCAAAGGAAAAAATCTGTTTGTCGTGTATCACACATGGCACAAAACTGACAGATTCCTTGTATACATCCTAATACCCTTGGGAAAGGTATGATCCTCTTCACCCCGCCCCAAGCTATGGGTAAATAGTAAGACAGACTGGGTTCTAGAGCCTTGGATGGCAACCTACTGCAGGAAAAATCTGCCCCATCCACCATGTATCAAAAGATACATGATCGCCTAAGCATTTATCATGTATGGCACATAACTGATACAAATTCAACTACATGACCTATAGCTGGTGGGGGAAAAGAAGTGAATTAATAACTTTTCAAGGGTATTTGCATTAAGTGAATACATCAAGCCTGACTGGAATTGAAACTGGCTCTCTGATTTCAAATTCCAACTCATTATGCAATACACCACCATTTTTTTGTTCACCCTTTACAAGATGTAGGGCGCACTCTTGGTGAAGATTGTAGTGATCATGGAAACATCCTGTTGGGAATTGCTTCCTTAGGGTAGTGGTTCACAGGAAGAAGCTGTTTGAGTAGAACTTACTTCTCACCGATAGAATACAGAGGGAATGTACATGGTTTACTACAATGAAGATTTGACATGGCGGGATCAGAGAAGGTAGTTCATCCAAGAATTTTACATGGAAGTAGCAGTATAGCTCACATGTGGGAGAGGTTGAAGGGTGGAGAATAATTCTTCACCCACAAGGGCTTGGAGATGCTTGTGAACTGAAGACTGAGGTTTATCTGCATCCTTAGCAATAGATCATATGTATGAGTTCCAGTTCAGATTGGGTGCGAGTTTGAGGCCCAACAGTCTTTCATGGTACAGTGCTTCCCTGAGAGGACCTCCATTCATCCTGACTGGTGGTAGTCAGATTGGCGGTGATGATAGAATGTAACTAGCTTGGTCTTTGAGACATTGAATGTAACCAGTCAGTTTTTACCTCATTGGTTAGTTTGTGCAAAATCAGAAGAAAGATCAGTCACCAATGCTCTTTGTCATCTAATGTTGAGTTAGTGGTAAAGATGGAGGTGAAGAGGTTCATCTTATCTGTCAAGAAAGATATGGAGGTGGGCAAGATTTGGTTGGTGATCTAGAATTCACGGGATTCAATTTTTTTTTTCAGCCTTGGTCTGACTACATAGCTGACTTAGATAGAACTTTTTGAAGTAATGATTTTGGGTGAGGCCAAACTACATTGGCTGCAGATAGTAATGATTTTTCTTATGGCTGGGGCATTCAGGGGTGGGACTGTTTGATTTTTACTGGAAATTTTTGCAGGGGATAAAACTCTTCATTACAGAATGGATCCAATCAGTGACAAGGGCAGCAGTTTTTGAGGCATCATGCTTGAAGAAGGTTGGGAGGGGAGCTTCTATCAAGTAAGATTGAAAGCTGTCCAAGTGAGCCTTTGCATAGCAAAAAATTGTTCTATGGAACCGTACTTTAGGGGATGCCTTAAGTTTGGCATCAACCTGGACACTAATTATGGAATGGTCTGACATGCCTAGTGGTGGTAAAACTTTTGATACACTTTTATCAAGGTAGGAGGTTAGGAAGAGGACGAGGAGGTTTGCCTGATGTCCCGTAGTGTCCTAGACCCAGGTAGGTTCTCCAACGATCTGGGTTAGTTCATAGGCAATGGAGAAGTCGCTGCAATATCTGCCTGCAACATGGGTTTTGTTGGAGAGCAAAGATGAATGTGGTACTATGGATAAGTGCCATGTGGAAGATGTGGAGACCAGGTTCTTCATTTTCTGTGTTCCTGCCACAGGGAAACTTGTCCTTGATTTTGGCTCCAAGTCTGTGGTGATTTAGGTGGTCATGTTTAGCTATAACAGGTGAGTATCCTACGACTGAGAACTTCCCTACTGTACGTGAAGCGTTGATACCGGTTTCAGAAAGTAACAGGAGACTGCACATCCAATTAACAGCAGCTAGTATTTGCAAATGGTCACCCATCTATTTATGTCAATTGAAATCAATAACATACACACAAAAAAGAGAAGAAAAGCATAAAATTCTCTGGAATTTTAAGATTGAAAGATCACCCACTTCTGGCCAGAAAGTCAAAGTAAGTTATTATCAACAAAGCAACGGAAGTTATTTGGATGGCCGATTTCTCTCTTCCAACAAACTACAAGGTAAAATTAAAAGGAAGTGTCAACCACAACATGTATCTAAACTTTGACAAAGACATGAAAAATACTGTGGAACATGAAGATGACAGTTGTGTCAATTGCTGTCAGATAGTTGGAGCAATCTCAAAGTGCATCTTAAAAGATGGGGGAAAACCATAAATCCATGGAAGAATCAGTTAGGTTGGATTAGTTAAAGATATAATGGAATATGTGTACACCTGTGTTCCCCCTGACTGGAATATGATTGGCTGGTGTCTGTCATAAATATCAATGGACGTGTAGGGGTGTCAGAGCCTTAGTCTGAGAGCTAAGTCTATAACGACACCCAGTAGACTACGCCATTGATCTATACTTCTTACCTGCAACTACAACGCATACCAGTCGATTACTGCTACCATATCCTACTTGGTTATTGTAGCCAAGACCACTTAGCTACTTCGTTTAAATATATCCCTTTCTGGGACATATCAGTTAATTTAACAGCATATTAACCCTCGTTGGGTCCTTTAATATCAAATTTAAATCTTACAGGACATAATTTATTATTAATTAATTGATGTGTAGATGTAGATTCAGTTTACACTCAAGTCAAAAAGCTAAACAAGTATCAACCAAGAGTATTCACCATAAGTTCTATGCTAGTAAGTTCTTTTCTTTCACTTCTCGCTTCTGAAACTCTTCTGGTTTCTTGCTTTCCCGTCAACTTTGATCTTCAGAAATTTAAATGCAATGTCAATCATCATCTTCTGTCTCCTTGAATCTTGTTCTTTTATTGTTCTCCCTCCTTGTTAATGTTTATTCTTAGACTATTTGACTCTCAGTCACCTCTTTGCATTTACTAGTTTTATTGCTTTGAGTAGGGGTGAAATAATTAAAAAAAAAATATAATATATATATATATATATATATATATATATATATAGGCAATTTATTTTTAAATGTGAACACTAAGAGTAACACATCAACAGTCATCCAAGACCTGTTAAGGATGATATAGCAACTAACCACTGTTTGAACAGATGACTCATGGAGAATGGATTGCTAATGTAGTCATTCAACTACATACTTCAATGTCTACCATTATGATTTGCCAGTGGCAAGATCACATTCAAGATAACTGGTGCTGGGACAGAAGGCAAGGAGAGTTGGATTTAAACAAATGACATCTTTGAATTGTTCTGAAACAATTGACAAAATTTACAAACCAAAATAAAAAAAATTAAAATAAACAGTTGTGGATTCTATTTAAAAATTACTGGATTCAATACATTCCTAAGGAAAGCTAGAAAATATATCAATCAAAATAACAAAGATGAGGATACGAGTTGAAATAATTCTTTGAATAATAACAAAAGGTTGTGCTCTGCCACCATCTGGCAACACTTCCATAAAAAAGATTTTTTGAATTTAAAAGTCAGTTAAATACCTTTTTTGCTTGCATAGCTTTTTTCCTTGCCTTGGCCAACATTTTTGGCACCCCAGGAGGTCGAGTTTTGTCTTTTATCTGTTGTTCCTTCATCAAAACCATCGAAGCTGACAAAGGCTGCGTGAAAGGGCTTGGCAACTGATAGTCTTCGTCCAAAGCTAAAAAATGAAAACTTATATTAATAATTAGTTTATCAATTAAAAATACAATGTCTGGCCAATCATATCCAAATATACCTGACTGCTAAGGTTGCTATCTAATCTATGTCGCTCAAGCATTTGTTCAACACCCACAAAACACACCTGTGGTTTATACTGCAAATATGCTGAACAGACCTTAGTCACAGTTGCTGTGAAAGAGTGTATCTGTAGTAAACAAAAAGAAGAAAAGGACAAAAGGGGGTCAGAAAGTGCAGTGCACCATTCGCCGGCAGACCAGCTGGTCTTCCTTCATCGTCGGTCGCCTCAAGGAAATGGATTGCAAGACTCCCTTTCTCGGCCATTACACCGGGCAGTTGTGAAACAAACACCAATTCAGCCATGCCTACTTCGACTTCCTCTTTGTCCGTCAGTCAATTTGTATGTCCAACTCTATTGCACAAAGTCCACCACTCCCAACTTCCTGATCGTGCTGCTGGCATCTCGCTTTTTATGCCAGTCTGATATGACCAAAATTCGCATGTGTGCGAATATCATCTTGTTTTGGACGAGATCGGCGCGCATAAATTGCGTCTTCAATAGCGGCCATATTTCTTTTCCTCATTACTTTGCAGGCAAGACATGTTCACACTCAAGTTTGGACAAAGCCAGTATGTTCAAACTGTCAGCCATGATGATTTGTGACTTCATGCTAGGACAACCATGAATAATTCTGTCTACCCAATTTCACAAGGCTTGGGTCAACCAGTGGTATGGTTTTCAGGCACTTTCCAAATGATAACATCAAGAAGTCCCCTTCCTGATTGATGATGGTGAGATTTAAACCCAGCTCTCATCGGAAAGTGTGTGTGTGTGTGTCTGTGTGTGTGTGTATTTTAAATCAATTCACACCAAGCAAGGCAATTATGCCACTATGATACAAAGGGTTATTGGGTGTGAAAAAAAAAATGAGAAAGCTTCAGAAGGAATTGAAACAACAAGGACACATGGTACAGTGGATAAAGGCGTTGGTTAGATCCAGTGACAGAACCCAAAGAGTGTGAGTTCAATACCCGGTTAAGGCAGTGGAGAACTTTCAGAAGGAAAATTAACAGGAGATAAACTGATAACTGACATCCATTAAACATGGCACATGGAACTAGAACAGTCTACCCCAATGAGCGAAATAAAGGGTTCAGTTCGACATTCCAACCACATGAAGAAGGCCAGAGCATACAACGGCCGAAACGTTGTAATAAATATGGCAACAAAGATGGGGACAATAGTCCGAATAATGTAAATAATGTAAGAAACAAGGGATATCAAAGTCCAAATTACTGTTTATAAACACACACCTTCAACAATTAAGGGTTACAGATTTGATTCCTGTCAGAGAGCATACATCTTCGAACATGTAAATGTAATTAATACTGATAATTAAAAAACAGAGAATTTACTTTTTGGACTTAATCCATTTCATAATATGTTGTCATTGTTTATATTAAGATATATTTTGTGAGCAGATATGACTGATCGAGAAAAATCATCCATGGTGTGGGTTTATAAACAGTAATTCGGACTTTGCTTTTTTGTGGCTGAATGTTTAACAGTACGTCAAATCAAATGACAGTTCCCATTAAGGTTACAGGCTCGATTCCTGTCAGAGAGCGCATATCCTCTACGAAATTTCTCAAACAATCTGGCCAGTAAATGTAATTAATACTGTTTGATTAAAAAATGGAGCATTTACTTTATAAATTATAAATTATATCTAGAAAAAATAATGTATAAACAGAAAATATATTAAATAATTGTTGGACTTAATCCATTTCATAATGTGTGTGTGTATGTGTGTGTTAGCAGGATGGCCTCTTTCCAAGGGTGACTGATATGTTGATATAAATTGTTAACCCTTACGCCCCCTATTGGACTGGCCACTTCAGCTGTTTCCATAGTAATCTACGAATGAATATGCTTATAAAGATACGTAAACTTTAAGATTAGTTATTCTAAAACATTTTGCTTGAGGATGAACCAGAGCTGTTGGCTCTTGTTTTTGAAACATGAGAACTCTTATGTAGCGAAGGAATCATATTTTTTAAAAAATAATTATAATCATAATATATAGATAGATAGATAGATAGATAGATAGAGAGAGAGAGAGAGATATGATGAAAATGTAGTTTTAAGGTATGCTATATTTATGGGTAAAAGCACTCAATAATAGGGATATGGCATCTATAAATATGTGTACAACTGGTGAGTCTGTTTCATGCAATCTTTAAGACCAAAGAAGAAAAATTAAGAAAAATCTGGTTAGGCTTTAGAAGTGGACCATGGCTAAGAACTTTTCAGCACCCCTTCATACATAACAAATTCAGAGAACTCACACGGTGGCTGAGAGAGCTTCATGCTTCTCACCAGTGACTGTAGTTGTTGTTAAGTGAGGATTTTTAAGGCCAATGAAACACCCAACCATCCTTCATTACCACTGCATATAGCGTTGTACCAGATGAAGGTCAGCAATATAGATATCTATATAATAAATATTTTTATTTACCTTTTACTCCATCAACTACAAATTCGTGGGTGAGGAGATGAGGCCAAGAGAGTCTATTCTTGGAGTTCTTGGCCAATAAACCTTGCAAAAAGTCCTTGAAAACAGGGCTCATGTCCTTGGGCCATCGCACAGGGTCTTTCACAATCAAACTGGCCAGTTGGAAGATGTTGTTTGTGTAAAAGGGTGGCATTCCTGTGTACAGTTCATACAAAATACAACCAAGGGCCCTGAAATTTCAAAAATATATATAATTCTTGATTTTAGAATTGTCAGGTCATAAAAGACAGTGAGAAAATAAAACCATAAACATTAAAATTGCTAAATGAACATGATAAAAAAAATTAAATACTTTTATGTTTGGGGTAGAGATATGCTTATAAAAAAAATATGTGTATGCCATTAAAAGAAATTTTCTTTATAAAAAATTGAATGTGCAAATTGAACCCCAACTATGTACATTGTTATTCTTGTATTTTGTTATGAGGTTTTGTTTCAGCAACCAAGTAAAAAAACCTGTGATTAGAGTGTTACAAGTTTCTAATTCAAAGTGGATGTCTGAGTAGCATAATAGTTACTGGATCTGAAAACAGCATAAGTTCAATTCCTGACCGAGTTGGATTGATTGATCAATTGATTTGTTTTTTTTACAAATTATCAACCATTTGCAGGTTATTTAAAGCCAGAAAATATTTGTAGATTGTGAGAATTTTTCTTTTTTCGGACAATAATGATTTACTTATACAAGTCCTACTAATTAACTCATAGCTGGGGGAGTGAATAGCTGGATTCATATCTTTTTCAAGTGAGTTTGTGCATAAGTGAATATGACGAACACAACTGAAACTCATCTCTCCGATTTCCAATTCCGTAACTTCATCCATTACACCACTTGTATATTCGATCTTACAGCAACTGGCATTTCACAACTGTCATCTAGACTCAAAATGGCTTAACTTTGCTGATTGTACAACAACCAGTATTTCAATGTGATATGGCCATAAGCTGATGGAGTTGAAGTCATTTACTTTGCACATGTGTCTTTCAGACAAGGGAAAAATAAAACTCTGAATTCAAATGCTTGTAAGCAGACGGTCAGATTCTAGCCTTCATAAGTGTTATATTCCGTGCTAAGGGAATAAATACTTAACACCAGGTGGATAATAGAAGAAGGGCTTATTGTACACAACCAGTACAATATGAAATAAGGTACAGTTATACACACAGGTCAATTTAGTAGTGAGTGCCACTAATTGGAAGGTCGGACGTGTTTGCGTCTTCTTTCCCTCACTCTTCCTCCAGTCTCTTGTAGACAGTTGACTTTATAGGTACTTACTACCTATAGTGTAATCATTCATGGGGGTGCTGGGTTATTCCATTACATCAATGAGGAGAAGGACAACTCTGAATTAAAAACTCAGCCAGAATAAGTGCACCTAGACATGTCACTACTGTTTGAGCTGCAATACATGTGGTGACCCTTCAACAATGACCAGGAATTAAAATCTAATAAATGCATCTTAAAACAGCTACAATTTGTGATATATTTTAACTAGTAATCTACTAATCAATCAGTAAATGTTTCATTTTCCTTTGCAAAAGATTTGCTGAAAAATAATTCAAAGCAAAGAACAATGACAAAATACCAAGAAAAAAAAAATCTATGAAATTAAAAAAGCAACAAAATTTTGAAAAACAATTTTCATGAATATCTTTTTCAAAATGAGTAAATCAAATTAATTTTAAGAAAGTAATTTTTTATTTATACTTTTATTTTCTAAAATGTGTATTATAATTTTGTTCATATTTCAAGTGTGATTTTTTTAACACAAGAACATTATCTTTTAGAATATTTCAATTAAGATTACTAATTTTTATTTAAAACCTAAAAAGCTTCCTGGCATGACAAATTTATTTGCTGACAATAAGCAAATACTGTACATGAAAATCAAATGTTTTGGTTTAATAACAACCTAATCCATTGTAGAGTAAAATTTATTTGCTTTACTCATTTTGTATAAATAATGGAAACATTGAAATTCAATTTGGTAAAAAAAAAAAAAAAAAAAAAAAAAACACCTTGGCATTGTGCAATACCAAAAATAAAGAATTTTTTATTAATGCTAATGATTTATAAACTGCAGAATTACCATCATAACAGACACACATACGACATATGGGTCATTCTATATCAAATCACCCAGTTTCATGAAAACTTTCTCGGTTATCTTCCCAGATACTCCTGAAATATGGTTCATCTACCAAAGTAATAAGAAAAATCACAAATATTAGGATTATACCTTTAATTGTTTTGAAATTAAAAATCTTTGAAACTTTGCTTCCTTTTATGCATTCTGCTAAATGAGCCTTTCATCTGATTTCTAACAGTCATAGATCTTTCATTATGGTAGGCACAGCTTTAAATCTCTTTGACAAGTTTTGAAAATTTCTCTAAATTTCAATAATGTAAACAGATCAGTTCTTTGAAAAAGATTGAAAACCAAAGCATTAAAAGATAATCCTCCATAATTTTTTTTTTTTTGCTCAAGTTGTCATTTGAAGTCAAATTCTTTAATTGACCTCTGGCAGTCAACATTTTAAAAGAATGAGTTTTATACCAAAAGCAAGATATTTTCAAATCTGGCATTTTATAACTTGGATATTTAAGATATCAATCTGAAATTGGCTGTCCTCCTATTTTTCTATCTAAGCAATAAGTAATTTCTGCATTCATTTATTGAAACGATTTGAAAATTATGAATGCTTCAAAATGGAAGAAATTGGCTTTCTGGAACACTGCTCTCCAATAAACTTAGATCAAATGCAAAACAAGTAGAATTCTAAAATTGTGGAAAGGTAAGAAGATATAAAAAGACAACATTGAGTTTCACTTACCAGAGATCAGCAGTGTGGTCATATGGGTGTTCCTCAACTATTTCAGGAGCCATGTATAATGGAGTGCCCTAAAAAATAAATCGCAACATTTGGTCAACAGGTAAAGCAATCAGATATCGTTGTAAGTTCACAACAGATGAACTTTTGTCAATATTCTGTGAATTATTCAAAACAAGTATCTTCATTTCTCTTGTTTCAATGACTTTTTTTTCAAACGCTTGGTTCTCTGACATCCCCTAATCATGCTTAATGATCTCACATAAAATATCAATGTTTAATTAATTATTGGACTAAAATCACATCTGCCTTTTTATCAATTTACATATTTTGGATGTTGCATTCTCTGGTATTTTTCATATGAAGATTTAATCCATTAATTTTCAAGGTGCTTGGAAGAGAATGCCTCATCACATTATTTGTGATGTCAACGAACACTCATTGCCACTTTTGTAATGCCAACGAATACTCTGTAATGAAAACAGGACAAGAGATTCTGTCTAGTAATCTTTTATTCAATTAAGAATCTTACTAATCGTCTACTTGACAAGCGGAAATGTAAAGCTTTTATAGCTTGGATTATCAAAGAGGAGATAATCTATATTCACAACATACTCATTGTCACTTTTGTAATGCTCATTGTAGTAGAGACTTTGTAATTGCAGGTACCACTATAGTACGCCATTGAAAAATACTGGTGTCAAACGCCTTCAAATATCACTTGCACTAATAGCATTTGTTCAATAATACTTGTGCGAAAGTAACCACCGTATAGTGATCTGAACAGAGAAATAGTATAGTGAATAGAGTAGAGAATAGTGTCCCTTATAGCAATAGAGGATAGAGTAGAAATGGTGATCCGAATAGTAATAGAAGATAGAATAGAAATACAGATTGTTAGTTGTCACAATACTTTCTAATGTGTTTCCTCTATGGTCACATGATCTGCTTAATTCAATAATGGGATCACCTGTGTTTGCTCACTGGCGATCTATGTTCAAACTCAAGTGTCGGCAACAACACTTTATTCCTATATAACAACATTCAAAATCCATTTCCTTCTCTATTCTCACAATTCACAGATTCAAACAGCTAAAATACATCGAATCCAGACAATGAAACCTATAGCTCAAACAGGGTACCAACCTACAATTACATTTTCACCTTTATACTCCAAATCATCTCATACCTAATAGTAATAGTAAATTATTTGAGCTGAAATATTTTTATATATAGTTTATTTCTATTCGTCTTTTCTTCATTACACTGATGATTTTTATTAGAAGCTGTCCGTTTCTATAAATACTTTCATGATCATTGTTTTGATGAGCTTTCTTATTTGATACCTTGATTTTACTACTTTAAACCCAATTGGCATTGTGAGAGAAGAAATTGTTAGCATAGAACTTACAGTTACATCTAGCCATTTCAACTGTAAAATGATGAGACCTTGTTGCCAATGTAGTACCACACTTACATTTCATAAAGTTTAAGTACCATAGAGGAAAGTACATCAAATGCATTAGCAAACAAAATAGAAAAGAAAGAAAAAAAAAAAGCAAGCCTATCTTATATATTTTCATTTGGCTTACCTTCACAGAAGTAAGAACAAGCGTGTCAAAACTCATGGCTCGGGCAAATCCAAAATCACAAAGTTTAACTTTCTCTCCTTTTGCCAGAAGAATGTTCTGTGGCTTCATGTCCCGATGAAGAATGCGATGAGAGTGCAGGTAGTACAGAGCTGACACCAGCTGGCAAGCAATTAGTCGCACCTGAAATGCCGAAAAAAATTGCTTTAAATATTTATAAAAAACACTATGTTAATCAGTTGCCAATGTGTGTCAAAAACACGATCAGAAGAAGTAAATGAAGATAGTAGTGAGGGGAAAAGAAAGAAGGAAATCTCAAAAGTGAAGGTTAATCAATTTTTAGCTTTTAAAATCAGTGTCACATGTTTATGGAATTTATGGATTGTGTGTTGGGCCATTTTAAGTGACTTTGTGTTCGTATCTAAACAATTAAAGAAGAAGCATAAAAAAATTGTATTTCTATTATGAACTCTTTATTCTTTTTTATGATAACTGCATGGAAACAAAGTTCTAAATGTTTATTGGAAAAGTCCTTTTTTTTTTCTTGTCCAGAAGTTTTTTTTTTTTTGTCTAAAGTAAGGATAAGAATGCTTAAAACAGATGAGATCAAGTCAGTTTTGCACCCTTTTTTATTTCCATTTTCCATAAAACTGCATTGCTGCTTACATGTTCCATCCATGATATTCTCAGCATCCTTCTGTAGAACCACATTTCTGTTGCTTCAAGTTTTTTCTTCATCTGCAAGAAGATCTTCCAGTATTCCCTTCCATATTACTGGTATTACATAACAGTTCTGTACTCTTTTCTTTGCTTCTATCAAAATTTTCTTGTTTCTTAATACTTTGCTTAGCTTTTGAAAGGCATTTTTAGCTATTCCAATGCATTTTAGAATTTCTGTATTGTATTTTATCCTCTGTTAAAACATTTACTAGATATTTAAATTTTTGTATTTGCTTAATTTTGATGTATCCAATTTGTAATTTGCATGGTGGGCTGTCCCTTTTGCTAACGACCATCCATTCTGTCTTCTTGTAATTGATAAGCAGTCTACTAGTGTTATATAAATTACACATCTTACAAAATTTGCAAGTCAGCTGTTTACAAACATAAGACTAGGTCAACAATTCAACCTATAAAGCTTAACCATTTCAAATATCTATCACAAGTTATTAGTATCAAAAAGATACATCATACAGTTGACTACAAGGAATATAGTGGTACCATCCAAAGTATAACAGTACTAAAAAATGTAACAGCTACCTTTCTATAGTTCTTTGTCCCTCTTCAGAAAGTACCTGACACCTCTGTTATAGTGGAACACACCTATTCTATAGTTAATAGACTCTCCCACCTATAATAAGTAGGAGTAGTAATAGTAACGAGTGAGTAGCTGAGTGAGTTGGTCAGTTAGTCGATGCCAGACGACAGTTAGTCAGATACTAAAGTATCAGCAATGACCACTAGATTTCTCTGCATCATTACCTATTATATCAAGTTCCTAACGTTTTGTACATCGAACCTATTTTAGGACCGACTGAGTACAAATACAAGCCTCCATAACAACCTTCTACTATGTTTTACCTTTACAAGAGCCGGATCAGACCAAAAATGGAGTATTGTTGATACATCATGGCTGCCTAATCCTCACTTTCCAGCTTGAGAGAGTTCAAAATCTTTTACGCAGCCTTGAGGGTGATGAACTGCTACCATCTCCCTACTTTTCTACCCAGATACTATCGAACTACATTCATTAGTTCCACTAGTTCAGACATTCACAGCTTGCATTGTGGAAAACTACCAAGAGGATGTTCCTCTTATAACTACAATTTTCATGTCAAGTTTTATCAGATATCCTCATAATGTGAACTTCTTGCTCCTTCACTGTACACCCATATAACCACATGGTATTCTAATTAGTTGGGACCTGTAGTTAAGAAACTGGTCAAAAGAGAAACATTCACAGACAAAATCAAGTTAACCCCTATACTAGTAGTGTTCTATCTAGCACATAAATTGTCAAAGTTAGTATAAAATATTAACAAAAAGTGAGAAAATTAGTGGTCAACCGCTGAAAACTCCTTATGAGCAAACCAAACTGTTATGAAAAAGTTTGTCTATGAAATTCTGGAGTTGCGGTGTTGAATATAGCATCTATCAACTAAATTACTGAAATTTTATTTGTATTAATCCTCCCTATATATATATATATACTAGTAGCATGGCCCGGTGTTCACACTGATTCAAAAAATGACTCATTGACTTTATTTTTGCCCTTCTATGCCTTTTAAACATTAAATCTGTTTACATGCAGTTTACTTCTTGCCCATATCAAAAAAGAACTAAAAAGAAAAACAAAATGAACATAAAACAATCAGCTTTAAAAAAGGACTCAGAACTGGAAAAAACCGAATAAAAAAGAATGTTAACAACAAATATTTTTCACACCCAACCCAGTTCTCATGGAATCAGAATCAACGTTGAGTTTAAGCAAGTTTAATGAGGCAATTGGAGTAAAGTGTCATGCAGATTTAAATTTTCCCACTTGTGACAAATGCAGCTATTGATTTTTTTGCATGCTAGCATATTAGTTAACATTCATATCAGTCGGCTGTTGAATCTCATGTTGGCTAATAGAATCTTCCTGCATATTCATGGCCAAAATGGCAGCAAACTACATGAAAAGTGCTGTAGAAGCATGAAAAAATTGATTATTTCCACTATCAATGGGAGTTGAGAAATGCAAAGTCAGTCTTGGCCTTCCCACTAACTTGGAGATGTGCATATAAATTTTGTGCAAATCCATCAAAATTTTCGTTACACACACACACACACACAGACACACACACACACACACACACACACACACACATATATATATATATATATATATATATATATATATTCAGTGTTTATAGGTAAAAGTGTTCAATATCAGGGATAGAGCATGTGTAAATATATATATGTACACTATTCAACACTGAGTGACAACAGTTCATGGCCTGAAGATTGTGTTCAAGCATGAAACAGTCAGTTGCCACTCAGTGTTGACCTCAGTGTCCACTTTGATATTTTGAATACATATGTATATATATATATATATATATTTATATATATATATATATATATATATATATATATGTATGTATTAAATATATATCTCATCCTCTTCACTACTGTTGTATCCTTAAAGAAGTAACAGACAGACAAAGTTGGTACTCGAGTGAAGGAACTGCAACATATGCGTAGATGAAAGAAGAGAGGTTTATTGTAAAAGAGAATACGCTACTGAAAGACAGGGAATCAGGTGGCAGGCTAGTAATTCTTGAAGCAAGCCCCCAGGTATATCCTGTGCTCACTATATATAGCTACTGATATAGTGTTATAGTGGAACACACCTATTTTATACTTAATAGACTCTCCCACCTATAATAAGTAGGATGATTAAGAGTAACAAGTCAGTCGGCAGTGAGTTGGTCAGTCAGTCGAGGATATTAAAGTATCAGCTACCACAACTAGATTACTGCGTCATTACCTATTATATCAAGTTCCTAACGTTTTGTACGTCGAACCTGTTTTAGGACCGACTTAATACAAATACTAGCCTCCACTGTGAAACCACTACATAACATATAGTCAGTTTACATAGGCAATAGGGAGTTCGCAGCTTAATCACTGAATAAAATTCCCTGTTAATTCCTTGATTTTCCTAAAAGATTCTATGTAAATTCCTTGATTTTGAGACATTGCATAACAGACAGACAGCTCATATACAGCTATGCTGGAGCACATCTAAAATGAAGAATGGACAAAGAAACATTTGATGCACGATAAAATATTTCCCACCCTGCAACACTTACCCCACAGACAATCACTACATTACCGCTATTACTATGGCAGGCGTTCAGACAAGTTACATTCGTTATATACACCAGCTCAGACCTGCTGTGACATGTTCATGGTAGTAAATCATTCTCATTCCCTTTGTGTTCCTTTGATAAAAAGCAAGTTCTCCTCACAGAGCTTCTTCTGCAGAACTCTTACTTTGTGGAAGAAACCCTGAGAGAATGTTTCCCTGACAACTACAATCTTGGTCTCTTTAATCTTTCATATCTATCCTACTATTCCTCATAATACACTCTTACTTCCCAAAAACTTACAACATTCTCGTTCAATAACCTCCTACTTTGTGACCCTTGGTTCTGGTATTGGGTGAACAAAGAGAAAAAAAAAAATATTAATTTGCATTAAAAAATTTTCCTTGAATTAAACATTCTCTGAATTTTGCTGAAAAAAACTAACAGGGAAATAATTTCTTAGTTTCCCTGTTTTTCATGTGAACTGGTAGGCAACCAGGGTTCAGCGATATAACAATTTGGTGACAATAACAATGCTACAATACGAGGTTGAAACATGTGTGAAGAGAGGGGCACTGATCAATTAAACATTCCATATATATATATATGTGTGTGTGTGTATATATATATATATATATATATATATATATATATATATATATATATATACACACACACACACACATATATGTATATATACACTCACACATATATACACATATATACACACAAATATAAACACAAACATATACATATACACATATATATATATACACACACATACATATATATACACATATATTTACACACAAACACACACACACACACATATATATATATATTTCAACCGAAAACAGCACTGACTGCTTGGTACATGAATGCCAAATGTTTCCTTATAAGGAAACAGCTAATATTACCATTACCAATGCTAGAAAAGCAGATGTTGTATAGTTGCTAGTGTAAGAGTAAAAGGATCATGTCAAAATAGTAAAATCCCTATTAAAGAAAGATAATAATATAGAACTACTGGATCCATGTGGAAAATACCAAGGAATATATTCAGCTCCACCTTTCTGTGACATATCAATTAGTTAAACTTTGTATGTAGAATAGCTGTAGCTGTATTTTTGCAGTAGGGATATATAACCATATTTTAAATCAATTAATTTATAATATTAATGCTCTGTAAATTTACATTGAGCACTATTTTGTAAAAATAAAAATATCTATAAGAACACCGTATTTTCTATCTTACTGTTCTTTCTTTTGCAAAAATAAAATTAGGGGTTTTTAGCTTCTATTTTTGAAACATGGTTGGAACTGTGTAGC